GTTGCACAAGGATCTGTTATGGGTCTAATATAAATATCCTGTCTGATACTCTGGATTCGGAAGTATTCCAGTAAGCAGTCACCAAAATATTCAACATTATGAATAAAGTATCTTATCAAACCCTACTTCAGGAGGATCTTCAAAGAATGGGGAAAAGGTGTAATACAGGGTTACTGAAACTACGTCCATTGAACTGTATCCCTCAGTGCACGGGAAGAAACTCTACATATGGCTTCCGGTCATGGAGCACTACACACTGTCGATAACACGGTGAGAGAAGAAACTTCCACCCTCGGGGTTTGCTGTACCATACGTCATACTGTTGGTGATTGGACTTGTACTGACACTATACGTATCACGGCAATGTAACAAATACTGATCATTAGTCTCCTCGTTATCCATACACGAACATAAAGGACTATCGATAAGATTTCTACGGTATAAGTAAAATTTCAAAGAACTACATTCCATTCTTAATCTAGAATGATGTCTCAACTTCGTTTACGTTCCTTTGCTGCAATAAATCGTCCAATATCTACTGAACTGTTACTATTCGGTGAAGACGAGCTGTCAAATGACGAAAATGCATTTGTCTTTTCATGTACTCATGGTTTTTATCCTCAATTCCAAAAGATTTGACTGAATGTCTCATATTTCCAATACATACATGTCTCGGTCGGTCTTCACTGTAATTTTTATATTAAATTATGTACTTGTGGAATAACTGCGCACCCCCCCCCCCCCTCTCTCTCTCTCTCTCTCTCTCTCTCTCTCTCTCTCTCTCTCTCTCTCTCTCTCTCTCTCTCTCTCTCTCTCTCTGTTCTTTATCTACAAGATAACATACTATTGATTTATTCTTTCTCACATAATTATTATATTATAATATCAGGTTTCGTCCTCAATTCCAAATACGTCTCTTCTAAGTAGAGATGGATCGATATAAGTTGTCAAACTTGTTTCCAAATCCAATTTCAATCGTTATTTGATGCTACTATATACATTGTAAAGAGAAAATGAAATAAAAAAATAGTTTATATACATATAGCTTTATATACATGTGCTATGTAGGTGACACAGTCCTAAATGAATTAAAGCAGAAAAAATATAGGTGTGATAACTTCCCGCAAACTTGAATTCGATAAACATGATGTTTTGAAAATAAATAAGTTAATTAATTAATTAATTCAAAGAGCAAATTCATAAAAAAAAATGCACAACCATTCTTTTCAAAATACACAGTAGTAGAAAGTTTAATCATTTTAAAAATTCCTTGATAACTTTTGTGGCAAAATATTTATGTTAACTATTGATATTTATAAAATAGATTTTAAAATCATCAACTTAAAGCTATTTACAACTGAAAAAAACAACTTACATTGAATACCACTTTCAGCAAAAGATATGCAAAAATCATCTTTAAAATAGATAGCATTTACAAGCCGAGCAATTTTCCAAATGACTCATGTCAGTTTTGTGATACTTTGGTAATATTTTTTCACTACGAAAATGAAATTCGCATATCACTGGTCGAAAAATAAGATAATGGCTGTGGCCAGGCCGGTCAGCATAGAAGTGAAATGGATCTAGGTAGATAAGGTTAGATGACATCATTGAGAAGAGGGATCAGTGAACAAACACGGAGAAATACCAGAGAAATCGTTGCTGGGCCTACTTTCATATTCCTCTTTGTTATATGGCAAGTAATCCATTCTTCCAAAATTTGTTAGTATGCTACCTTAGAACACCTCTCTTTAAAAGTTATCTCCCTTTACTTGGCAACCATGAAAACAATTAAATCATGCAGGCACCTGTTTATCATTTCCGCTCTTGAAATTACTATTAACACGATGGTCTGTAAAATAACAGCACACGTATAACGTCAAACAAAAATATACATAACATGTCGACTATTTTTAACTTCGAATGAGCAATATTGATTTTTCCCTGTTGACGGACAATGTTCGATTTCAACAGAAAAATAACAAGAACTGAATGGTAGAGAACGTAGCACGAGTGGTACACATGGTTATGTTACGGGTACTAGTGGGGTTAGCAGTCAATCACCAGTTTGGCATTTAGCCAGGTAACGCTGCTGAAGAGTATCTAGTACACATTAGGGTAAAATATGTGTTAGGAGTACGAAATAGACGCGTGAATCTTCGTTGTGTGAGCTGCAGTAAGATACCCGGAAAGGATTATCCGAAGTGTAGTAACGACAGGCTAGATACGGACTGTGTATATGAACTCGATCACATCACACAGGTAATATTGTATAATATCAGTAAACGTTGTATTTGTTATCTGTAATTTGATCAATAAAAATTACCTGAAGATTGGGTAATCGCTACATGACGACCATAACGGTAATGTATACCTTGTTTGTATTGTGGTAGTCACGTATTTGCTTAAGAAAAGCCTTATTTTTCAAGTAATAACTATGCTTGTACAGCGTGTATTGATAGTATTCATGTACAAATCTTTATGTGTTATTGTAAGCAATTCAGTAGGTTGATATTCAACTATACATTTTATGCATTTTTTTTGTCCATGCAAGCATGTCTGTCTGTCCGTCAAGCATGGTTTGTAAATTTAAAAAAAAATTATGTAACTTTTTTATTCTGTATAATAACAAATAATAAAAAAAAATTGGGGAGCTCATATAAATCTGCTTCAATATTTGTTTATATAAAGTCCATTGATTAACACTCTTAATACTTGATACTTAATGAAACCGATTACCTGCATGTTTATGCGTTAAATTCTCCTACATATGATGCAGATAAAAGTTTAGTACTGTCAATTCAGAATTGTTTATATTTTATCATGTATGATCTCAGCTCAGCCTCGTTTTATGTGAGGAATATTGGTATTATATCACAACCATTTGAATTTTCAACTGTGACATTTTGGTTACAACTATACAACTAACAAACACTCAGAGATTGTCAGACTGAGGTTACTGAGTTTAGTCACCATAATGATATATATGAACATTTATTAGTTTTATACTGATAGCAGAAAAGGGCCTAATACTACAATATATCATTATAAACATTGGGTACACATAAACCTCTGCATGCTTTTATGTACGATTTTGTTTGTAATTACTGTTGTCACTAGTCACATTACATCTACATACATGTGTACAAATATAGACTGTTCGTTGGTGCCCTGCAATTTTAATCAATAAATCACATTGTTCAAGCCTAGTTAAACATTATATTCAGTTTTAAACAGACTTACAGCTATCAATGTTATTATGTGTCTTACAACTAGAGAAATCTTATTCGGTATGTGTCTTACAGCAGGTATATATCTTATTCAATTTACGTCTTACAGCAGATAGATATCTTATTCAGTATGTGTCTTACAACAGGTAGATATCTTATTCAGTATGTGTCTTTCAGCAGGTAGATATCTTATTCGGTATGTGTCTTACAACAGGTAGATATCTTATTCAGTATGTGTCTTACAACAGGGAGATATCTTATTCAGTATTTGTCTTACAGCAGGCAGATATCTTATTCAGTATGTGTCTTACAGCAGGTATATATCTTATTCGGTATGTGTCTTACAACAGGTAGATATCTTATTCAGTATGTGTCTTACAGCAGGCAGATATCTTATTCAGTATGTGTCTTACAGCAGGTAGAAATCTTATTCAGTATGTGTCTTACAGCAGGCAGATATCTTATTCAGTATGTGTCTTACAGCAGGTAGAAATCTTATTCAGTATGTGTCTTACAGGAGGTAGAAGTCTTATTCAGTATGTGTCTTACAGCAGGCAGATATCTTATTTGGTATGTGTCTTACAACAGGTAGATATCTTATTCAGTATGTGTCTTACAGCAGGCAGATATCTTATTCAGTATGTGTCTTACAGCAGTTAGAAATCTTATTCAGTATGTGTCTTACAGCAGGCAGATATCTTATTCAGTATGTGTCTTACAGCAGGTAGAAATCTTATTCAGTATGTGTCTTACAGGAGGTAGAAGTCTTATTCAGTATGTGTCTTACAACAGGTAGATATCTTATTCAGTATATGTCTTACATGAGGTAGAAGTCTTATTCAGTATGTGTCTTACAGCAGGCAGATATCTTATTCAGTATATGTCTGACAGCTGAAGACATTGTATTGAGATCTGAAGCAAAATTATAAAAGTAGGTAGCATAATCATAATACTTTATATCAGTCAAGTATTATCTCGTTAAAACTCTTAAAGATTATAGTTTATATGGCTGTGAAAATTTACAGTAATATTCAGTTTTAGGTACTAAAACTTCCTTATAACAGCAGGGATAACATGTAATATATTTAGGAGAGGATTTTAGGTAGATAAGAAATTCACTACACAAGTTTATTTACTTCTAGAATTACTTACACATTGATATTATACCTGCTTAATGGGGCATTATGTGACTGATAGAACATGATGCCTGCTAACTATCAACTTTAAAGTCTACATACATCTCTTAGTTTCTATACAGATCTATATCAAAAATAAAATCTGCTTTGTTAAAGCTTGACGTTATTGGATAAGTTCTGCCCCATTGAAGCTCACTGTGTAACTGAGCCAATATATGATCTCTTTTGCTCCTGTATGCTGCACGTCATGCCTGACGGGTATACTATACCTGTAATATATTCAAATGAAAATGACCTCTCACTTTGACCTTGACATAGAAACATCACACAGCAATGTGTGTACCTATTGATCAGCTGTGAGTCTTGAGACCGTAATGTTAAGGGTCTGATTTACAACAAAATTTCTATTTCAAGGGTTCTTAATTCTGTGTGTGAAAGTAGAGAAGTAGTTAATGTACAATATCTGTCTGAATTTTACGTAAATCCTGTTTTAACGACTATGTTTATACAAGATGGGTATTGTTTTTCCTGGTATTAGACTTACTTACTGAATGTATTAATTCCTTTCAGATGATGTTTGGACCTGAGAAGAAATCTCCACCTGGAATAATGAGTTAGCTGTGACCGTTCAACAATGGGCCCTAAATTACAGGTACTAGATCTCAACAAAGACTGGATCTCCAAGTCCAAGACCGCAGAATCGGACGAGGAGGACAATGACATAGTAACAAACTTACCAGTCATTAATGCCGTAACATCAGCAGTTCGATGGCGTAAGAGAACTGATACTGCTAACAAGAAAAGGGCTGGTCTAAGAACAAGAAAATTTGAACGCAGATATACAGAGTTGGGACCTCTGCTGATCCCAGAACAAAAACGTGTAGATTATGTGTTGGTCCACAGCAGCAAATCGTCTAAAGACACCAAAGATTCAGATAAGAAAAAATCATTGGAAGAAAAGGAATTTAAACGTGATTGCTTTGAGAGAGCAATGACAGAACAAGGTTTCTTTATTCAGAAGGACGTTATTAAAGATCATGTGTTTGTAAAACTTCATTGCCCCTTCAAAAGACTTTGTATGGAAGCAGAATCTGTGAAGCTAGAAATGCGTCTCAAAGATGTAAGTAACATGTCAAGTACTTCAATCAATGTTGAATTATGTTCTTGACTCTATACTACATGTTCTCTCTACAGGGCCAAATTAAAGATAGAAGCTACTTTCAACTGCACCTTAAACAAAAATTAGAATGACCTACCTAAACTTCAACAAATAGTTTGTAGGAGTTTTCTACACTTTTATTCACAGTTGATAAGGCTGCTAAAATGCTAAAAACCTCATTATCAATTAACTCACAATTAACAGAAACTACCTCAACCCACAGTTTGTAGAAGCTACACAAAACCCTGTAACCCACAGTTTGTAGAAGCTACACGAAACCCTGTAACTCACAGTTTGTAGAAGCTTCTCAAACCCTATTACCCACAGTTTGTAGAAGCTACTCAAACCCTGTAGCCCACAGTTTGTAGAAGCTACACGAAACCCTGTAACTCATTGTTTGTAGAAGCTACTCAAACCCTGTAACCCACAGTTTGTAGAAGCTACTCAAACTCTGCAACCCACAGTTTGTAGAAGCTACTCAAACCCTGTAACCCACAGTTTGTAGGAGCTACTCAAACCCTATTACCCACAGTTTGTAGAAGCTACTCAAACCCTGTAAATCACAGTTTGTAGAAGCTACTCAAACCCTGTAACTCACAGTTTGTAGAAGCTACTCAAACCCTGTAACTCACAGTTTGTAGAAGCTACTCAAACCCTGTAACTCACAGTTTGTAGGAGCTACTCAAACCCTGTAACCCACAGTTTGTAGGAGCTACTCAAACCCTGTAACTCACAGTTTGTAGAAGCTACTCAAACCCTGTAACTCACAGTTTGTAGAAGCTACTCAAACCCTGTAACTCACAGTTTGTAGAAGCTACTCAAACCCTGTAACCCACAGTTTGTAGAAGCTACTCAAACCCTGTAACTCACAGTTTGTAGAAGCTACTCAAACCCTGTAACCCACAGTTTGTAGGAGCTACTCAAATCCTGTAACTCATAGTTTGTAGGAGCTACACAAAATCCTGTAACCCACAGTTTGTAGGAGCTACTCAAATCCTGTAACTCATAGTTTGTTGGAGCAGCTCAAACCCTGTAACTCATTGCTTGTTGGAGCTACTCAAACCCTGTAACTAACAGTTTGTAGAAGCTACTCAAACCCTGTAACCCACAGTTTGTAGAAGCTACAAAAAACCCTGTAACTAACAGTTTGTAGAAGATACTCAAACCCTGTAACTCATAGTTTGTAGAAGCTACTCAAACCCTGTAACCCACAGTTTGTAGGAGCTACTCAAACTCTGTAACACACAGTTTGCAGGAACTACTCAAACCCTGTAACTCACAGTTTGTAGAAGCTACTCAAACCCTGTAACCCACAGTTTGTAGAAGCTACTCAAACCCTGTAACTCATAGTTTGTAGAAGCTACTCAAACCCTGTAACTCACAGTTTGTAGGAGCTACTCAAACCCTGTAACCCACAGTTTGTAGGAGCTACTCAAACTCTGTAACACACAGTTTGCAGGAACTACTCAAACCCTGTAACTCACAGTTTGTAGAAGCTACACAAACCCTGTAACCCACAGTTTGTAGAAGCTACAAAAAACCCTGTAACTCATAGTTTGTAGAAGCTACAAAAAACCCTGTAACCCACAGTTTGTAGGAGCTACTCAAATCCTGTAACTCATAGTTTGTTGGAGCTACACAAAATCCTGTAACCCACAGTTTGTAGGAGCTACTCAAATCCTGTAACTCATAGTTTGTTGGAGCTACTCAAACCCTGTAACCCACAGTTTGTAGGAGCTACTCAAACCCTGTAACTCATAGTTTGTTGGAGCTACTCAAACCCTGTAACTAACAGTTTGTAGAAGCTACTCAAACCCTGTAACCCACAGTTTGTAGAAGCTACTCAAACCCTGTAACTCACAGTTTGTAGAAGCTACTCAAACCCTGTAACTCACAGTTTGTAGGAGCTACTCAAACCCTGTAACTCACAGTTTGTAGAAGCTACTCAAACCCTGTAACTCACAGTTTGTAGAAGCTACTCAAACCCTGTAACTCACAGTTTGTAGAAGCTACTCAAACCCTGTAACTCACAGTTTGTAGGAGCTACTCAAACCCTGTAACTCACAGTTTGTAGAAGCTACTCAAACCCTGTAACTCACAGTTTGTAGGAGCTACTCAAACCCTGTAACTCACAGTTTGTAGAAGCTACTCAAACCCTGTAACTCACAGTTTGTAGAAGCTACTCAAACCCTGTAACTCACAGTTTGTAGAAGCTACTCAAACCCTGTAACTCACAGTTTGTAGAAGCTACTCAAACCCTGTAACCCACAGTTTGTAGAAGCTACTCAAACCCTGTAACCCAAAGTTTGTAGAAGCTACTCAAACCCTGTAACTCACAGTTTGTAGAAGCTACTCAAACCCTGTAACTAACAGTTTGTAGAAGCTACTCAAACCCTGTAACACAGTTTGTAGAAGCTACTCAAACCCTGTAACTCACAGTTTGTAGAAGCTACTCAAACCCTGTAACTCACAGTTTGTAGAAGCTACTCAAACCCTGTAACTCACAGTTTGTAGAAGCTACTCAAACCCTGTAACTCAAGTTTGTAGAAGCCCCCTGTAACTCACAGTTTGTAGAAGCTACCAAACCCTGTAACTCACAGTTTGTAGAAGCTACTCAAACCCTGTAACTCACAGTTTGTAGAAGCTACTCAAACCCTGTAACTCACAGTTTGTAGAAGCTACTCAAACCCTGTAACTCACAGTTTGTAGAAGCTACTCAAACCCTGTAACCCACAGTTTGTAGAAGCTACTCAAACCCTGTAACTGTAACTCACAGTTTGTAGAAGCTACTCAAACCCTGTAACTCACAGTTTGTAGAAGCTACTCAAACCCTGTAACTCACAGTTTGTAGAAGCTACTCAAACCCTGTAACTCACAGTTTGTAGAAGCTACTCAAACCCTGTAACTCACAGTTTGTAGAAGCTACTCAAACCCTGCTACTCAAACCCTGTAACTCACCGTTTGTAGAAGCTACTCAAACCCTGTAACCCACAGTTTGTAGAAGCTACTCAAACCCTGTAACTCACAGTTTGTAGGAGCTACTCAAACCCTGTAACCACAGTTTGTAACTACTCAAACCCTGTAACAGTTTGTAGAAGCTACTCAACCCTGTAACTGTAACCCTGTAACACAGTTTGTAGGAGCTACTCAAACCCTGTAACTCACAGTTTGTAGAAGCTACTCAAACCCTGTAACTCACAGTTTGTAGAAGCTACTCAAACCCTGTAACTCATAGTTTGTAGAAGCTACTCAAACCCTGTAACTCATAGTTTGTAGAAGCTACTCAAACCCTGTAACCCACAGTTTGTAGAAGCTACTCAAACCCTGTAACTCACAGTTTGTAGAAGCTACTCAAACCCTGTAACTCACAGTTTGTAGAAGCTACTCAAACCCTGTAACTCACAGTTTGTAGAAGCTACTCAAACCCTGTAACCCACAGTTTGTAGAAACTACAAAAAACCCTGTAACTCAAACCCTGTAACTCACAGTTTGTAGAAGCTACTCAAACCCTGTAACTCACAGTTTGTAGAAGCTACTCAAACCCTGTAACCCACAGTTTGTAGAAGCTACTCAAACCCTGTAACTCACAGTTTGTAGAAGCTACTCAAACCCTGTAACTCACAGTTTGTAGAGCTTGTAACTGTTTGTAGAAGCTACTCAAACCCTGTAACTCACAGTTTGTAGAAGCTTTGTAGAAGCTCAAACCCTGTAACTCACAAACCCTGTAACTCACAGTTTGTAGAAGCTACTCAAACCCTGTAACTCACAGTTTGTAGAAGCTACTCAAACCCTGTAACTCACAGTTTGTAGAAGCTACTCAAACCCTGTAACTCACAGTTTGTAGAAGCTACTCAAACCCTGTAACCACAAACTACTCTGTAACTCACAGTTTGTAGAAGCTACTCAAACCCTGTAACTCACAGTTTGTAGAAGTAACTACAGTTTGTAGAAACCCTGTAACTCACAGTTTGTAGAAGCTACTCAAACCCTGTAACTCACAGTTTGTAGAAGCTACTCAAACCCTGTAACTCACAGTTTGTAGAAGCTACTCAAACCCTGTAACCCACAGTTTGTAGAAGCTACTCAAACCCTGTAACTCACAGTTTGTAGAAGCTACTCAAACCCTGTAACTCACAGTTTGTAGAAGCTACTCAAACCCTGTAACTCACAGTTTGTAGAAGCTACTCAAACCCTGTAACACACAGTTTGTAGAAGCTACTCAAACCCTGTAACTCACAGTTTGTAGAAGCTACTCAAACCCTGTAACTCACAGTTTGTAGAAGCTACTCAAACCCTGTAACCCAAAGTTTGTAGAAGCTACTCAAACCCTGTAACTCACAGTTTGTAGGAGCTACTCAAACCCTGTAACCCACAGTTTGTAGGAGCTACTCAAACCCTGTAACTCACAGTTTGTAGAAGCTACTCAAACCCTGTAACTCACAGTTTGTAGAAGCTACTCAAACCCTGTAACTCACAGTTTGTAGAAGCTACTCAAACCCTGTAACTCACAGTTTGTAGAAGCTACTCAAACCCTGTAACTCACAGTTTGTAGAAGCTACTCAAACCCTGTAACTCACAGTTTGTAGAAGCTACTCAAACCCTGTAACTCACAGTTTGTAGAAGCTACTCAAACCCTGTAACTCACAGTTTGTAGAAGCTACTCAAACCCTGTAACTCACAGTTTGTAGAAGCTACTCAAACCCTGTAACTCACAGTTTGTAGAAGCTACTCAAACCCTGCTACAGTTTGTAGAAGCAAAACCCTGTAACTCACAGTTTGTACTACAAACCCTGTAGTTTGTAGAAGCTACTCAAACCCTGTAACTCATAGTTTGTTGGAGCTACTAAAATCATGTAACTCATAGTTTGTAGGAGCTACACAAAATCCTGTAACCCACAGTTTGTAGAAGCTACAAAAAACCCTGTAACTCATAGTTTGTAGAAGCTACTCAAACCCTGTAACCCACAGTTTGTAGGAGCTACTCAAATCCTGTAACTCATAGTTTGTAGGAGCTACTCAAATCCTGTAACTCATAGTTTGTAGGAGCTACAAAAAACCCCGTAACTCATAGTTTGTAGAAGCTACTCAAACCCCGTAACTCACAGTTTGAAGAAGCTACTCAAACCCTGTAACTCACAGGTTGGAGGAGGTATTCAAACCCAGTAACTCACAGTTTGTAGAAGCTTCTCAAACTCTTTATCTCACAGTTTGAAGAAGCTACTCAAACTCTGTAACACACAGTTTGCAGGAACTACTCAAACCCCGTATCTCAAAATTTGTAGAAGTGTACCAATAGATCAGTGACCTTGTCACAGTCTAAGGACAGCTCATTGCCCTTTACCAATATATCAGTGAACTTGTCCTAGTGATAGAACAGCTTGTTGTCCTGTACCAATAGATCAGTGACCTTGTCACAGTGATAGGACAGCATGTTGTCTTGTACTAATATGTCAGCGAATCTGTTCCATTCCAGTACATATCATGCATAGTTTCCTGTATAACCTCAAGATTACACAATATTACTTGTTGCATCTCATAAATAAACTTCTCTTTCAAAAAAACAATCATGAAAACAAAAAATGTCATATTGTATGTATCCTAACTACGAACCAGAACCTATCAGCTATGAACCAGAACCTATCAACTATGAACCAGAACCTATCAACTACGAACCAGAACCTACCAACTACGAACCATAACCTATCAAATACGAACCAGAACCTACCAACTACGAACCAGAACCTACCAACTACGAACCAGAACCTATCAACTACGAACCAGAACCTACCAACTACGAACCAGAACCTACCAACTTTGTCAGGAGATTTATAGACACATATTTCTATTGTTGTAGTGTCCTAACTATGAACCAGAACCTACCAACTTTGTCAGGAGATTTATAGACACATATTTCTATTGTTGTAGTGTCCTAACTATGAACCAGAACCTACCAACTTTTTCAGGAGATTTATAGACAAGCACCTGGAGACTGATGATGAAGGTAAATGTTGATATTAATTGATTTCTGAACTATTTCTATGTCTCCTGTTATGGTTTTCTGTTTGATTTCACTTTAGAATCTATTGATTTGGTGATAAGATCAAACAAATGTTCCTTCAACAGGAACAAGTGTTGGCCATTGTCTGGCAGATTCTCATCTAACTACATTTACTGCTAGAGGACAGGAACTGATTGGACCACTGTATAATGCAGCATTATCAGGCCTAAGGGAATTGCTTACTACTAAGATAGTAATAGTGTGGTTGTGATCACATTACAGTGAGAGCTTCCTTCACTGTAATTGTCTAGTGACAATATACCAGTCTGACATCACTTAACACTTAACATTTCTTACTGTAAAAATATTCTTAACAGATTATATCAAAACTACCTCTGTAAAAATATAAGTAGATGTAAAATAAACCAGTGGGACATTTAATCTGAAGCATCCTTTGGTGAAGGACTCACAGTTGTAGAGAATGATCTCTTGGTACCAGGATATGGCCACACTTCTAAATATCAAACTTTGAACCATAAACTTACAAAAATTATGAGATCCCCAATCTGTAACCATATAACAGTTGATCGTGATCAAGAGACAAACACACCTTTGCTGCCAGGAGCTCCTGATCTGAGGGTCATTTTCTTTACCTTGGAACATATTAGATATTTGTTACAAACATCAAGATTATGAAGATACCGTATAATCACATGTTTTATAATTACTGGACACGAAGTGACAAACACAATCTTGTTACTTTAATACAGAAAATATGACCACACCATTGGAAGCTTATTTGAAATAGTTCAGAGGTTTTATTTCATTTGTGTTCAATAATGGTTCAAATTTTTGATTTGATCAAAATCTTGCACCAAAAAGAGGTTGTGAAATGGAACTTGATTCATCATATCATTTCACTATTTTTTTTTTCATTTCATTCCATCCTGAAAACTGCCAAAATTGAACCCCCATTCTAAAAGCCTTTAAAGCATTACATGTGATAAGAATATTTTGATATTTGCACAGTTATCCATATAAACTCACTCTGATAGTACTGTAGCTCAATATTTTTTATTCAACGTTGGAAAGTTAAGGAATAGTGTCACCGTTATTAAGGAATAGTGTCACCGTTATATTCTGGTGAAATTTTATTCTTTCTCTAAATTAATTAAATTCTCAATGTAATTATTTTCAGTTGATTTCATCAGTGCCCCTTTCCTCATGGATAGAATCCAGCTCTACCAGGACTTTGAAGACCCGACCCATTTCTTCAGACCAGCCACTCGCTCACTTCTGGTATCAATTCCTGATTACTTCTAAATCTCAGTGTTAATCACAGTGGTTAAATGGGTATCATTTTTGCTATTCTAAAACAATAACAGTCTTTCAAGATGATATTACCATGAATGTGATAAAGTATTCCTGTGCTGACTTGTAATACAACCATATTGTCATCACAAATACCAGAATCTGACAGCAATATATTGTTATCACAAATACCATAATCCAAATGTGTATACAAAGTCCTAATTCAAATCCAAATATATGATTATATAGTGTATTAGTATTACTGGGTAAACTACATCACCTGTTTTTTTGTGTTTGTAGGTGGATCATATTCTTATCAACCTTGACATCAGAAAAGAGACTGAGAGTAAATCAGAAAAAACAGTGTCTATAAGTGGTGGGTTTACATGTACATCAAAGGTCATCTATACTGTAATAAGTAAATCTCTTATTGGATGGAGGTGGGGGGGGGAGGGGGTGTGATTAATTTAAAAAAATCCCTTTGTCATTGCAGTCGCTCCCATTATTGTTTCAATCAATTTTTCATGACATGATCTTGAAATATTTCTATCTTTTGAAATCCAAAAAGAGAAAAAAGACTCTTAAGGGCCATGAATATACATTAGAATAAGTGCGGAAGCTATATATAAGCTCACAAGGCCTGAAGTGAGCAAATGCTGTGGTACAGCATTCATCATCAACTTTTCCCTTTAGTTAACTTCTTCTAACGAACCGAAAGGCCATGATGGCCATGTTTAAAGGTTCTATGGATAAAGGTGGATAAGTTATGTGAACAGAAAGGATTCAAGGACACAGGTGTCAGATTTGTCAAAACCATTGAAATTCTTCTTCTCAATGACAAAAAGGCCATGAATCATGATATTTGGCTGTTAGGTTTCTGGGATGAAGCCCAACAAAGTTTGTGAATAAGACTGACTTTGATCCAGATTGAAATCACAGACGTCAATTTTGTGAAAAGCTTCAAATGTCTTCTCTTGATTGATCAAAAGGTCAAGATGCAGTCTTGATGTTTTGAAGGTGTGTTCTTGGAATGAAGCCCAAGATAGTTTTTCAAAAATAGATGACCTTGAGTTCTGTTTCAGATCAAATGAGTTAAATTTGTAAAAACCTTTTAGCAACTTTTTCTAAATAACCACAAGGCCTAGAATTATTATATTTGGCTGGTATGTTCCTGAGAAGCTAATTAAATTTTTGAAAACCTAAACCTATATTTAAGATCACATGGATCAAATTTATCCAAACCTTCAAACTACATCTTCACATGAATCATAACTTAAAATGTCAATGATGTGAAATGTTAATGTACTTGTGAAAAACATTGATTGGGAGGTGAGTGATGCAGGCCCATTGTACCTAATCTATCATTTTCATGCTTCTATAACCCAAAATTTATATTTTCTGTTTATGATAAAAAAGATGCAGACCCTGAAAATGCCAAACCATCTTCCTCGTTTCTTGGCCTGTGTACATGTTGTGGAAGCTCTGCTAAATCTACTGATTCATCAAGCACACAGTCTTCGTCTGTATGGGATTGTTTCTTCTGTTGTAACTCCAATAGTGAAATCCTTGAACCAATGAGAGGTGAAAAACAGATGCAGAAATGGGGTAAGTCATTCAAGTTTTTTCTAAAGTTTTCAGTGACTGATCATTCCGTAATAAAACTAATATTTTCTCTTAAAGCTTATAGAACTATAATGCCAGTATCAAACTATTTGTGATGTATGTCTTTGCTGATAGTAATCAGGGGCCACCACATCACATTATCATGTTTAGGGTTGTAGTAATCAGGGGCCACCACATCACATTAACATGTTCAGACTTATAGTAATCAGGGGCCACCACATCACATTATCATGTTTAGGGTTGTAGTAATCAGGGGCCACCACATCACATTATCATGTTTAGGGTTGTAGTAATCAGGGGCCACCACATCACATTAACATGTTCAGACTTATAGTAATCAGGGGCCACCACATCACATTATCATGTTCAGACTTATAGTAATCAGGGGCCACCACATCACATTATCATGTTTAGGGTTGTAGTAATCAGGGGCCACCACATCACATTATCATGTTCAGACTTATAGTAATCAGGGGCCACCACATCACATTATCATGTTCAGACTTATAGTAATCAGGGGCCACCACATCACATTAACATGTTCAGACTTATAGTAATCAGGGGCCACCACATCACATTATCATGTTTAGGGTTATAGTAATCAGGGGCCACCACATCACATTATCATGTTCAGACTTATATTAATCAGGTTCACATTATCATGTTCAGTAATCAGGGGCCACCACATCACATTAGATCATGTTCAGACTTATATTAATCAGGGGCCACCACATCACATTATCATGTTCAGATTTATAGTAATCAGGGGCCACCACATCACATTATCATGTTCAGATTTATAGTAATCAGGGGCCACCACATCACATTATCATGTTCAGATTTATAGTAATCAGGGGCCACCACATCACATTATCATGTTTAGGGTTGTAGTAATCAGGGGCCACCACATCACATTATCATGTTCAGATTTATAGTAATCAGGGGCCACCACATCACATTATCATGTTTAGGGTTGTAGTAATCAGGGGCCACCACATCACATTAACATGTTCAGACTTATAGTAATCAGGGGCCACCACATCACATTATCATGTTCAGAGTTATAGTAATCAGGGGCCACCACATCACATTATCATGTTCAGATTTATAGTAATCAGGGGCCACCACATCACATTATCATGTTTAGGGTTGTAGTAATCAGGGGCCACCACATCACATTATCATGTTCAGACTTATAGTAATCAGGGGCCACCACATCACATTAACATGTTCAGACTTATAGTAATCAGGGGCCACCACATCACATTATCATGTTTAGGGTTGTAGTAATCAGGGGCCACCACATCACATTATCATGTTCAGACTTATATTAATCAGGGGCCACCACATCACATTATCATGTTCAGATTTATAGTAATCAGGGGCCACCACATCACATTATCATGTTCAGATTTATAGTAATCAGGGGCCACCACATCACATTATCATGTTCAGATTTATAGTAATCAGGGGCCACCACATCACATTAACATGTTCAGACTTATAGTAATCAGGGGCCACCACATCACATTATCATGTTCAGATTTATAGTAATCAGGGGCCACCACATCACATTATCATGTTTAGGGTTGTAGTAATCAGGGGCCACCACATCACATTAACATGTTCAGACTTATAGTAATCAGGGGCCACCACATCACATTATCATGTTCAGAGTTATAGTAATCAGGGGCCACCACATCACATTATCATGTTCAGATTTATAGTAATCAGGGGCCACCACATCACATTATCATGTTTAGGGTTGTAGTAATCAGGGGCCACCACATCACATTAACATGTTCAGACTTATAGTAATCAGGGGCCACCACATCACATTATCATGTTCAGACTTATAGTAATCAGGGGCCACCACATCACATTATCATGTTCAGACTTATAGTAATCAGGGGCCACCACATCACATTATCATGTTCAGACTTATAGTAATCAGGGGCTACTGTATTATCAAATTAAGAAATTAAACAACTTATTCTAAATAATGTAGAATTGTTTTGAATTGTTGATAACATGGAATGTGGCACTAACATTGATTTTGATCGTGATTGATTAAGTCTGGCTTGATAACAGGACTAATTTCTTAATTTAATGTTTTTCTTATTGACACTAATAATAGCTGTGTAGCCTGTGTGATGGATACAATAATGTATTTTTCCTGTAGATGGCAAGAACGTGAAAAAGAATGAGTATGGTCGAAGGTTTGGTAGGTATAACATCTAGTTCAGATAAAGGTTCACCTACATAGTACATGACAGGACTCTGTAATACAACAAGATTAAGGAGCTACACTGTACAGTAGTGTTCTCATATTCAAACAACTGAAAGCATTTCTTTTCACCTGATGAAATGATCTTTAGAACACAAAGTCTTCAATAAAAAAACAGAATTTTCTTCCTTTACAATATTTAAACTTCTAGAAAGGAATCTTTATGGATATATTAGATAAACCTATTAGCTTCTCTAGTGCTTATTTTGTCATGCCTTCAGGGAATTCCCCATTTTCTGTTTTTAGCGCAATATGCCCATGACCCCTATATCACAGAGTTAGTGCCATTTGTTAAAATTCCATATCCAGAGTATAACTTTGCTTACATTTAAACTAGGATAATTAAACTTGATGTGTACATAGATCATACTAAGATGATGTGCAGTGCACCAAATTCAAAGCATGCAACCACTTAATTACAGAGTTATTGCCCCTTTATAAAAAAATCATTTCCAAACCATAACTTGGCTTGGATTTAAAGTAGACTATTTAATGTATACATTGGTCACAATAAAGCACTGTGCTTGTATCAAAGTCAACAACCCCTCAGTTATACAGTCACTAGTAATACCCTATGTCCAAATTTCATATCAAGAGCATAACTCTGGTTGCATTAAGCAAGGGTAATAAGACTCAGTGTATATGTTGGTCAAATTGTACTAAGACATTGTGTAGTATGTCAATTTTAGGGCCTTCAACCCCTTTCTACAGAGTAATTGCCATTTGTTAAAACTTTCATTTAAAGTAGGACAATGAAACATTTAAAACAATTTTTGTTTTATTTGCCCAGCATAAGATTAGGGAAAATGCCAGGGTTGAGAGCCCTTGGGTCACTGCTGTTACAACATGCTGCTTCCAGTAAAAGTGAATGGAAAGTGACAATGAAACTTGGTGTATACATTGGTCATACTGAAAACAATGCAGTGTACTAAAGTTAGGGCCTGCAACCCTTAATTACATATTTATTCTCCTTCAATAAAAAGTTTTGTGTATAATAAAGTTGTTTTCTGAGAGCATTCATCAGCTTGACTGAAACTCTTGTATGTCTCATAGTTGTGAATCAGAAGTAGGGAATTAACACAATATATACCAGCTTAAAAAAATTAGGTGGTCAATAAATTTCATTACTGCCAATTGGTTTTGCCCATATTGGATTCATCAAGACAGTACAACATGGAATTTGGCAGCCTAAAGTACATAGAACCTGTCATTAGCTGTAGATACTGTACCAGGTCACTCTGGTATCATCATCTAATTATCTTGATTACTTACATGTAACTTTGGGATACAAATGACAGGTAGATAACTTGAAAATGAAATTGATACCAAAAATTACAGCCATAAACAGTGTATCCTTTTACCTTCAAAGTCTGCTAACCTAGGAAATAACCAAGACACCTTCCCATCAAAACTTGTGAGTTCTAACCACTTATAATGTATATTAAATGGCTGCTTGGTTGATCTAGTTGCTAGACCGTTGTTTAGATCAGGGGTTTGTCGTATACATACTTGCACATCAATATTTTACAGGCTTGCCGTATCTGATGATGAAAGATATCTATACAGACGCCTTCATCCTTCATGAGGAATCTGTCCGCAGTAAACAGCGAGAGGCATTAAAGAAAGAGTTTTTCTCTGAGGAAGAGGAGGCGGAATTAGATAGTGACCCTAGAAAGGCTCTGGACGACACATGGACAAAGTACTACAAGTTCCAGCCACTATGGAAAATACGTAACTATTTTGGAGAGAAAATAGCCCTGTATTTTGCGTGGTCAGGCTTACTCATCACCAGTCTGTGGATTCCTACACTGTTTGGATTTGCAATATTTTTGTATGGGTTAATAACAAGGTAATTATATACCAAACACATTATTGAGACACCAACACTCTCTACAGTAGAACTTTGCAAACCAATAGCTATATAAGACATTGAGTACTTCCATAACAGAACCTTGAGACACCAACTCCCTCTACAGTAGCAATATAAGACATTGAGTCCTTCCATAACAGAACCTTGAGACATCAACATCCTCTACAGTAGCAATATAAGACACTGAGTCCTTCCATAACAGAACCTTGAGACAACAACTCCCTCTACAGTAGCAATATAAGACATTGAGTCCTTCCATAACAGAACCTTGAGACAACAACTCCCTCTACAGTAGCAATATAAGACATTGAGTCCTATTATGGCAGAACCTTGAGACACCAACTCCCTCTACAGTAGCAATATAAGACATTGAGTCCTTCCATAACAGAACCTTGAGACAACAACTCCCTCTATAGTAGCAATATAAGACATTGAGTCCTATTATGGCAGAACCTTGAGACACCAACTCCCTCTACAGTAGCAATCTAAGACATTGAGTACTTCCATAACAGAACCTTGAGACACCAACTCCCATTACAGTAGCAATATAAGACATTGAGTCCTTCCATAACAGAACCTTGAGATACCAACTCCCTCTACAGTAGCAATATAAGACATTGAGTCCTATTATGGCAGAAACTTGAGACACCAACTTCCTCTACAGTAGAAATATAAGACATTGAGTCCTATTATGGCAGAACCTTGAGACATCAACTCCCTCTACAGTAGCAATCTAAGACATTGAGTCCTTCCATAACAGAACCTTGAGACACCAACTCCCTCTACAGTAGCAATATAAGACATTGAGTCCTTCCATAACAGAACCTTGAGACATCAACTCCCTCTACAGTAGCAATATAAGACATTGAGTCCTTCCATAACAGGACCTTGAGACAACAACTCCCTCTACAGTAGCAATATAAGACATTGAGTCCTTCCATAACAGAACCTTGAGACACCAACTCCCATTACAGAGATACATTGTGTACAGAGATGTATTGTGTACAGAGATATATTGTGTACAGTAGAGATATATTGTGTACCTTCCAGAGATATATTGTGTACAGATATATTGTGTACAGATATATTGTGTATATATTGTGTACGGAGATATATTGTGTACAGAGATATATTGTGTACGGAGATATATTGTGTACTGAGATATATTGTGTACGGAGATATATTGTGTACAGAGATATATTGTGTACAGAGATATATTGTGTACAGAGATATATTGTGTACAGAGATATATTGTGTACGGAGATATATTGTGTACGGAGATACATTGTGTACAGAGATATATTGTGTACAGAGATATATTGTGTATGGAGATATATTATGTACGGAGATGTATTGTGTACAGAGATATATTGTGTACGGAGATATATTGTGTACGGAGATGTATTGTGTACAGAGATACATTGTGTACGGAGATGTATTGTGTACAGAGATATAGAGATATATTGTGTACATATATTGTGTACAGAGATTGTGTACGGAGATATATTGTGTATGTACATTGTGTACGAGATACATTGTGTACAGATATATTGTGTATATATATGTGTACAGAGATATGTGTACAGAGATATATATTGTGTACGGAGATATATTGTGTACGGAGATATATTGTGTACGGAGATATATTGTGTACGGAGATACATTGTGTACAGAGATATATTGTGTACAGAGATATATTGTGTACAGAGATATATTGTGTACGGAGATATATTGTGTACGGAGATATATTGTGTACAGAGATATATTGTGTACAGAGATATATTGTGTACAGAGATACATTGTGTACAGAGATATATTGTGTACAGAGATATATTGTGTACAGAGATATATTGTGTACAGAGATATATTGTGTACAGAGATACATTGTGTACAGAGATATATATTGTGTACAGAGATATATTGTGTACAGAGATATATTGTGTACATATTGTGTAGATATATTTGTGTACAGAGATATATTGTGTACAGAGATATATTGTGTACAGAGATACATCGTGTATTGTGTACAGAGATACATTGTGTACAGAGATGTATTGTGTACAGAGATATGTGTACAGAGATATATTGTGTACAGAGATACATTGTGTAGAGATATATTGTGTACAGAGATATATTGTGTACAGAGATATATTGTGTACGGAGATGTATTGTGTATGGAGATGTGTTGTGTACGGAGATATATTGTGTACAGAGATGTATTGTGTACAGAGATATATTGTGTACGGAGATATATTGTGTACAGAGATATATTGTGTACAGAGATACATTGTGTACAGAGATACATTGTGTACAGAGATACATTGTGTACAGAGAGTGTACAGAGATACATTGTGTACAGAGATACATTGTGTACAGAGATACATTGTGTACAGAGATACATTGTGTACAGAGATGTATTGTGTACAGAGATATATTGTGTACATACATGTGTACAGAGATATATTGTGTACAGAGATACATCGTGTACAGAGATACATCGTGTACAGAGATACATTGTGTACAGAGATACATTGTGTACAGAGATACATTGTGTACAGAGATACATTGTGTATGGAGATACATCTTGTACGGAGATATATTGTGTACTGAGATACATTGTGTACAGAGATACATTGGGTACAGAGATATATTGTGTACAGAGATACATCGTGTACAGAGATACATTGTGTACAGAGATACATTGTGTACAGAGATACATTGTGTACAGAGATACATTGTGTACAGAGATACATTGTGTACAGAGATACATTGTGTACGGAGATACATAGTGTACGGAGATGTATTGTGTACAGAGATATATTGTGTACGGAGATACATTGTGTACAGAGATACATTGTGTACAGAGATACATTGTGTACAGAGATACATTGTGTACAGAGATATATTGTGTACAGAGATATATTGTGTACAGAGATATATTGTGTACAGAGATATATTGTGTACAGAGATATATTGTGTACAGAGATACATTGTGTACAGAGATATATTGTGTATGGAGATACATTGTGTACAGAGATACATTGTGTACAGAGATACATTGTGTACAGAGATACATTGTGTACAGAGATACATTGTGTACAGAGATACATTGTGTACAGAGATACATTGTGTACAGTGATATATCGTGTACAGATACATTGATACATTGTGTACAGAGATACAGAGATACATTGTGTACAGAGATATATTGTGTACAGAGATATATTGTGTACAGAGATACATTGTGTACGGAGATACATAGTGTACGGAGATGTATTGTGTACGGAGATATATTGTGTACGGAGATATATTGTGTATTGTGTACAGAGATACATTGTGTACAGAGATACATTGTGTACAGAGATATATTGTGTACAGAGATATATTGTGTATGGAGATACATTGTGTACGGAGATACATTGTGTACGGAGATACATTGTGTACAGAGATGTATTGTGTACAGAGATATATTGTGTACGGAGATATATTGTGTACAGAGATATATTGTGTATGGAGATACATCGTGTACAGAGATACATTGGGTACAGAGATATATTGTGTACAGAGATATATTGTGTACAGAGATACATTGTGTACAGAGATACATTGTGTACAGAGATACATTGTGTACAGAGATATATTGTGTACAGAGATATATTGTGTATGGAGATATATTGTGTACGGAGATGTATTGTGTACAGAGATATATTGTGAACAGAGATATATTGTGTACAGAGATATATTGTGTATGGAGATATATTGTGTACGGAGATATATTGGTACAGAGATATATTGACAGAGATACATTGTGTACAGAGATATATTGTGTACAGAGATATACTTGTGTACAGAGATGTGTTGTGTACATTGGTAAGTTACATTGTGTACTATATTGTGTACAGAGATACATTGTGTACAGAGATACATTGTGTACAGAGATGTATTGTGTACAGAGATGTATTGTGTACAGAGATGTATTGTGTACAGAGATACATTGTGTACAGAGATACATTGTGTACAGAGATACATTGTGTACAGAGATACATTGTGTACAGAGAGTGTACAGAGATACATTGTGTACAGAGATGTATTGTGTACAGAGATGTATTGTGTACAGAGATAAGTTACATTGTGTACTGAGGTCACTGTGTATTTAATGGTGTGTACATGGAAGAATATATTTCACAGTCATACATTGTAATGTACAGAGATGTGATTATATTGTGGGTATTGATAATTGTTATCAGGAGATGTACTACAGGTCACTGATTTAATGGTGTGTTTGTGGGGTAAGTTATTACAGGATCTGAGGTCACTGGATTTAATGGTGTGTTTGTGGGGAAGAATTGCTGAAGGTCACTGACACCTTTCTTTAATGGTGTGTTTGTGGGGTAAGTTATTACTGAGGTCACTGATTTAATGGTGTGTTTGTGGGGTAAGTTATTACTGAGGTCACTGATTTAATGGTGTGTTTGTGGGGTAAGTTATTACTGAGGTCACTGATTTAATGGTGTGTTTGTGGGGTAAGTTATTACTGAGGTCACTGATTTAATGGTGTGCTTGTGGGGTAAGTTATTACTGAGGTCACTGATTTAATGGTGTGTTTGTGGGGTAAATTATTACTGAGGTCACTGATTTAATGGTGTGTTTGTGGGGTAAGTTATTACTGAGGTCACTGATTTAGTGGTGTGTTTGTGGGGTAAATTACTACTGAGGTCACTGATTTAATGGTGTGTTTGTGGGGTAAGTTATTACTGAGGTCACTAATTTAATGGTGTGTTTGTGGGGTAAGTTATTACTGAGGTCACTGATTTAATGGTGTGTTTGTGGGGTAAGTTATTACTGAGGTCACTGATTTAATGGTGTGTTTGTGGGGTAAATTGTTACTGAGGTCACTGATTTAATGGTGTGTTTGTGGGGTAAATTATTACTGAGGTCACTGATTTAATGGTGTGTTTGTGGGGTAAATTATTACTGAGGTCACTGATTTAGTGGTGTGTTTGTGGGGTAAATTACTACTGAGGTCACTGATTTAATGGTGTGCTTGTGGGGTAAGTTATTACTGAGGTCACTGATTTAATGGTGTGTTTGTGGGGTAAGTTATTACTGAGGTCACTGATTTAGTGGTGTGTTTGTGGGGTAAATTATTACTGAGGTCACTGATTTAATGGTGTGTTTGTGGGGTAAGTTATTACTGAGGTCACTGATTTAATGGTGTGTTTGTGGGGTAAATTATTACTGAGGTCACTGATTTAATGGTGTGTTTGTGGGGTAAGTTATTACTGAGGTCACTGATTTAATGGTGTGTTTGTGGGGTAAATTACTACTGAGGTCACTGATTTAATGGTGTGCTTGTTGGGTAAGTTATTACTGAGGTCACTGATTTAATGGTGTGTTACATTATTTGTGGGAAATTACTTTGTCTGACTTATGTTTTATAGGATGTAGATTTCTGTCCCATTACTGTACAGTATTTATTGTATCAGGTCTAACTATAACACACTGATAGAATATTCTAAGATAGAATAATATGATCTCATTTACAATTTTTTTTATAAACACAGGGACTGTGTTCCTGGAGTCCTGGAAGCGTAAGAGTGCAACACTTGCTTATGAATGGGATGTGGACAATTATGATAGTAATGAGCCAGATCGGCCGCAGTTTTTTGGGACAAAAGTCAAGAAAGATCCAGTAACATCAGAGGAGAACTGGTTCTATCCTGTTAAAAGACAGATTGTTAAATATATATTTTCTGCCTCAACCTTACTGTTTATGGTAAGTTTGAACTTCAAGTAGAGAGAGTTCATATGTCAAAATATGAAATGTGATTAATTATTCAATGTTAACTTGGATACTCAAATGTGAAAGTCCTTTATTCTTTAAGCCTAGCAGTTTATAAAGATAGAGACTTCTTTGGCTGTGTACAGAGTTGTGTCCCTTTGTTTACTATATTTTGTATGAAGAACTATTTGTGTCCCATTGTGTACAGAGTTGTGTCCCTTTGTTTACTACATGAGTGTATGATGAACTATTTCTGTCCCGCTGTGTACAGAGTTGTGTCCCTTTGTTTATTACATGTATGTATGATGAACTATTTGTGTCCCACTGTGTACAGAGTTGTGTCCCTTTGTTTATTACGTGAGTGTATGATGAACTTTTTGTGTCCCACTGTGTACAGAGTTGTGTCCCTTTGTTTACTACATGATTGTATGATGAACTATTTGTGTCCCGCTGTGTGAAGAGTTGAGTCCCTTTGTTTACTACATGAGTGTATGATGAACTATTTGTGTCCCACTGTGTACAGAGTTGTGCCCCTTTGTTTATTACATGAGTGTATGATGAACTTTTCGTGTCCCACTGTGTACAGAGTTGTGTCCCTTTGTTTACTACATGAGTGTATGATGAACTATTTGTGTCCCGCTGTGTACAGAGTTGTGTCCCTTTGTTTATTACATGAGTGTATGATGAACTATTTGTGTCCCACTGTGTACAGAGTTGTGTCCCTTTGTTTATTACATGAGTGTATGATGAACTATTTGTGTCCCACTGTGTACAGAGTTGTGCCCCTTTGTTTATTACATGAGTGTATGATGAACTATTTGTGTCCAGCTGTGTGAAGAGTTGAGTCCCTTTGTTTACTACATGAGTGTATGATGAACTTTTTGTGTCTCACTGTGTGAAGAGTTGTGTCCCTTTGTTTATTACATGAGTGTATGATGAACTTTTTATGTCCCACTGTGTACAGAGTTGTGTCCCTTTGTTTACTACATGAGTGTATGATGAACAATTTGTGTCCCGCTGTGTACAGAGTTGTGTCCCTTTGTTTATTACATGAGTGTATGATGAACTATTTGTGTCCCACTGTGTACAGAGTTGTGTCCCTTTGTTTATTACATGAGTGTATGATGAACTATTTGTGTCCCGCTGTGTGAAGAGTTGAGTCCCTTTGTTTATTACATGATTGTATGATGAACTATTTGTGTCCCACTGTGTACAGAGTTGTGTCCCTTTGTTTATTACATGAGTGTATGATGAACTATTTGTGTCCCACTGTGTACAGAGTTGTGTCCCTTTGTTTATTACATGAGTGTATGATGAACTATTTGTGTCCCACTGTGTACAGAGTTGTGCCCCTTTGTTTATTACATGAGTGTATGATGAACTATTTGTGTCCCGCTGTGTGAAGAGTTGAGTCCCTTTGTTTACTACATGAGTGTATGATGAACTTTTTGTGTCCCACTGTGTACAGAGTTGTGTCCCTTTGTTTATTACATGAGTGTATGATGAACTTTTTGTGTCCCACTGTGTACAGAGTTGTGCCCCTTTGTTTACTACATGAGTGTATGATGAACTATTTGTGTCCCGCTGTGTACAGAGTTGTGTCCCTTTGTTTATTACATGAGTGTATGATGAACTATTTGTGTCCCACTGTGTACAGAGTTGTGTCCCTTTGTTTATTACATGAGTGTATGATGAACTATTTGTGTCCCGCTGTGTGAAGAGTTGAGTCCCTTTGTTTATTACATGAGTGTATGATGAACTATTTGTGTCCCACTGTGTACAGAGTTGTGTCCCTTTGTTTATTACATGAGTGTATGATGAACTATTTGTGTCCCACTGTGTACAGAGTTGTGCCCCTTTGTTTATTACATGAGTGTATGATGAACTATTTGTGTCCCGCTGTGTGAAGAGTTGAGTCCCTTTGTTTACTACATGAGTGTATGATGAACTTTTTGTGTCCCACTGTGTACAGAGTTGTGTCCCTTTGTTTATTACATGAGTGTATGATGAACTTTTTGTGTCCCGCTGTGTACAGAGTTGTGCCCCTTTGTTTACTACATGAGTGTATGATGAACTATTTGTGTCCCGCTGTGTACAGAGTTGTGTCCCTTTGTTTATTACATGAGTGTATGATGAACTATTTGTGTCCCACTGTGTACAGAGTTGTGTCCCTTTGTTTATTACATGAGTGTATGATGAACTATTTGTGTCCCACTGTGTACAGAGTTGTGCCCCTTTGTTTATTACATGAGTGTATGATGAACTATTTGTGTCCCGCTGTGTGAAGAGTTGAGTCCCTTTGTTTACTACATGAGTGTATGATGAACTTTTTGTGTCCCACTGTGTACAGAGTTGTGTCCCTTTGTTTATTACATGAGTGTATGATGAACTTTTTGTGTCCCACTGTGTACAGAGTTGTGCCCCTTTGTTTACTACATGAGTGTATGATGAACTATTTGTGTCCCGCTGTGTACAGAGTTGTGTCCCTTTGTTTATTACATGAGTGTATGATGAACTTTTTGTGTCCTGCTGTGTGCAGAGTTGTGCCCCTTTGTTGGCGACCTGAGCGTATGATGAACTTATTGTGTCCTGCTGTGTACAGAGTTGTGTCCCTTTGTTTACTACATTAGCGTATGATGAACTATTTTGTGTCTTGCTCATCATGTAAAAGGGTTGTGTTCCTTTGTTTACTAAATATTTGATGAATTAGCTTGAATGGAGCACATTTGTCAGTATATATGTGAATATAAAATTCTTCTCTTTGAAATGAATATATGAAGTGTTCCCTTTGTTTTAGGTGAGTTTAGTCTTGGCCAGTTTAGTGGGAGTAATCGTGTACAGGGTCATTATTGCCGTAGATTTATGTCCAGGAATGTCAGCTGTACAGTGTCTCATCACTACCAATGTTGTATCTGCCATCCTCAATGCTGTGTCCATCATACTTCTGGGCAAAGTAAGTATACAAAATGGCTGCAGTAAGACTGCTTGATTTCCATATCTAAACGATTTGTCATCATTATTTATATCACATGATAAAAACTAAAGAATTTCTCTGTATTTCTAGGTGTATGATAAAGTAGCCATCAAGCTCACAGACTGGGGTAAGTACTACAATAATAATTTGCTTTGATAAAACTCTAGAGCTGTCTTAGAATTAAATCAGTTTTATAAAATATCTGTCAAAAATGGAGGTCTTTAATACAAAATGTAACTGTAATTTTTTCGTGAAATACATAAAATGTGTCATGCGTAGTGTACAGCTGTTTACATATGAACATGGCAATATGTACCTGAAGTAGCATATTATAACATGAACAATTTGTTATATATTGAAATTTTCAATATTTTCTTGGTAATAAACATGGCCTGCTGTCTGTTGAAATTGATTTTACTCGATTTAAGTTTATGCTAATTAATCAACTCCCTGCATGCCTTCGGATATCCAGATGGAGGGTGAAGGACTCGTTCATCCACTCTAAGTGATGCAGCATTGGCTCAATGTCAAGATATATGTGATTCTTGATACATACTTCATCAGCTGATAATAAACATTTTACATTTACAGAAAATTACCGAACGCAGAGTGGCTATGATGACGCACTCATCATTAAACTGTTCGCCTTCCAATTTGCCAACAACTATGCGTCTTGTGTCTATATTGCTTTTTTCCGTGGGGTAAGTTGATATAAGGAATATATGGACTAATTATATTAGTTACCAGGTTTTGTTCTGTTGGCGTTGATTGTCAGTGGTCATTAATTAATGTGCAGTAAATTTTGAAATTTACAATGATAACTTTTGAAATCTACAATGGCAGCTTTTGAAATCTACAATGACAACTTTTGAAATCTACAATGACAACTTTTGAAATCTACAATGACAGAACAGACAGTTTGGGTTATGTTGATTTCATTGGTAAGTATAATGAGCAGAGTAATATAAATCATCTTTTTAAACATAATTTTTTTCTTTACTGCACCATTCAATTTTCACAATTTCTCCATCTTAATATCTTTATTCTCAGTCAATATATTTTCTCTTTCAGAACTTTGATGTGTTTGGTGTTTTTGGACTCGGAGAGGAGTATCGTGATGACTGTTCTGGAACCTGTATGTCCCAGCTGTCCTTCCAAGTCCTTACTCTTATGGTGGTGAAACCTTTCCCAAAAATGTTCAAGGACATTGTCCTGCCGTAAGTGTTACTTCTCATACACAGAATGTATAACAGAGTGTTTTACTACTGACTTGTTTCCACATGTGTAAGAAAACTTGTAACATGCTGCAGCATAAAGGCCATATTCATGCTGGGATTAAGCTTGTTCAAATTAATTACCTTGACCCATTTTCAAGGTCTCTTCAGTTAAATATTCAAAAGTCCATAAAATATTTTTTGAATGACCATACAGGTCATCCAATGCCATGAATACAAGCTAGTAGCATGCTGGTATTAATGGTTATCACTTTTATACAGGAGTATACACCTATTTTCAAAGTGGAGGCCTAGAGTCATCAGAAATGACAGGTGGGATCTATACAAATGGCCCTATTCAGATTTTTACAAATCTTTTGAAAACAATCCTCTTTTAGAATCTACCATTCCAACATTGAGTAATTAGATTGATATTTTCTTAGAAAGATCCATTTTCGTTCTGCCTGCTCAGTTGCTGCTTTGTCTGTCCATCTTTTTGTCCGTCCATCGTTATTTTGTCCAGGGCATAACCACAGACACCAAAAGAGGTTCAAATATGAAACTTCATAGGTAGATAAATCTGAACAAGTAAAAGTGCAGTACACAAGAACCATCACTCTCATTTGCAGGATTTGATGAGTTATTGCCCTTTGTTCTTTTTCATACTTAAATTTTGTCCGAAGTATAACACAAACACTGTGTAAGGTATCAACATAAAAAACGATACACAAGGATCATAACTCTCTTATTGCCTTTTGTTATTTTTCAACCTTAGATTTTGTCCCATTCAGGGAGCATAACCCATCTCTGTTAGCCTTTCTGTGATGAGTTTGACCTTGGGGATTTGTTGGTGTGTTAATGTGCATGTATTATCATTGTGTATACAAAGTGGTTTTCTGTTGTGTGATGTGGTAATCTTTTATTGTTATCATAGATTGTTGATAAAGCTGTGGAGGATACGTCCTTCCTGGTGCTGTAGATGTGCCTGCTTTAAAAACAAAGTTGGAGAAAAATCGCCCGAGGATCAAATTGAGGCTGACCGCCAAATCACAAACTCATACATCGAAATGGAGTTCATGAAACCAACACTTGGGGATTTCACACTCGGAGAATACACTGAGAAAATCATCCAGTATGGCTTTCTAATGGTAAGTGATAATATTTTCTATAGTTTACTTTTGCTAATTGGAGATCTCCTTGATGACTGTTCCTATTGGGATATATTTCTGATGTCATCTGTTCCTGTTGGGGTATATTCCTGATGTCATCTGTTCCTGTTGGGGTATATTCATCCTGGAATCTGTTCCTGTTGGGGTATATTCATCCTGGCATCTGTTTCTGTTGGGATATATTCCTCCTGGCATCTACTCCTGTTGGGGTATATTCCTGATGTCATCTGTTCCTGTTGGGGTATATTCCTCCTGGCATCTGTTCCTGTTGGGGTATATTCCCCCTGACATCTGTTCCTGTTGGGGTATATTCCTGATGTCATCTGATCCTGTTGGGGTATATTCCTGATGACATCTGTTTCTGTTGGGGTATATTCCTCCTGGCATCTGTTTCTGTTGGGGTATATTCCTCCTGGCATCTGTTCCTGTTGGGGTATATTCCTTCCTTTTGTGGTATATTCCCCCTGGCATCTGTTCCTGTTGGGGTATATTCCTCCTGGCATCTGTTCCTGTTGGGGTATATTCCTGATGTCATCTGTTCCTGTTGGGGTATATTCCTAATGTCATCTGTTCCTGTTGGGGTATATTCCTCCTGGCATCTATTCCTGTTGGGGTATATTCCCGATGTCATCTGTTTCTGTTGGGGTATATTCCTCCTGGCATCTGTTCCTGTTGGGGTATATTCCCCCTGACATCTGTTCCTGTTGGGGTATATTCCTCCTGGCATCTGTTCCTGTTGGGGTATATTCCTTATGTCATCTGTTCCTGTTGGGGTATATTCCCCGTGGCATTTGTTCCTGTTGGGGTATATTCCTCCTGGCATCTGTTCCTGTTGGGGTATATTCCTCCTGGCATCTGTTCATGTTGGGGTATATTCCTTCTGGCATCTGTTCCTGTTGGGGTATATTCCTTCCTTTTGTGGTATATTCCCTGTTCCAGGCATCAGTTCCTGTTGGGGTATATTCCTCCTGGCATCTGTTCCTGTTGGGGTATATTCCCCTGGCATCTGTTCCTGTTGGGGTATATTCTTCCTGGCATCTGTTCCTGTTTGGGTATATTCCTCCTGGAATCTGTTCCTGTTGGGGTATATTCCTCCTGGCATCTGTTCCTGTTGGGGTATATTCCTCCTGGCATCTGTTCCTGTTGGGGTATATTCCTCCTGGCATCTGTTCCTGTTGGGGTATATTTCTGATGTCATCTGTTCCTGTTGGGGTATATTCCTCCTGGCATCTGTTCCTGTTGGGGTATATTCCTCCTGGCATCTGTTCATGTTGGGGTATATTCCTCCTGGAATCTGTTCCTGTTGGGGTATATTCCTCCTGGCATCTGTTCCTGTTGGGGTATATTCCTCCTGGCATCTGTTCCTGTTGGGGTATATTCCTCCTGGCATCTGTTCCTGTTGGGGTATATTCCTCCTGTCATCTGTTCCTGTTGGGATATATACCCCCTGGCATCTGTTCCTGTTGGGGTATATTCCTTATGTCATCTGTTCCTGTTGGGGTATATTCCTTATGTCATCTGTTCCTGTTGGGGTATATTCCTCCTGGCATCTGATCCTGTTGGGGTATATACCCCCTGGCATCTGTTCCTGTTGGGGTATATTCCTCCTGGCATCTGTTCCTGTTGGGGTATATTCCTCCTGGCATCTGTTCCTGTTGGGGTATATTCCTCCTGGCATCTGTTCCTGTTGGGGTATATTCCTCCTGGCATCTGTTCCTGTTGGGGTATATTCCTCCTGGCATCTGTTCCTGTTGGGGTATATTCCTCCTGGCATCTGTTCCTGTTGGGGTATATTCCTCCTGGCATCTGTTCCTGTTGGGGTATATTCCTCCTGGCATCTGTTCCTGTTGGGGTATATTCCTCCTGGCATCTGTTCCTGTTGGGGTATATTCCTCCTGGCATCTGTTCCTGTTGGGGTATATTCCTTCCTTTTGTGGTATATTCCCCCTGTCTTCTGTTCCTGTTGGGGTATATACCCCCTTGGCATCTGTTCCTGTTGGGGTATATTCCTCCTGGCATCTGTTCCTGTTGGGGTATATTCCTCCTGGCATCTGTTCATGTTGGGGTATATTCCTCCTGGCATCTGTTCCTGTTGGGGTATATTCCTGATGTCATCTGTTCCTGTTGGGGTATATTCCTCCTGGCATCTGTTCCTGTTGTGGTATATTCCTCCTGGCATCTGTTCCTGTTGGGGTATATTCCTCCTGGCATCTGTTCCTGTTGGGGTATATTCCTCCTGGCATCTGTTCCTGTTGGGGTATATTCCTCCTGGCATCTGTTCCTGTTGGGGTATATTCCTCCTGGCATCTGTTCATGTTGGGGTATATTCCTCCTGGCATCTGTTCCTGTTGGGGTATATTCCTGATGTCATCTGTTCCTGTTGGGGTATATTCCTCCTGGCATCTGTTCATGTTGGGGTATATTCCTTCTGGCATCTGTTCCTGTTGGGGTATATCCCTGATGTCATCTGTTCCTGTTGGGGTATATTCCTCCTGGCATCTGTTCCTGTTGAGGTATATTCCTCCTGGCATCTGTTCCTGTTGGGGTATATTCCTCCTGGCATCTGTTCCTGTTGGGGTATATTCCTCCTGGCATCTGTTCCTGTTGGGGTATATTCCTTCCTTTTGTGGTATATTCCCCCTGGCATCTGTTCCTGTTGGGGTATATTCATCCTGGCATCTGTTTCTGTTGGGGTATATTCCTCCTGGCATCTGTTCCTGTTGGGGTATATTCCTGATGTCATCTGTTCCTGTTGGGGTATATTCCTCCTGGCATCTGTTCCTGTTGGGGTATATTCCTCATGGCATCTGTTCCTGTTGGGGTATATTCCTCCTGGCATCTGTTCCTGTTGGGGTATATTCCTCCTGGCATCTGTTCCTGTTGGGGTATATTCCTCCTGTCATCTGTTCCTGTTGGGGTATATTCCTCCTGGCATCTGTTCCTGTTGGGGTATATTCCCCTGGCATCTGTTCCTGTTGGGGTATATTCTTCCTGGCATCTGTTCCTGTTTGGGTATATTCCTCCTGTTCCTGTTGGGGTATCTGTTGTTCCTGTTGGGGTATATTCCTGTTCCTGTTGGGGTATATTCCTTATCTGTTCCTGTTGGGGTATATTCCTCCTGGCATCTGTTCCTGTTGGGGTATATTCCTCCTGGCATCTCTGTTCCTGTTGGGGGTATATTCCTCCTGGCATCTTTTCCTGTTGGGGTATATTCCTCCTGGCATCTGTTCCTGTTGGGTGTATATTCCTCCTGGCATCTGTTCCTGTTGGGGTATATTCCTCTTCCGGTGTATATTCCTGATGTCATCTGTTCCTGTTGGGGTATATTCCTCCTGGCATCTGTTCCTGTTGGGGTATATTCCTTCTGGCATCTGTTCCTGTTGGGGTATATACCCCCTGGCATCTGTTCCTGTTGGGGTATATTCCTCCTGGCATCTGTTCCTGTTGGGGTATATTCCTCCATCTGTTCCTGGCATCTGTTCCTGTTGGGGTATATTCCTCCTGTCATCTGTTCCTGTTGGGGTATATTCCTCCTGGCATCTGTTCCTGTTGGGGTATATTCCTCCTGGCATCTGATCCTGTTGGGGTATATTCCTTATGTCATCTGTTCCTGTTGGGGTATATTCCTCCTGGCATCTGTTCCTGTTGGGGTATATTCCTTCTGGCATCTGTTCCTGTTGGGGTATATTCCTTATGTCATCTGTTCCTGTTGGGGTATATTCCTCCTGGCATCTGTTCCTGTTGGGGTATATTCCTCCTGGCATCTGATCCTGTTGGGGTATATTCCTTATGTCATCTGTTCCTTATTCCCCCTGATCTGTTCCTGTTGGGGTATATTCCTGATGTCATCTGTTCCTGTTGGGGTATATTCCTCCTGGCATCTGTTCCTGTTGGGGTATATTCCTACGTTGAGGTATATTCCTCCTGGCATCTGTTCCTGTTGGGGTATATTCCTCCTGGCATCTGTTCCTGTTGGGGTATATTCCTCCTGTCATCTGTTCCTGTTGGGGTATATACCCCCTGGCATCTGTTCCTGTTGGGGTATATTCCTGATGTCATCTGTTCCTGTTGGGGTATATTCCTCCTGGCATCTGTTCCTGTTGGGGTATATTCCTCCTGGCATCTGTTCCTGTTGGGGTATATTCCTTATGTCATCTGTTCCTGTTGGGGTATATTCCTCCTGGCATCTGTTCCTGTTGGGGTATATTCCTCCTGGCATCTGTTCCTGTTGGGGTATATTCCTCCTGGCATCTGTTCCTGTTGGGGTATATTCCTCCTGGCATCTGTTCCTGTTGGGGTATATACCCCCTGGCATCTGTTCCTGTTGGGGTATATTCCTTATGTCATCTGTTCCTGTTGGGGTATATTCCTCCTGGCATCTGTTCCTGTTGGGGTATATACCTGATGTCATCTGATCCTGTTGGGGTATATTCCTGATGTCATCTGTTCCTGTTGGGGTATATTTCTTATGTCATCTTTTCCTGTTGGGGTATATTCCTCCTGGAATCTGTTCCTGTTGGGGTATATTCCTCCTGGCATCTTTTCCTGTTGGGGTATATTCCTCCTGGGATCTGTTCCTGTTGGGGTATATTTTTGATTGCAGGTATTCTGAATAGGATCGTATGTTTTTATCAACAATGTGCGTCAATTTTTCACTAAAGACATAGTTTATTATTGATATTTGTTTGATTTCAGCTGTTTGCTGCGTCCTTCCCTCTGGCCCCGCTTCTAGCCCTGGTCACCTTATTAGTGGATATCAGAGTAGATGCTAAGAGGATGCTGTGGCTGAACAGACGGCCTATAGCTTATATACGCAAGGACATTGGTAAGTGTTATCAACCATACACATAAAAAGTAGCATTACAATTGTCAACAGTATTTTCCCTTTATTAGATAATCAAATTACTGCTGTTGTTTTGCATGAATATTCGTATCTCCCCCATGTTGATGTGGGAAAACATATTCTCTACATTACAGGCCTGCTACTAGTACTAGTTCCTTTCTTAACAGGTCACTTTTACTGTATTTTAGACTTTGTATAGTGTTTCTTACCTTACAGGTCACTGGTACTGTATTTTAGACATGGTATTGTGTGTTCCTTACCTTACAGGTCACTGGTACTGTATTTTAGACTTTTTAAAGTGTGTTTGTTACCTTACAGGTGTCACAGTCCCAACCATAATTTTGTACATTTTATCTGTTTATATGTATGAAATAATATCCCAGTTATTCTGAACATTTTGTACATGTATTTAATGAAATAATTTTGATAATATCTAAACTAAATACTGTCTATCTATTTTTCTGAATAATTCCACGTAAAAGATTTAATTACGGATTCTCCGGATCCGACTTCTTTATATTTGAATTTAGTCTCGTGAGAAAGGAAATGTACATGTAAGCGAGAGCAACGGTGTAGATTTCGGCAGGTCGATAATTGCTTGTATGGGGTTAGCCAGCGCAAAATACAGTTTGCGGTAAGTTTGCAAACCTTTATAACACCCTTATATTCCAATGTTTACCCGGAATCTGTTGTGTTTGGTATTTGGGCCGAATATTAAGAGATACATGTATATGCTTATAACAGCCGATGAGTACAGTTCAAAATACATATGTTATGGGTATAGAATAACTAATTTTTGTGAATTGGATTATGTATCTAGTTATTATAAGCAGAAATAGTCAGTTTATTTATCAGAAACTTGAAATTAAGACTAGAATTTGCTAATGGAATTACATCAGTTAATTAGCTACATATAGTATTATATGGTTGTAATAATATAATATTTGTGTATATTATGAGATACTAAATGAATATATGTATAGCTTAGTAATAGGAATGGGATATTTGGTTAGACATGGTTATATTATGTAATTACAGTTCTACCCCATGATGTTAGTGAGGACGATGATGATACTACTGGTACAGAGATGGTACATGTTTGTGTCCTATGTGGGCCAAGATAGCTGTTGCTAACGTACTGTGTGGGCAAGGCAGTGTAGCCTGATACCATGTCCTGTGTGGGCAGTCCTGTAAACATATGAGGTCTGGTGTGGACTGTTGCGGTATATAGTCTGGAGGTAGACAGACCTATCTACTGTATATGCTGTCCTGTGTGGACAATTATAAAGATGTCCTGTGTGGGCAGTCCTAAGATGTCCTGTGTGGACCATTATGAAGATATCCTGTGTGGGCAGTCCTGAGATGTCCTGTGTGGACAATTATTGAGATGTCCTTTGTGGACAGTACTTGGTGTGTCATTGGATCTGTTAACAGGGAGGACATTTGTTCAATCCGGTGAACATTTGCTGACTGATGTAATGTTTTATAAGCAAGTCATCCAGAGATGTTTTTCATAGTCTTTACCAGAGACATATATAGATGCTTGGCTGTATAGACTTTAATACATATTTCTATAATTATAGTGTAAGTGTGGTTATGAGTGAGGGAGTGAAGTGTGCTAAATTAGGGTAGGAGATATATCTTGTTATGTGTATATAGTGTAATAAACTTGTATATATTGTATTTTGGTTGTTTTAGCCATTCTTTGCGAGTCACGCTCGTCCAGGTTACAACAGGTCACTGGTACTGTATTCTAGACATGGTATAGTGTGTTCCTTACCTTACAGGTCACTGGTACTGTATTTTAGACTTGGTATTGTGTGTTTGTTACCTTACAGGTCACTGGTACAGTATTTCAGACTTTGTATATTGTGTCTTACCTTACAGATCACTGGTACAGTATTTCAGACTTTGTATATTGTGTCTTACCTTACAGGTCACTGGTAGTGTATTTTAGACATGGTATTGTATGTTTGTTACCTTACAGGTCACTGGTACTGTATTTTAGACTTGGTATTGTGTGTTCCTTACCTTACAGGTCACTGGTACTGTATTTTAGACTTTGTATAGTGTGTTCCTTACCTTACAGGTCAATGGTACAGTATTCTAGAATTTGTATAGTGTGTTCCTTACCTTACAGGTCGCTGGTACTGTATTTTAGACTTTGTATAGTGTGTTCCTTACCTTACAGGTCGCTGGTACAGTATTCTAGAATTTGTAAATACCTGTGGTGTTATCTCAAATGGTTTCCTCATTGCCTTTACTTCTGACTGGGGACAACAGTATGATTTTTCTTCTAAGCTTTGGATAGTCATCATATTTGAGGTAAATCTTTCTTACAAGGCCAAGATATTTAATATTTCTTTCTTCGGATGAAACCATTAGAAAATGTCTTATTTTCTTGATAAATATCTCAATGATCTTTAATGATCCTGACATTTGATTTGTTCCATTGAATAGTTTTAATTCTGAGGAACTACCAATAGAACTTAGAGGTTACTCTGCTTGAAAGGGAGATAAATGTATTCCAATAGATGACCTTGATATTGCTTTAAAGGTCACCTAGTCTGATAAGTAGTAGTACATCTGTAAATGGTTTCATTACCTACATAATCATGATACTGACCTTGTCTCTAGATTTAGAGATAATTTTTTGATATGCTATTTAGGACTGACGTTCTGTATTCTGAAGTTTGAATATTTTACTCTGAACTGTAAAAACCCTAAAAAGTAAATATAATAAGAACATTCTTGCATTTTTTTTTTTTTAATTACAGAACTGAAAACTCAATCTAAAAAAGCATTCATCTATGTTTTTCTAGTATAAACGGTCACTCTGAGAAACCATTCATCCATGTTTTTCTACTATAAACGGTCACTCTGAGAAACCATTCATCCATGTTTTTCTACATTAACAGCACATGGTGTTTGGCTTGAAGTTTTTACTGGCTTATCTTATTGCTGATGTTCCGAGACCAATTCGCCTTGCCATGCGGAGGGTAAGAAAATCTTACTTGTTGAGCAGGATTATGTTGATTTTCTTAATAAATGTTTATCTTGTTGATTTAGCTGTATTTGTTTGTCACATGTTATACCTTCAAGTACATCATTAGTTAAAACCAAAATAAAATGGTAGGTTTTAATTTCGGTTGTGTAAACATGGTAAAATATGGGAAATATAGATTTTAAACATAAAGGATGCATAATACATTACAGAGTTAAAAGCCTTGAGTTTTATTGCCTAGAAACCAAGGTAAATGGAAAATGAAACATTTCCAGACCCCAGTAATTTTAACATAAAAACAAAAAGTGTCTGCACTCCTAAATCTAATACCAAATAGGATAAAGGATTCTTACTTAGGGATTTATTATAACTTAGAAACTTACACCAAAACATCCAGGCCACACTTTTATAAAATATTTCAACTTGAGATTTCCTCAAGTCGAGATTTTCCTCAGCTAATATCTCCTTGAAAATATCTTGTATGAAAATTCCTCAAGGAATTTCAGGACATCCTAGCCGAGGACTTCCTCCTGTTCCTTGAGAAAATTTTATACAAGTTGAGATGTTTTATACAAGTGGGGCCAGGTGTATTTTGATGGAAAGCAAACTTATGCCAAACCATGGTATAAAGGTGTAGACAATCTTTGTTATAAGCACATCAATACCTTATTGAGGTGGTCACAACAAGGGAGACTACTCATATGGTCAGCTAATAATGCAAAGTGTTTCACAAAATTTCTCTTAAATGTTCTCTATTTTGGAGCCAAATAAATCATTAACATAAACTTACAATTACACAGATCCCATAAACAGCCTTTTTGTTGTATTTAGTAACTTCATCTGTTAATTGATAGCTCATTTTTGGTCAAATTTCTTAGAAGATCGATATTGGCAGGAAGATGAATGACATCATTTTTTACAAATTTTATCTACATATTGATGACTGTTTGAGACAGTCCTTTAGCTAGACACCAGTATTAAGTACATCAGTAAGTATGGGAATCTACCTTAGTTTATTCTTTATCTTACATATACATTTATACAAAAAATGTGCTTATTGGCCGGGTTGCACATAGTGCAAATACGGGTTATAGTATAGTGAATATCGGGCGGATGGGTGGGTTGGTCGGCAGGTGGGCCGGTTGGCAGGTGGGCGGGCGGGGAAAAGGGGTACCAGTTTTGTAGATTCAACTCCTCCTAGAGATTTTGATGTAGAAGCTTGAAACTTTGTAGGATGTTTATGTATATGTTGAAGATTTGCACTTCCTCCTATTATAGATTCATTCCAAACATTTTTCTGGATTTTCCGGGCTTTGGAACTTTTTTCTGAAACTTTTCTTGTTATCACAGTTTCTCAGAAACTACTACAAACTGCACCAATTAATAAAATACAACCAAACTTTCTTTCTGATAACAAATATTCTACATACTCAACAAATGAAACACCCTTAACTGTCTTATAAATACTGTATAACATTGCACACATCCCATAACCTGGCAAATTGTGGCTTTGCCCCATTTTATATATATAATGTACTTATTTTGTCTTTCAGGAAAAATTCCAAGTTGCCAGAATTCTGAATAGTGTAGCAGGTGATGCTCCAACGGATTATTCTACTCTCATTCTGAGGGAGAAAAAACGAAGGTAGGAAAAATATACCTGCTTATATTGACACAGCTATTTGTAGGCTTGTGTGGCAATTAACGTGTGAATTCCTTTAATAGACTGGTAGGTTTTGCTTCTCCTGCTCACTGAAACACTAAGTTGTGATTCTCAGTTATACTGATCACACAAGCATTAATTAGGAGGTAACCAACTTACTGATGAATATTGTGATTTTACAGAATATAACAGAAGTGCATTGAAAATTGTAAAATTCTATATACCTATATTATACCTGGTTAATAAGTTAACAAAAGATTTTTACATTGATAGAACAAGTTTAAAACAAAAGTTTTGATTTAGCAACACTTGATCCTTTGTTATTTGTCGAGCTACAGTAAAAATCTCACAAGATCTGATCTGATGATATAAGATTTCTTCAAGATTTAAATGTACCTTTAAAATATTTTTAAAAAAATGCTTTTGAAGGTTATTTATATTAAAATTTTTGGGTTATATGATAACTGGGAGATAATGAATGTGTTTCTGTACAATGGATCATGATAACATGGCTATATACATTCATAAAACAGTATCCTGTCCTGAACCTGAACTTCAGATGTTTGTTCTTATAGCAAACATTGATACTTGATCCACAGCGGTTTGCCCACCACTATGGTAAAGTTTTTTTATGAAATAATAAAAAATCTGTCAGAGTTTAATTTTTCGTAAAAAAAATTGCTGCTGTGGTTTAACTTATTCACAGCATTATGTATTCACAGATGCTTCACTGTTTATTGGCATATAATCACACCTGAGATCACTGCTGTAGTGATACCTTGGACTGACCCTCTGTAGACCCTGTGTGTTATATAGATATTAGATGAGGCAGTTGAACTTTGTAATTATCAGATTCTCAATCACATGAATGTATTTTCAAATCTGGAGATTAATAGCAGAAGTTTTAATAGAACTGTAGGCTGTTTCTATAATCACACTTTTTAAACAGCATTTAGAAAAGGAAGTTTTAAACTAAGTACTGTATGAGCCATTGTAAATGTTCCTCTTCCTCTACATGTGAATTTTATGATTTGATAAACAAAGTTCCACTTTTGATTGTACCCATTTTCAGTTCCTTAAAGCACTTGCCTCCTGTTTTTAGAAAAACACGATCATCAAATTATGAATTATTTGATGAGAATGGACTGCCGGTTGTTAGAGAAGATAATAAAACACAAACACAAAAACAAACTCATAAAGAAGGAGACGTACAGACAAAACCTTCTACATCCAAGATGTCAACGGACAAGAGAGACAACTCAGTCAAACCATTAGTAGAGGAGGGAACCAACAGCGATAAACATGCCCCTCTTGTTAGTCCGAATGGAGACCATGGCAGTGTGTATGTATCTCACTAGTGGTTAGCCAGTATTGTTGTTGTAACCTAACTGTATCTCCACTTGACATTAGTGGGGACAGGTTATTAATTAATGATTTGTCCATATGTGACTCACTGAAATACCCACGTGTACAAATGTCTCACTAACCCCGTAGAAGATCTATTGTATGTTTCATCCAATAGTATTTTATCATCACCCTTCATACATGGACTTTATCTGAGATAGGTAAGTGTTAGTGATTTCACTTTATTTGTTTACCTCCATCTTCCTGGCCTAATATTGCACTGTATCAATCCAAAATTGCAGTGTATCTTATAAAATTGAAATACGGATGATTTGTTGATGATTTTTGAACTTTAATAAGTAATAACAGGATATCAAATATCATGGTTTTAATTTTGAAACTTGATTTAAATGTTTGACTGGTTTGTAGGACTGACAATATTGATGTAGACACTTACATAAAGACACAGTAAGTAAGCGGGCTTATCTGCCGTTACCAGTGAATTAGGTCTAGAATGCATGGATAGTTGTCTAAGGAATGCAGTTTTAATTTGCTAGCACTTTGTCATTTTTTGTGTAGTTGCTGAGTAATCCGTATAATTGTAGTTTACACAGTAATGTTTTAGGTTTTCTTATTCAATGTACATTACACAATGAGATATAGTTATAAATAATAACAACATAAATCAGCAGAAAATATTGATTGCTTAACTGTCCTGCAGGTGTGCCATAAGAATTATACCTGTTGTTTCCATTGTATGATAGTAAGAGGTGATTAAATTTGGGATCTCTTTTTTCTAAATATCTTTTATTCTTTTTTAAAGTTTCCTTTGACAGTTAACTCATATTCAGCCTTAAGTTGAGTGTTTGCCCCTGTGAGGAAGGCTACCAGTTCTGTCCCCTGGCAAAGACATACAAGAGGTTTGACACTGGTAGATACTACTCCTTGCTAGATGTTCAGGACTATGGTAGTGATTCAGTATAATGTGATTGGGCGGGGTGTCCTGCTGAAGGCCTTTAGAAGTATACTTTAGTGTGGTAGCCCTGTAAAGCCAAAGTCAGTTCCACACTATCACAAAGGGGCTTACACACAAAAAAAAAGGCCCTGGCTGTTGAATGTTAAACAATGTGAACCAAACCAACTAAATTATTGCTTGTGGATAAGATCATCCTTCAACCAAGCAATTTTAAATAGTCTGGTTCTGCTGAGTGAATTTTAAGTCTAGATTGATCAAGTGAGTTCTAACATTTTTTCTGTTGCAATAGGTGGAAAAAGGATACTGAGTTTTATAAGTGCAGAAGGTCCCCCAGGGAGCAGGGGCACAGGCTTTTAAGGGAAATATAGATTTATCTTAACAATTCAAATCATCTCTCTGGGAGAGGGTCAACATTGATTCCCCATAGAGGAAATACATAAACCTTTTATGGGCTTCCGTAAAGATAACAAGAAATTAGGTTATAACAGAGAATTATGAGCTAGCTGTGACTATATGGCATCAATTAAATTCTTTTTTTCCTAATAATGCTCTTACAGTATTGGTAGTGGCTTTGATTTCTGTGTTACTTTTTTATGTTGATTACCCTTAAATTTCTTAATGTATTTAAATAATTGCTAATTTTGTGGTTTTGCAATAACTTGATCTAAAATGGTTAGAGGTGGTGAGAAATTTTCACTTTGTTTGTTTTTTTGAAAAAAATCCTTAAAGATGACACATATAAACATCACCCACATATTTTGTACATTTAAATAGATTCTGTGTAGCCTTACACAAAAACTTATATTTCTATCGATCGTTAAGATATTTGCAGACCGTTAATTGTTTGTTTAACATGTTTGCAAGAAATGGATACTCTCCTTTGTTTTGAAACTCAGTGAGCATTGCTATGAGTAGTGATATGTGAGTAGTCTCCCTTGTTGTGATGTGTGATTGATATTAATGATATGTGAGTGGTCTCCCTTGTTGTGATGTGTGATGGATATTAGTGATATGTTAGTAGTCTCCCTTGTTGTGATGTGTGATGAATATTAGTGATATGTGAGTGGTCTCCCTTGTTGAGATGTGTGATGGATATTAGTGATATGTTAGTAGTCTCCCTTGTTGTGATGTGTGATGGATATTAGTGATATGTGAATGGTCTCCCTTGTTGTGATGTGTGATGAATATTAGTGATATGTTAGTAGTCTCCCTTGTTGTGATGTGTGATGGATATTAGTGATATGTGAGTAGTCTCCCTTGTTGTGATGTGTGATGGATATTTGTGATATGTGAGTGGTCTCCCTTGTTGTGATGTGTGATGAATATTAGTGATAAATGAGTGGTCTCCCTTGTTGTGATGTGTGATGGATATTAGTGATATGTGAGTAGTCTCCCTTGTTGTGATGTGTGATGGATATTAGTGATATGTGAGTAGTCTCCCTTGTTGTGATTTGTGATGGATATTAGTGATATGTAATTAGTCTCCCCTGGTGTGATGTGCAACAGGAATAAGCGCTTTATAGGCAGTCTCTCATATTGTAATGTTAACGGGTATTAGCAATTTCATTTTCATTTTCTTTCATATATTGTGGTGTGGCAGAGTGGTAGTGAGATATTGGTAGTCTTCCCTGTTGTAATCTTCAAAAAGCAGTAGTGAGGTATGGGTTGTCTGCCCTGTTGTAATCTGTAGGGATTACTAGTGTTGTGAATTTAAAGGAGTAACCATGAGGTATGAGTACCCTCCCTGATATGATCTCCAATAAGTTTTAGGAAAATATGGATAAACCCATCTCTTGTAATATATGAAGAGTGTTATTGGAGTAGCCTCCCCTGTTGTGATCTCCAGTTAGTGTAAGTGAGGTATGGTTGTTGCAAGCGATTGTTTTTTTTTTTCAAATTTCTTAATTGTGTTTTGATGATTTTATTCTTTTCTTTTTTCTACCTAAATCATACAAAGATATTTCATAAAACTTAAATGATATGAAACACATTTACATTACTGAGCAGAGTGAAATAGACAAGATAAACTATTTATCTTACTGGTACCTAAAGTCCAATCAATCAAATATATCATTTATCTTACTGACATAGTCCAAAGTCTAGATATATCATTTATCTTACTGACAGACATAGTCCAAAAGTCTAGATATATCATTTATCTTACTGACAGACATGGTCCAAAAGTCTAGATATATATTTATCTTACTGACAGACATAGTCCAAAAGTCTAGATATATTATTTATCTTACTGACAGACATAGTCCAAAAGGCTAGATATATATTTATCTTACTGACAGACATGGTCCAAAAGTCTAGATATAATATTTATCTTACTGACAGACATAGTCCAAAAGTCTAGATATATCATTTATCTTACTGACAAACATAGTCCAAAAGTCTAGATATATATTTATCTTACTGACAGACATAGTCCAAAAGGCTAGATATATCATTTATCTTACTAACATAGTCCAAAGTCTAGATATATCATTTATCTAACTGACAGACATAGTCCAAAAGGCTAGATATATCATTTATCTTACTGACAGACATAGTCCAGAAGTCTAGATATATTATTTATCTTACTGACATAGTCCAAAGTCTAGATATATCATTTATCTTACTGACAGACATACTCCAAAAGTCTAGATATATCATTTATCTTACTAACATAGTCCAAAGTCTAGATATATCATTTATCTTACTTGCAGACATAGTCCAAAAGGCTAGATATATATTTATCTTACTGACATACATATTCCAAAAGTCTAGAGATATCCTTTATCTTACTGACAGACGTGGTCCAAAAGTCTAGATATATCATTTATCTTACAAACAGACGTAGTCCAAAAGGCTAGATATATATTTATCTTACTGACATACATAGTCCAAAAGTCAAGAGATATCATTTATCTTACTGACAGACGTGGTCCAAAAGTCTAGATATATCATTTAACTTACTGACAGACATAGTCCAAAAGTCTAGATATATATTTATCTTACTGACAGACATAGTCCAAAAGTCTAGATATATCATTTATCTTACTGATATAGTCCAAAGTCTAGATATATCATTTATCTTAGTGGCAGACAGAGTCCAAAAGTCTAGATATATCATTTGTCTTACCTACAGACATAGTCCAAAAGGCTAGATATATCATTTATCTTAGTGGCAGACAGAGTCCAAAAGTCTAGATATATATTTATCTTACTGACAGACATAGTCCAAAAGTCTAGATATATCATTTGTCTTACCTACAGACATAGTCCAAAGTCTAGAGATATCATTTATCTTACTGATATAGTCCAAAGTCTAGATATATCATTTATCTTAGTGGCAGACAGAGTCCAAAAGTCTAGATATATCATTTGTCTTACCTACAGACATAGTCCAAAAGGCTAGATATATCATTTATCTTAGTGGCAGACAGAGTCTAAAAGTCTAGATATATATTTATCTTACTGACAGACATAGTCCAAAAGTCTAGATATATATCTATCTTACTGAAAGACATAGTCCAAAAGGCTAGATATATATTTATCTTACTGACAGACATGGTCCAAAAGGCTAGATATATATTTATCTCACTGACAGACAAAGTCCAAAAGTATAGATATATATTTATCTTACTGACAGACATAGTCCAAAAGGCTAGATATATCATTTATCTTACTGACAGACATAGTCCAAAAGTCTAGATATATATCTATCTTACTGACAGACGTGGTCCAAAAGTCTAGATATATCATTTATCTTACTGACAGACATAGTCCAAAAGTCTAGATATATCATTTATCTTACTGACAGACATGGTCCAAAAGTCTAGATATATCATTTATCTTACTGACAGACATAGTCCAAAAGTCTAGATATATATTTATCTTACTGAGATATATATATTTATCTTACTGACAGATATAGTCCAAAAGTCTAGATGTATTATTTATCTTACTGACAGACGTGGTCCAAAAGTCTAGATATATCATTTATCTTACTGACAGACATGGTCCAAAAGTCTAGATATATCATTTATCTTACTGACAGACATAGTCCAAAAGTCTAGATATATATTTATCTTACTGACAGACATAGTCCAAAAGTCTAGATATATCATTTATCTTACTGACAGACATAGTCCAAAAGTCTAGATATATATTTATCTCACTGACAGACAAAGTCCAAAAGTATAGATATATATTTATCTTACTGACAGACATAGTCCAAAAGGCTAGATATATCATTTATCTTACTGACTAGATATATCATTTATCTTACTGACAGATATATCATTTATCACTGAGTCCAAAAGTCTAGATATATATTTATCTTACTGACAGACATAGTATATCATTTATCTTACTGACAGACATGGTCCAAAAGGCTAGATATATATTTATCTTACTGACAGACATAGTCCAAAAGTCTAGATATATATTTATCTTACTGACAGACATAGTCCAAAAGTCTAGATATATATTTATCTTACTGACAGACATAGTCCAAAAGTCTAGATATATATTTATCTTACTGACAGACATAGTCCAAAAGTCTAGATATATCATTTATCTTACTGACAGACATAGTCCAAAAGTCTAGATATATATTTATCTTACTGACAGACATAGTCCAAAAGTCTAGATATATATCATTTAAAAGTCTTAGTCCAAAAGTCTAGATATATCATTTATCTTACTAACAGACATAGTCCAAAAGTCTAGATATATATTTATCTTACTGACAGATATAGTCCAAAAGGCTAGATATATCATTTATCTTACTGATATATATTTATCAGACAGACATAGTCCAAAAGTCTAGATATATATTTATCTTATATTTATATATATTTATCTTACTGACAGACATAGTCCAAAAGTCTAGATATATATTTATCTTACTGACAGACATAGTCCAAAAGTCTAGATATATCATTTATCTTACTGACACACATGGTCCAAAAGTCTAGATATATCATTTATCTTACTGACAAACATGGTCCAAAAGTCTAGATATATCATTTATCTTACTGACAGACATGGTCCAAAAGTCTAGATATATATTTATCTTACTGACAAGGCAGATATATTTATCTTACAAAAGGCTAGATATATATTTATCTTACTGACAGATATAGTCCAAAAGTCTAGATGTATTATTTATCTTACTGACAGACGTTGTCCAAAAGTCTAGATATGTCATTTATCTTACTGACAAACGTGGTCCAAAAGTCTAGATATATCATTTATCTTACTGACAGACATGGTCCAAAAGTCTAGATATATATTTATCTTACTGACAGACATAGTCCAGAAGTCTAGATATATTATTTATCTTACTGACAGACATAGTCCAAAAGGCTAGATATATCATTTATCTTACTGACAGACATAGTCCAGAAGTCTAGATATATTATTTATCTTACTTACAGACATAGTCCAAAAGGCTAGATATATCATTTTTCTTACTGACAGACATAAAAGTCTAGATATATATTTATCTTACTCACTGAAAGTCTAGATATATCATTTATCTTACTGACAGACATAGTCCAAAAGTCTAGATATATCATTATATCTTACTGACAGACATAGTCCAAAAGTCTAGATATATATCTTACTGACAGACATAGTCCAAAAGTCTAGATATATATTTATCTTACTGACAGACATAGTCCAAAAGTCTAGATATATATTTATCTTACTGACAGACATAGTCCAAAAGTCTAGATATATAATTTATCTTACTGACAGACATAGTCCAAAAGTCTAGATATATCATTTATCTTACTGACAGACATAGTCCAAAAGTCTAGATATATCATTTATCTTACTGACAGACATAGTCCAAAAGTCTAGATATATCATTTATCTTACTGACAGACATAGTCTTACTGACAGACATAGTCCAAAAGATATATCATTTATCTTACTGACAGACATATATCTATATATATCTATCTTACTGAAAGACATAGTCCAAAAGTCTAGATATATATTTATCTTACTGACAGACATAGTCCAAAAGTCTAGATATATATCTATCTTACTGAAAGACATAGTCCAAAAGGCTAGATATATATTTATCTTACTGACAGACATAGTCCAAAAGGCTAGATATATATTTATCTTACTGACAGACATGGTCCAAAAGGCTAGATATATATTTATCTCACTGACAGACAAAGTCCAAAAGTATTGATATATATTTATCTTACTGACAGACATAGTCCAAAAGTCTAGATATATAATTTATCTTACTGACAGACATAGTCCAAAAGTCTAGATATATCATTTATCTTACTGACATACATAGTCCAAAAGTCAAGAGATATCATTTATCTTACTGACAGACATGGTCCAAAAGTCTAGATATATCATTTATCTTACTGACAGACATAGTCCAAAGTCTAGAGATATCATTTATCTTACAGACATAGTCCAAAAGGCTAGATATATCATTTATCTTAGTGGCAGACAGAGTCCAAAAGTCTAGATATATATTTATCTTACTGACAGACATAGTCCAAAAGTCTAGATATATATTTATCTTACTGACAGACATAGTCCAAAAGTCTAGATATATCATTTATCTTACTCTCAGACATAGTCCAAAAGTCTAGATATATCATTTATCTTACTAACAGACATAGTCCAAAAGTCTAGATATATCATTTATCTTACTAACAGACATAGTCCAAAAGTCTAGATATATATTTATCTTACTGACAGACATAGTCCAAAAGGCTAGATATATCATTTATCTTACTGATATAGTCCAAAGTCTAGATATATCTTTTATCTTAGTGGCAGACAGAGTCCAAAAGTCTAGATATATATTTATCTTACTGACAGACATAGTCCAAAAGTCTAGATATATCATTTGTCTTACCTACAGACATAGTCCAAAAGTCTAGATATATATTTATCTTACTGACAGACATAGTCCAAAAGTCTAGATATATCATTTATCTTAGTGGCAGACATAGTCCAAAAGTCTAGATATATATCTATCTTACTGAAAGACATAGTCCAAAAGGCTAGATATATATTTATCTTACTGACAGACATAGTCCAAAAGTCTAGATATATCATTTATCTTACTGACAGACATAGTCCAAAAGTCTAGATATATCATTTATCTTAGTGGCAGACATAGTCCAAAAGTCTAGATATATCATTTATCTTACTCTCAGACATAGTCCAAAAGTCTAGATATATCATTTATCTTACTGACAGACATGGTCCAAAAGGCTAGATATATATTTATCTTACTGACAGACAAAGTCCAAAAGTCTAGATATATATTTATCTTACTGACAGACATAGTCCAAAAGTCTAGATATATATTTATTTATCCAAAAGTCTAGATATATATTTATCTTACTGACAGACATAGTCCAAAAGTCTAGATATATATTTATCTTACTGACAGACATGGTCCAAAAGTCTAGATATATATTTATCTTACTGACAGACATAGTCCAAAAGGCTAGATATACCATTTATCTTACTGACAGACATAGTCCAGAAGTCTAGATATATATCTATCTTACATATGATACATATACACAGAAATAGATATTGTGCATTTTTTTACTTGTGCTATACTTGTTGAATTGGTAAAATTTGATAATAATGATTGTCCTTATTCAATCCTGGTAAATCAAGATGTTTTGTTTAACTAGTTTAAATGTATTACTTTAAGATGAAAAGTTATTTCACCTGTGAAATATTTCTCTTTTTTTCTAATGTGAAGTAAGCTTACTTGTTTTCCTTATGACTATTTTGTTGGAATGTATGATAATAATCATTACATGACAATTGTTAAAGATGAATGTGTTATTCTGAAATAGCATCTTTTACAAGTAGTTATAACTTTCACAGTTAATTTGCAAATATTACATAATGTTTATGTGATATTTTAGCGGTATACAAGAAGATCTTTGGTATTGTGGTGACACAGACAAAACCACCAGGTATATAGCCTCCTAGCACTGCATGAGTTTATATATAGCTACTTTTTATGTACCTGAAGCCTCAGATTTGGTTTAGTTTTGCCTTTCCTCTTCCCATCATCTCCTGCTATCATGTGTCATAAATTGATCAGATATAATATAGGGCTGTATAGAAATCTAGGTGTGACTTGATTCATTCATTGTCTCTTACATCATTTATGTTAATTTTAGACATCTTCATTTATGAGGAATCAGCAGAAATTTGAATATGATTTGTTTGATTACTTTGAAGGAGAGTAAGTTTCATAAAAATATATCATACCATATCCCAGTATATGTAGATATAAAAAAGACCTATTACATATATATCTCAGTATCAACATCCGTACAATATTCTAATATACTGTATAGACACTCAGTATCAACATCCATACAATATCCTTATAAACTGTATAGACACTCAGTATCAACATCCATACAATATACTGTATAGACACTCAGCATCAACATCCGTACAATATCCTAATATACTGTATAGACACTCAGTATCAACATCCGCACAATATCCTAATATACTATATAGACACTCAGTATCAACATCCATACAATATCCTAATATACTGTATAGACACTCTGTATCAACATCCGTACAATATCCTAATATACTGTATAGACACTCGGTATCAACATCCGTACAATATACTGTATAGACACTCAGTATCAACATCCGTACAATATCCTAATATACTGTATAGACACTCAGTATCAACATCCGTACAATATCCTAATATACTGTATAGACACTCGGTATCAACATCCGTACAATATACTGTATAGACACTCAGTATCAACATCTGTACAATATCCTAATATACTGTCTAGACACTCAGTATCAACATCCGTACAATATCCTAATATACTGTATAGACACTCAGTATCAACATCCGTACAATTTCCTAATATACTGTATAGACACTCAGTATCAACATCCGTACAATATCCTAATATACTGTATAGACACTCAGTATCAACATCCGTACAATATCCTAATATACTGTATAGACACTCAGTATCAATATCCGTACAATATCCTAATATACTGTATAGACACTCAGTATCAACATCCATACAATTTTTCTAATATACTGTATAGACACTCAGTATATATATTTTGTAGATATCTTATAAACCCTCAGTTTGTATTGATATCTATTAAGTTTTGAGACTATAAAGATATCAATTAAACTCTCACTGTGTATATAGATACATATTTAACTCTAACTGTGTCTATAGATATCTATTAAACTATCACTGTGTATATATTGATATCTATTAAACTCTCACTGTGTATATAGATATCTATTAAACTCTCACTGTGTCTATAGATATCTATTAAACTCTCAATGTGTCTATAGATATCTATTAAAGTCTCATGTGTATATATAGATATCTATTAAACTGTCAGTGAATATATAGATATCTATTAAACTCTCAATGTGTCTATAGATATCTATTAAAGTCTCATGTGTATATATAGATATCTATTAAACTGTCAGTGAATATATAGATATCTATTAAACTCTCAATGTGTCTATAGATATCTATTAAAGTCTCATGTGTATATATAGATATCTATCAAACTGTCAGTGAATATATAGATATCTATTAAACTCTCACTGTGTATATAGATATCTATTAAACTCTCACTGTGTATATATAGATATGTATTAAACTCTCATTGTGTATATATAGATATCTATTAAACTGTCAGTGAATATATAGATATCTATTAAACTCTCACTGTGTATATAGATATCTATTAAACTTTCACTGTGTATATATAGATATGTATTAAACTCTCATTGTGTATATATAGATATCTATTAAACTCTCAGTGAATATATAGATATCTATTAAACTCTCACTGTGTATATAGATATCTATTAAACTCTCACTGTGTATATATAGATATGTATTAAACTCTCACTGTGTATATATAGATATCTATTAAAGTCTCAGTGAATATATAGATATCTATTAAACACTAACTTTGTATATAGATATCTATTAAACTCTCACTGTGTATATAGATATCTATTAAACTCTCACTGTGTATATATAGATATCTATTAAAGTCTCAGTGAATATATAGATATTTATTAAACTCTCACTGTGTATATAGATATCTATTAAACTCTCACTGTGTATATATAGATATGTATTAAACTCACATTGTATATATAGATATCTATTAAACTCTCACTGTGTATATAGATATCTATTAAACTCTCAGTGAATATAAAGATATCTATTAAACTCTCACTGTGTATATATAGATATGTATTAAACTCTCATTGTGTATATATAGATATCTATTAAACTGTCAGTGAATATATAGATATCTATTAAACTCTCACTGTGTATATAGATATCTATTAAGCTTTGTGTGTATATAGATATCTCTTAAACTCTCACAGTGAATATAGATATATATTAAACTCTCACTGTGTATATAGATATCTATTAAACTCACATTGTATATGTAGATATCTATTAAACTCTCACTGTGTATATAGATACATATTTAACTCTAACTGTGTCTATAGATATCTATTAAACTATCACTGTGTATATATTGATATCTATTAAACTCTCACTGTGTATATAGATATCTATTAAACTCTCACTGTGTCTATAGATATCTATTAAACTCTCAATGTGTCTATAGATATCTATTAAAGTCTCATGTGTATATATAGATATCTATTAAACTGTCAGTGAATATATAGATATCTATTAAACTCTCAATGTGTCTATAGATATCTATTAAAGTCTCATGTGTATATATAGATATCTATTAAACTGTCAGTGAATATATAGATATCTATTAAACTCTCAATGTGTCTATAGATATCTATTAAAGTCTCATGTGTATATATAGATATCTATTAAACTGTCAGTGAATATATAGATATCTATTAAACTCTCACTGTGTATATAGATATCTATTAAACTCTCACTGTGTATATATAGATATGTATTAAACTCTCATTGTGTATATATAGATATCTATTAAACTGTCAGTGAATATATAGATATCTATTAAACTCTCACTGTGTATATAGATATCTATTAAACTCTCACTGTGTATATATAGATATGTATTAAACTCTCATTGTGTATATATAGATATCTATTAAACTCTCAGTGAATATATAGATATCTATTAAACTCTCACTGTGTATATAGATATCTATTAAACTCTCACTGTGTATATATAGATATGTATTAAACTCTCACTGTGTATATATAGATATCTATTAAAGTCTCAGTGAATATATAGATATCTATTAAACACTAACTTTGTCTATAGATATCTATTAAACTCTCACTGTGTACATAGATATCTATTAAACTCTCACTGTGTATATATAGATATCTATTAAAGTCTCAGTGAATATATAGATATTTATTAAACTCTCACTGTGTATATAGATATCTATTAAACTCTCAGTGTGTATATAGATATCTATTAAACTCACATTGTATATATAGATATCTATTAAACTCTCACTGTGTATATAGATATCTATTAAACTCTCAGTGAATATAAAGATATCTATTAAACTCTCACTGTGTATATATAGATATGTATTAAACTCTCATTGTGTATATATAGATATCTATTAAACTGTCAGTGAATATATAGATATCTATTAAACTCTCACTGTGTATATAGATATCTATTAAGCTTTGTGTGTATATAGATATCTCTTAAACTCTCACTGTGAATATAGATATATATTAAACTCTCACTGTGTATATAGATATCTATTAAACTCACATTGTATATGTAGATATCTATTAAACTCTCACTGTGTATATAGATATCTATTAAACTCTCAGTGAATATAAAGATAACTATTAAACTCTATAGATATCTATTAAACTCTCTCTGTGTATATAGATATCTATTAAACTCTCAGTGAATATAAAGATATCTATTAAACTCTATAGATATCTATTAAACTCTCTCTGTGTATATAGATATCTATTAAACTCTCAGTGTGTATATATAGATATCTATTAAACTTTCAATGTATATAGATATCTATTAAACTCTCACTGTGGATATAGATATATATTAAACTCTCACTGTGTCTATAGATATCTATTAAACTCTCAGTGTGTATATATAGATATCTATTAAACTCGCATGTGTATATAGATATCTATTAAACTCTCAGTGTGTATATAGATGGATATTAAACTCTCATTGTGTATATATAGATATCTATTAAACTGTCAGTGAATATATAGATATCTATGAAACTCTCACTGTGTATATAGATATCTATTAAACTCTCACTGTGTATATATAGATATGTATTAAACTCTCATTGTGTATATATAGATATCTATTAAACTCTCAGTGAATATATAGATATCTATTAAACTCTCACTGTGTATATAGATATCTATTAAACTCTCATTGTGTATATATAGATATCTATTAAACTCTCAGTGAATATATAGATATCTATTAAACTCTCACTGTGTATATAGATATGTATTAAACTCTCACTGTGTATATATAGATATCTATTAAAGTCTCAGTGAATATATAGATATCTATTAAACACTAACTTTGTCTTTAGATATCTATTAAACTCTCAGTGAATATATAGATATCTATTAAACTCTCACTGTGTATATAGATATCTATTAAACTCTCACTGTGTATATATAGATATCTAGTAAACTCTCACTGTGTATATATAGATATCTATTAAAGTCTCAGTGAATATATAGATATTTATTAAACTCTCACTGTGTATATAGATATCTATTAAACTCTCAGTGTGTATATAGATATCTATTAAACTCACATTGTATATATAGATATCTATTAAACTCTCACTGTGTATATAGATATCTATTAAACTCTCAGTGAATATAAAGATATCTATTAAACTCTCACTGTGTATATATAGATATGTATTAAACTCTCATTGTGTATATATAGATATCTATTAAACTGTCAGTGAATATATAGATATCTATTAAACTCTCACTGTGTATATAGATATCTATTAAGCTTTGTGTGTATATAGATATCGCTTAAACTCTCACTGTGGATATCGATATATATTAAACTCTCACTGTGTCTATAGATATCTATTAAACTCTCAGTGTGTATATATAGATATCTATTAAACTCGCATGTGTATATAGATATCTATTAAACTCTCAGTGTGTATATAGATGGATATTAAACTCTCATTGTGTATATATAGATATCTATTAAACTGTCAGTGAATATATAGATATCTATTAAACTCTCACTGTGTATATAGATATCTATTAAACTCTCACTGTGTATATATAGATATGTATTAAACTATCATTGTGTATATATAGATATCTATTAAACTCTCAGTGAATATATAGATATATATTAAACTCTCACTGTGTATATAGATATCTATTAAACTCTCACTGTGTATATATAGATATGTATTAAACTCTCACTGTGTATATATAGATATCTATTAAAGTCTCAGTGAATATATAGATATCTATTAAACACTAACTTTGTCTATAGATATCTATTAAACTCTCACTGTGTACATAGATATCTAGTAAACTCTCACCGTGTATATAGATATCTATTAAACTCTCACTGTGTATATATAGATATCTAGTAAACTCTCACTGTGTATATAGATATCTATTAAAGTCTCAGTGAATATATAGATATTTATTAAACTCTCACTGTGTATATAGATATCTATTAAACTCTCAGTGTGTATATAGATATCTATTAAACTCACATTGTATATATAGATATCTATTAAACTCTCACTGTGTATATAGATATCTATTAAACTCTCAGTGAATATAAAGATATCTATTAAACTCTCACTGTGTATATATAGATATGTATTAAACTCTCATTGTGTATATATAGATATCTATTAAACTGTCAGTGAATATATAGATATCTATTAAACTCTCACTGTGTATATAGATATCTATTAAGCTTTGTGTGTATATAGATATCTCTTAAACTCTCACTGTGAATATAGATATATATTAAACTCTCACTGTGTATATAGATATCTATTAAACTCACATTGTATATGTAGATATCTATTAAACTCTCACTGTGTATATAGATATCTATTAAACTCTCAGTGAATATAAAGATATCTATTAAACTCTATAGATATCTATTAAACTCTCTCTGTGTATATAGATATCTATTAAACTCTCAGTGTGTATATATAGATATCTATTAAACTTTCAATGTATATAGATATCTATTAAACTCTCACTGTGGATATAGATATATATTAAACTCTCACTGTGTCTATAGATGTCTATTAAACTCTCAGTGTGTATATATAGATATCTATTAAACTCGCATGTGTATATAGATATCTATTAAACTCTCAGTGTGTATATAGATGGCTATTAAACTCTCACTGTGTATATTGATATCTATTAAACTCTCACTGTGTATATAGATATATATTAAACTCTCACTGTGTATACATAGATATTTATCAAACTCTCATGTGTATATAGATATCTATTAAACTCTAACTGAGTATATATAGATATACATTTAACTCTGTGTCTATAGATATATATTAAACTCTCACTGTGTATATAGATGGCTATTAAACTCTCACTGAGTATATATAGATATCTATTAAACTCTCACTGTATATATAGATGGCTATTAAACTCTCACTGAGTATATATAGATATCTATTAACCTGTTGTATGATACTGACACATGTTGTATGTTATTCACACCTGTTGTATGATACTCACACCTGTTGTATGGTACTGACACCTGTTGTATGGTACTGACACATGTTGTATGATACTCACACCTGTTGTATGATACTCACACCTGTTGTTTGGTACTCACACATGTTGTATGATACTCACACCTGTTGTATGATACTCACACCTGTTGTTTGGTACTCACACCTGTTGTATGATACTCACACCTGTTGTATTTTACTGACACCTGTTGTATTTTACTCACACCTGTTGTATGGTACTGACACCTGTTGTATGGTACTGACACCTGTTATATGGTACTCACACTAGTTGTATGGTACTGACACCTGTTGTATGGTACTGACACATGTTGTATGGTACTGACACATGTTGTATGATACTCACACCTGTTGTATGATACTCACACCTGTTGTTTGGTACTCACACCTGTTGTATGATACTCACACCTGTTGTATTTTACTGACACCTGTTGTATTTTACTCACACCTGTTGTATGGTACTCACACCTGTTGTATGGTACTCACACCTGTTGTATGGTACTCACAGTAGTTGTATGGTACTCACACCTGTTGTATGATACTCACACCTGTTGTATTTTACTGACACCTGTTGTATTTTACTCACACCTGTTGTTTGGTACTCACACCTGTTGTATGATACTCACACCAGTTGTATTTTACTGACACCTGTTGTATGATACTCACACCTGTTGTATTTTACTCACACCTGTTGTATGGTACTCACACTAGTTGTATGGTACTGACACCTATTGTATGGTACTCACACCTGTTGTATGTTACTGACACATGTTGTATGACACTGACACCTGTTGTATGATACTCACACCTGTTGTTTGGTACTCTCACCTATTGTATGGTACTCACAACTGTTGTATGATACTCACACCTGTTGTATTTTACTGACACCTGTTGTATGGTACTCACACCTGTTGTATGGTACTGACACCTGTTGTATGGTACTCACACCTGTTGTATGTTACTGACACATGTTGTATGGTACTCACACCTGTTGTATGGTACTGACACCTGTTGTATGGTACTCACACCTGTTGTATGTTACTGACACATGTTGTATGATACTGACACCTGTTGTATGATACTGACACTAGTTGTATGGTACTGATATCTGTGTATGGTACTGATACCTGTTGTATGATACTGACACCTGTTTTATGGTACTGATACCTGTTGTATGGTACTCACACCTGTTGTATGGTACTCGCACCTGTTGTATGTTACTGACACCTGTTGTATGGTACTCACACTAGTTGTATGGTACTCACACTAGTTGTATGGTACTGACACATGTTGTATGTTACTGACACCTGTTGTATGATACTCACACCTGTTGTATGGTACTCACACTAGTTGTATGGTACTCACACCTGTTGTATGGTACTGATACCTGTTGTATGGTACTCACACCTGTTGTATGGTACTCACACAAGTTGTATGTTACTCACACAAGTTGTGTTGTACTAACCAATGTTTAGTGGTACTTATACTTGTCTGATGCTCATGCAGTTTTGTATTGTATTCACTTCTGTTGTTTAATTACTTATTTCTATACTTTAATTGATATGTTCCAGCCACGGTGGACTTAGTATATCTGGAGTCGACACTAAGGTTGATTCTCCGCCTAAAAAAGAAAGTACCACCAAGGGCAAACTGACCACAAACAAGAAAAAAGATGATGGTGAGTGTGCTGCCATGTTTAACATTTAAACTCCATGTTACTGAAATGTTATACACCCTTACCTTTATCAGAGTCCTATAACCACTTGTCTACAAATGATCATCCTGAACAATGTAAACAGAGTTACAAAAAGTAAAAAGGTAGAATGACCCCAAAAGGTCAACAATTACATGTTTGCTATAGCATCTTACTAACATCCCTAATTGATGGAAGTGTGATCAAGGTTCCAGAAAATTGTACAAAAACTACATAAAAATCATCCTTATTTTTGTGTGGTTTTAACTTCCTAGATTTGGGATGTTTTGAGTTTTATTGTGGTATATTGTAATGATAAAGGTCATATCAAGCTCTGTTGTATAAAGACTCAACTCAGCATATAATGTAATACAGAAAGATCGTGCCATGATGGTTGAATTTAAGATGAAGCAGAGAAAAAATTAAAATTATCTTTCCAAACATATTTTCTATTTCTTTACAATTGCCAATCAGTCCATTCTGGGGCGTTTTATGATATGGCATTATAGCTTGATTAATTTTCTTTACAGTATGTGATGTATTATGTTAACTATCTGTTTCATCATTAGATGAACATCAAACACAAAATATACTTACTTACTGAGGTAGTTTCATGGCATATTAAAGTATATATGTTTGATAAACCTTATTTGATCCAAGGAATAAGTACATTGTCAAGAAAGTCTGCTGTTTTGTGGGATTTGCTTGTAACTTCTGAATTTTGTTCCAGTATCATGTTGTGTATGTATAGATATAGAAATTCCTGGATATATATGTATGTATAATACATTTATTTGCATATCTGATAATCAAACCAAAATAACGAAATTCCATTTTGTCTTTACAGATGGTTGGCTGACTAGCTCATCTGATAGTGAAGACATATAACCATCTCCACACAGTGTCAGCTTACTCTATAGAGTAGGGGAGATAACTAGACACATCTGATAGTGAAGACACCTGACCATCTCCTCAAAGTGTAGTAACTAGTGGTCAGCTTACTCTATACAGTAGGGGAGATAACTAGACACATCTGATAGTGAAGACACCTAACTATCTCCTCACAGTGTAGTAACTAGTGGTAAGCTTACTCTATACAGTAGGGGAGATAACTAGACACATCTAATAGTGAAGACACCTGACTCACATTATCCTCACATTATATTACCTTGCGGCCATTTTACCTATATATTTATCACTATTTATCACGGTACCTGTTTACTGCAGGGGGAGACAACGAGGTCGAAGTTATCACCTGTTTATACCACTTGTACCTCAGATGTGATTTTTTTTTAATGATTTGACAGTTAAACACCTGATTTTTATTAAACTATGACATATTTAATCATTTTAAATTTTAAGATTGTAATTCATATTTTTTTATCCTGACAAACTGATGAAAATGTACGATACATCATGTGTACACTGTTTTGTAAGGAATTATTGCTTTGTTCTCTGTTTTGGGAATCCATTTTTGATATAAATTGATAACTGTGCCTTTCCAACATGTTACATAAATATGTTTTTATTTTATTGAACTCCTTTATAAATGAATGTACTAAACACTTTTGTGATATTTATCTGTACATATCAGTTATGTAAATAATATTAACTTATTATGTATAGATATTAAATTACGATCTCAATGTTATAGGTTATGATACATTATTCTTATTGTTTTCTGGTCGATATATTGTATATTGTTTAAATCTATCAGTCTCCACACTGTCCATCATTGTATATTGTTTAAATCTATCAGTCTCCCCACCGTCCATTATTGTATATTGTTTAAATCTATCAGTCTCCCCACCGTTCATTATTGTATATTGTTTAAATCTATCAGTCTCCCCACCGTCCATTATTGTATATTGTTTAAATCTATCAGTCTCCCCACCGTCCATTATTGTATATTGTTTAAATCTATCAGTCTCCCCACCGTCCATTATTGTATATTGTTTAAATCTATCAGTCTCCCCACTGTCCATTATTGTATATTGTTTAAATCTATCAGTCTCCCCACCGTCCATTATTGTATATTGTTTAAATCTATCAGTCTCCCCACCGTCCATTATTGTATATTGTTTAAATCTATCAGTCTCCTCATCGTCCATTATTGTATATTGTTTAAATCTATCAGTCTCCTCACTGTCCATCATTGTATATTAAATGTTTAAATCTATCAGTCTCCCCACTGTCCATTATTGTATATTGTTTAAATCTATCAGTCTCCCCACCGTCCATCATTGTATATTGTTTAAATCTATCAGTCTCCTCACTGTCCATTATTGTATATTGTTTAAATCTATCAGTCTCCACACTGTCCATCATTGTATATTAAATGTTTAAATCTATCAGTCTCCTCATCGTCCATTATTGTATATTGTTTAAATCTATCAGTCTCCTCACTGTCCATCATTGTATATAAAATGTTTAAATCTATCAGTCTCCCCACTGTCCATTATTGTATATTGTTTAAATCTATCAGTCTCCCCACCGTCCATCATTGTATATTGTTTAAATCTATCAGTCTCCTCACTATCCATCATTGTATATTAAATGTTTAAATCTATCAGTCTCCCCACTGTCCATCATTGTATATTGTTTAAATCTATCAGTCTCCCCACTGTCCATTATTGTATATTGTTTAAATCTATCAGTCTCCTCACTGTCCATTATTGTATATTGTTTAAATCTATCAATGTCCATTATTGTATATTGTTTCCATCTATCATATTGTTTAAATCTATCAGTCACCCCACTGTCCATTATTGTATATTGTTTAAATCTATCAGTCTCCCCACCATCCATCATTGTATATTGTTTAAATCTATCAGTCTCCCCACCGTCCATCATTGTATATTGTTTAATTCTATCAGTCTCCCCACCGTCCATTATTGTATATTGTTTAAATCTATCAGTCTCCCCACCGTCCATTATTGTATATTGTTTAAATCTATCAGTCTCCCCACTGTATATTAAATGTTTAAATCCATTATTGTATATTGTTTAAATCTATCAGTCTCCCCACTGTCCATTATTGTATATTGTTTACATCTATCAGTCTCCACCCTGTCCATTATTGTATATTAAATGTTTAAATCTATCAGTCTCCCCACCGTCCATCATTGTATATTGTTTAATTCTATCAGTCTCCCCACTGTCCATTATTGTATATTGTTTAAATCTATCAGTCTCCCCACCGTCCATTATTGTATATTGTTTAAATCTATCAGTCTCCCCACTGTCCATTATTGTATATTGTTTAAATCTATCAGTCTCCCCACTGTCCATTATTGTATATTGTTTAAATCTATCAGTCTCCCCACCGTCCATTATTGTATATTGTTTAAATCTATCAGTCTCCCCACTGTCCATTATTGTATATTGTTTAAATCTATCAGTCTCCCCACCATCCATCATTGTATATTGTTTAAATCTATCAGTCTCCCCACCGTCCATTATTGTATATTGTTTAAATCTATCAGTCTCCCCACTGTCCATTATTGTATATTGTTTAAATCTATCAGTCTCCTCACTGTCCATTATTGTATATTAAATGTTTAAATCTATCAGTCTCCCCATCGTCCATTACTGTATATTGTTTAAATCTATCAGTCACCCCACTGTCCATTATTGTATATTGTTTAAATCTATCAGTCTCCCCACCATCCATCATTGTATATTGTTTAAATCTATCAGTCTCCCCCACTGTCCATTATTGTATATTGTTTAAATCTATCAGTTTAAATCTATCAGTCTCCCCACTGTCCATTATTGTATATTGTTTAAATCTATCAGTCTCCTCACTGTCCATTATTGTATATTAAATGTTTAAATCTATCAGTCTCCCCATCGTCCATTATTGTATATTGTTTAAATCTATCAGTCTCCCCACTGTCCATTATTGTATATTGTTTAAATCTATCAGTCTAAATCCATTATTGTATATTGTTTAAATCTCAGTCTCCCCACTGTCCATTATTGTATATTGTTTAAATCTATCAGTCTCCCCACTGTCCATTATTTTATATTAAATGTTTAAATCTATCAGTCTCCCCATTAAATGTTTAAATCTATCAGTCTCCCCACTGTCCATTATTGTATATTGTTTAAATCTATCAGTCTCCTCACTGTCCATTATTGTATATTGTTTAAATCTATCAGTCTCCTCACTGTCCATTATTGTATATTAAATGTTTAAATCTATCAGTCTCCCCATCGTCCATTATTGTATATTGTTTAAATCTATCAGTCTCCCCATTGTATATTGTTTAAATCTATCAGTCTCCCCACTGTCCATTATTGTATATTGTTTAAATCTATCAGTCTCCTCACTGTCCATTATTGTATATTGTTTAAATCTATCAGTCTCCTCACTGTCCATTATTGTATATTAAATGTTTAAATCTATCAGTCTCCCCACCGTCCATTATTGTATACTTTTTTGTAACAAATGTTTGAATATATATTTCCATAATGTATTTTTTTATTTTGTATGTATTTTTCTATCATTTAATCTTGTTAAATCATATGCTGTAAATCAGACCCATTTTGACATGGCCTTATTTTGAAGTTTTATTCTGTCCATTATTGTATATTGTTTAAATCTCGATGTTGTGTGCGGCAAAAAATAGTCTATTCTATGAAAAATCAGTAAAAATATACAGACTCATAAATAAATCATAATGAATGCTTATTGTGTTTGGGCATAGATTTTGTAATTTATTGATGTCACTTATACACAATAAAATGGTTTAAACGTTAACTGAAAAAATAAATACAATGTTTGATTAATTCTTCCGCGCATGAAAAAGTATGGTGCCATCCTAGTCGTATCGGGCTCTCTGATTGGTCAATCCTCAAAGTAATGAAAAATATCACTTTTATCAGTTTGAGATATCCCTATATATCACTGCTAAAAATGTAATAAAATTCTTTATCGGTATAAATCTATGTGATATTACATTTTTACCATCTTCCTTAAAAAACAATACTGTGATAGGATGACCAGATAAAAATTCCTTTCAATACTTTAAAAATCCCAAAGAAAAACTGTATAGTCAATAAACCAAATGTCCTGGTATAGTTTGTCACAGTGATTTTTTGACCAGCATTTTACTTGTATGATGTCTCCCAGTCTGGTGTGATGGCATTCTGTGTTATAAATATATGACCGCGTTGAAATGTATATATTACAATATGTTATTATCTATTTTTACTTCTTGAACTAGTCTCTACATCTTGAAATTCTCAGATAAATAGGTGTTTTGAAATCACCTGAAAATTTTCTATTTTGTTTATAATTTAACATCAGGATACCTCACATATCATCAGATTTAGAGTATTGTAAGGCTACTCATTGAAGAACATGAACATATTGTTAAATGATTTTTATAAAGACTAGTAGTTGTTTATCAGCAGTTGTGTTATCACTTTTAAATGGATGAGTATTTTTTATAAGCATAATGTTATGAATGTCAGTAGTTTATACAGAAAATTGAAAGATAAAAATTCTTCCCAAACCAAAAATAAACTTTGGCAATACAATATCATATACATTTGTTTACAGAGAAGGTAAATAAGATATGCATGTTGCATAAAGTTTGAAGGAAACAGACACAAAACAATAAGGAGTTTCCATATTGTCCCTGCCTAGTAAACTGTAAAAGTGTTGGGGGGGGGGAATATTTGTAATTAGTTCATGATATTATGATACTGTTAGAGTTTGTGTAGTGAGATGCTGATAGATCTAGAAACTGAAATAAAAAAAAATATTGAAATAAAACTGTTTTCTTTGATTTTTAAGACATTAAGATGACTACCAAGGCTTCAGTCTTCAGACACTGATGAACTGTGTAGATCCAAAGGTTCTCTCTATCATACTTTGTATGACATACCACCTTTCAATTTGGAATTAAAATTAAATTGCTTTTTTGCTCATTCTGAATCTCTAGTCATAAAGATTTCACTATTTCAAACATTGAACGCTGAGTACATCTTAAATACTTCTTTGAATTTTACTTAAGATGTACCTCAATTGTCAAGCTTTAAAAAATTTAAATTAGAAATTATTAGATATAATTTTTTAAATTAGATTTGCAATAGTTGTATCTAAATATGTCCAGTAAATTGACTTACTTACTGACCTATCTGAACGTGAGGTCACCACAAACCAACCTATTACCACATTAACGCTATCAAGTATAAAGTTTTCACAAATCGGGTATAAACCCGTTTCCACGTGTATATAGTAAGGGCAAACTTTGGATGTCACAAAATACAAAGAAAGCAAAAAATCTGGCAGCGCAAAGCTTTGGCGAGGGGTCTGGGAGCCCTCCCCAAGAAAATTTTGAAAATTTTGGCTCCATTTGAATGAGATCGTATAACTTTCCTAAAACTTTCCTTTTATCTTCGTAACTCGCCGCCTGATCTCTCAAAACCATATGTCATGTGTTTGTTTTTATTTGCCGACATCTTGCACGAAAATCGTGATATCGTGAACAAGCCCCTCTTGAACTACGTAACTTAGGGATGCTGGATGTTGTTGATCCCAGTAATGGGAAATTCATCACGCTTATCGTACACTTAGCAGAATTATCAAAGTAAGCGACTGGTTTTCAATTCTAGTGAGCATATAAACCAAGTATAGAGACCATAAATATTCTAGGAAAATGTAGAATTTTAGGGTGCACCCCAATTTTTATTTGTCCTGAGTAAAAGCGTATCATAGTAGAAAGTTTCTTAATTTTTAAAAAAAAAATATATGCGGGATTAATCTTTAGATCTCCAGTCATGATAATGCTAGTGGAACAAAAACCAGACAAATTTGAGTCGGCTCTGTCGTAAGTGATCTCGGGACCCCAGCATTATGTGGCGATCGAAAACGACGGGTTGAAGGTGGCAAATGGCGGGAAATGGTTGTCGCTGTTTGTGCACTTTTGAGATGCATGGGCTTGGTTTTCATGTTAACATACGGTATAAAAAAATAATAATTGCTGAAAAAAAAGCACGGGAAAACAATCGTTCCTGTCCTGGGCTGCTGAGCATCTGATCTATTTGATAAAATCGTAAGCGAATACTATAGAATCAGGTGTCAGACAGAGACAGGTAAAATGTACACATTATTGTCCATACAGTTTGCAGATGTCTGTTTTAAATATTAACGATGGTGCATATCTATTGTACCGTGCAATATTTAAACTGGTGCTATTATACCAATCGGCCTTATCAAATGCCATTAAATTATGTCTATATATTTACTAATGACCCGTTAAATTTATCGAGTCTTCTTTGTACACGTGCGTGATTTGAAGCAGTAAGTTAGTATCAGTAAAATGTTTGTATACCGTTGTTTTCTTAAATCAACAACGATGTTTGTAACATAGATTTAGCTTATAGCCTGCTATTCATGTTTAGACCTGTATACAATGATCAACTGTCACCCTCGAGTCAACGACAATCCGGAGTTGTCTCCCGTTACAACATGGCAACATGTCAACAGCTTGTCGCATGATCCATAATATAGGAAACTTGTTTACCACGAATGGGCGGTAAGTCTGTATATATTGTACTGCTCGATTAACTGTCTATGTTATTATATCTCCATAGTGTGGAATACCAGAAAACAAATCCGAAAAGCACCTGTCTAATTGGCTAGTTATTGGCCGTAGGTAAGTCTTGACCTCTTTGGTCAGTTGATTTATTACGGCACATTGGTATTGCTTAAAAAGACATTGGATTGTGACCAAGCTATAAAAGTCTCTGATTACCGTAAACTTAATTGTAACTATAGACTTAAAAGTTTATTTTTCTACATGTAGTCGATGTAATGCTATTACGATCTGAGCAGAGAATTCGGTGTTGTGATACGCCAGCGTCCTATAACAGTGATAGTTGTAGGAAATATTGATATACTAAAGCTAAACATGCTATCGCTATCACCATTCTCAGTGTATCACTGAACCTGTCATTAAACCCTTACTGTCACTAATCAATAAAATTACCATACAACAGGACAGGTTAGTTATTATGATAAACATGTTTTTTTTAATTTTCAAATGAAATTTCCTTATATTAGGCTATATATAGAATGCATCATGGTCTCGCGCATTTAAAAATCTTGGAAACAAACACCAGGGCTAGCTAGCAGTTAACATTTGTATCTGGAAGTAACTATAGAAAGGTGTTTTTGATGTTGAAGATGTTAAGAAATTCAGCATTGTTATCTTAATATGAAGGTACACATTTATAGTGTGTATATGGCTTGTTAAATTTAACACCTAATATGTCCACAAGGACAAGTATCAAGTTGCTGTTGTGATGGTCTGAAACTATTGAAATAACCACTGGAACAGTTTCAGCCATATTAAATAAAAAGTTATTACATTTATCAGAATGAAATGGCATTCATTACTTATTGACTATGTTAGATCTTTTGTTTTCGTTTTATAAAGAGATAAAATGTCCTACTGAGTGTGAACATCGAGGGCATTTTAATTTGTTTAAAATGCATTGTCAAATGTAAAATTGTCAGAAAATGACAGCAATTACAGTGTATTAAAAAATACATGTTACATGTATATAGTGTTTTTACCTGTACTGGGACTCAAACTTCGTAAAATCATGGGCCTTAAATGTAGTCATTCATTCTTTGAAACAGTTGATATTTTTAGGTATGAGTAATGAATTAACGAAAATTAAAAATTTATGAGGTCATGACCTGAAATCATGGTCTGTTCTGGATTGGGGGACAGGATCAATCAGTAAATCACGTTTTGAGATTATTATGACAAATTGCAGGTTAGTGATGACCTACATTTTACCTCAAGATGAAGGTTTCCAGGCCTCACTTGTATAAAACATCTCAACTTGAGATTTCCTCAAGTCGAGATTTTCCTCAGCTGATATCTTCTCAAAAACGGCTTGTATAAATTTTCTCAAGGAACAGGAGGAAGGCATCGGCTAGGATGTCCTGAAATTCCTTGAGGAATTTTCATACAAGATATTTTCAAGGAGATATAAGCTGAGGAAAATCTGGGCTTGAGTAAATCTCAAGTTGAGATGTTTTACACAAGTGGGGCCACGAACTTAGTGGTTCCCGTTAATCTTTATGAAGATTCATTTGGTAAAAATAATGGTAATATTTAGTCTGATTTTTAGGTTAGATTTGTTATTTGTTTTTTTTTTTTTAATTTTCATCATGATTTGACCATTTTGTCCTTGTTTTAAGCCAGATGGAAGAAATATGAACACACCTGTTAATAGAACAGTGTCAATGAAAATAGCTCTAGAAGTTCACTTGTTAAAATGACATCAAAGCAAACACCAAAGTAGTAACAGAATCTTAGCTCAAACTCAAATCCAATGCAACTAGGGTAAATTTGAACAAATGACAGGTTTATGTGGAGACCTTTGTTAAAATACAAAGATAATAAGATCAGTTGTTTAGGAAGGGTGAGCCATTTTCTGCTTCATCAACAACACCTGCCATGTTAAACTATGTCAATCCAGGTAAGTATGTAATGTTCCCACATTAAGACAAATAATTACAGGTGTGTCTAAATCCTGTATCATTTCTATCTTTATAATTACAGATGTGTCTGAATCCTGTATCATTTATATCTTTATAATTACAGGTGTGTCTAAATCCTGTATCATTTCTATCTTTATAATTACAGATGTGTCTAAATCCTGTATCATTTCTATCTTTATAATTACAGGTGTGTCTAAATCCTGTATCATTTACGTCTTTATAATTACAGGTGTGTCTAAATCTTGTATCATTTATATTGTTATAATTACAGGTGTGTCTAAATCTTGTATCATTTATATTGTTATAATTACAGGTGTGTCTAAATCTTGTATCATTTATGTCTTTATCATTACAGGTGTGTCTAAATCTTGTATCATTTATGTCTTTATAGTTACAGATGTGTCTAAATCTTGTGTCATTTATATCTTTATAATTACAGGTGTGTCTAAATCCTGTATCATTTATATCTTTATAATTACAGGTGTGTCTAAATCTTGTATAATTAATATCTTTATAATTACAGGTGTGTCTAAATCTTGTATCATTTATGTCTTTATAATTACAGGTGTGTCTAAATCCTGTATCATTTACGTCTTTATAATTACAGATGTGTCTAAATCTTGTATCATTTACATCTTTATAATTACAGGTGTGTCTAAATCCTGTATCATTTATATCTTTTTAATTACAGGTATGTCTAAATCTTGTATTGTTTATTCCTTTATAATTACAGGTATGCCTAAATCTTGTATTGTTTATTCCTTTATAATTACAGGTGTGTCTTTGATGTTGAAAATGGAAGTTAACTGAGGAAGTGTTCTGAACACTGGAGTATCTACTGTAAACTTGTCCTTCAAAATAAACCTTAAGCATGTCTCGGGTCACTAAACCGCGAAAGAAAGTGGGTACCAAGGCCAACAGACTAGGAACACTTCTAGAAGCCTCCATTAGGTTTAAACAAACTCTTAAAAAAGTCAGGGAAAATGCAGACAAAAAGAAATCAGAAAAGAGGATTGATATGGTCCTTGTCCATCAGAGGAAGATGGATGATGAAAAGGAGGATGCCGAGGAGACGAGGGAGCGTGAGAGGAGGAACGTGCTACGAGAATGTTTTGAAAAAAGGTTAAAGCAGGAACAATTTAGAATCAAGGAAAAGCAACATGGACAAAATGTGTATACAATGTTACATTGTTCGTTTGAAAGACTTTGTAAAGAAGCAGAAATCGTCAACTTAGAAATGAGATTGGATTCTGTAAGTACAATATTTGTTTCTGCATACATTTCTCTAGGTGATTTTCTCTAGCCTGGCAGGTGTTGGTTATAATTTTGCAATACCCATTACATAACTACCCTGTTATCAGTATGATAACAACCATCACATCACTACCCTGTTATCAGTATGATAACAACCATTACATAACTACCCTGTTATCAGTATGATACTAACCATTACATCACTACCCTGTTATCAGTATGATAACAACCATTACATAACTACCCTGTTATCAGTATGATAACAACCATCACATCACTACCCTGTTATCAGTATGATAACAACCATTACATAACTACCTTGTTATCAGTATGATACTAACCATTACATAACTACCTTGTTATCAGTATGATACTAACCATTTCATAACTACCTTGTTATCAGTATGATACTAACCATTACACACTACCTTGTTATCAGTATGATACTAACCATTACACACTACCCTGTTATCAGTATGATACTAACCATAACATAACTACCCTGTTATCAGTATGATACTTACCATTACATAACTACCCTGTTATCAGTATGATACTAACCATAACATAACTACCCTGTTATCAGTATGATACTTACCATTACATAACTACCCTGTTATCAGTATGATAACAACCATTACATAACTACCCTGTTATCAGTATGATAACAACCATAGCATAACTACCCTGTTATCAGTATGATAACAACCATAACATAACTACCCTGTTATCAGTATGATAACAACCATTACATAATTACCCTGTTATCAGTATGATAACAAACATTACATAACTCTGTTATCAGTATGATACTAACCATAACATAACTACCCTGTTATCAGTATGATAACAACCATAACATAACTACCTTGTTATCAGTATGATAACAACCATTACATAACTACCCTGTTATCAGTATGATAACAATCATTACATAACTACCCTGTTATCAGTATGATAACAATCATTACATAACTCTGTTATCAGTATGATACTAACCATTACATAACTACCCTATTATCAGTATGATACTAACCATAGCATAACTACCCTGTTATCAGTATGATAACAACCATAACATAACTACCCTGTTATCAGTATGATACTAACCATTTCATAACTACCCTGTTATCAGTATGATACTAACCATTACATAACTACCTTGTTATCAGTATGATACTAACCATTACACACTACCCTGTTATCAGTATGATAACAACCATAGCATAACTACCCTGTTATCAGTATGATACTTATCATTACATAACTACCCTGTTATCAGCATGATACTAACCATTTCATAACTACCCTGTTATCAGTATGATACTAACCATTACATAATTACCTTGTTATCAGTATGATACTAACCATTACACACTACCCTGTTATCAGTATGATAACAACCATAGCATAACTACCCTGTTATCAGTATGATACTTACCATTACATAACTACCCTGTTATCAGTATGATACTAACCATAGCATAACTACCCTGTTATCAGTATGATAACAACCATTACATAACTACCCTGTTATCAGTATGATAACAACCATAGCATAACTACCCTGTTATCAGTATGATAACAACCATAACATAACTACCCTGTTATCAGTATGATACTAACCATAACATAACTACCCTGTTATCAGTATGATAACAACCATAACATAACTACCTTGTTATCAGTATGATAACAACCATAACATAACTACCCTGTTATCAGTATGATAACAACCATTACATAACTACCCTGTTATCAGTATGATAACAACCATCACATCACTACCCTGTTATCAGTATGATAACAACCATTACATAACTACCCTGTTATCAGTATGATAACAACCATAACATAACTACCTTGTTATCAGTATGATACTAACCATTACATAACTACCCTGTTATCAGTATGATACTAACCATAGCATAACTACCCTGTTATCAGTATGATAACAACCATAACATAACTACCCTGTTATCAGTATGATAACAACCATTACATCACTACCCTGTTATCAGTATGATAACAACCATTACATAACTACCCTGTTATCAGTATGATAACAACCATTACATCACTACCCTGTTATCAGTATGATAACAACCATTACATAACTACCCTGATATCAGTATGATAACAATCATTACATCACTACCCTGTTATCAGTATGATAACAACCATTACATACTACCCTGTTATCAGTATGATACTAACCATTACATAACTACCCTGTTATCAGTATGATAACAACCATTACATAACTTCCCTGTTATCAGTATTTCTGCTTGGGGTTTGATTCCCTGAAAAGACATAAACATGTATATGAGGTCACATGACGGCCAACTTGAGGTTTTTTTAATGTAAAACCAATTTTCATGATGTAATACTTACCATAACTTTAGTATGCAAATACAGTACCTACACCCATCTTTGTATCCCAACAACAAAAGATTCAAAAGAAAAACAATCCCGCCCTCCCTACGATCCATGAGCCATCACGGCAGGAACGCAGAGTGATCTCCCTTCCTCTAATAACCTTTATGGCGTAAACCCCACAGAGGGGCAGCCAGGCAGATAAGGAAGAGGGGAGGATAGGGTGGGACTCCATAAAGTTATGGTAAGTATTACATCATGAAAATTGGTTTTACATTAAAAAAAACCTCAATTTCATTTCAGTAATAATTACCATAACTTTAGTATGCGAATTCGTCTTACCGTAGTGGTGACTAGAAGCCAGGCAGCCCCTTCAGCACAACCAAAGTAGTAGGGAGGGAGAACAGAGTGCTAAAGTGAAGGGAGGGACCTCTCTGTGAAAGAGCAGGTGTACCCACATGCCGCCGTACGGAAAGACATGGCCCGGGGCTAACGAGGAGGCCCAGCCACTGACTATGCCACCACCAAAGGTCCCAATGAATACAGGCCTTCTGAGTGGGAAGCTAGGGATCACAGATAAAAATCTGTTAAGGTATCCCTGCCCTGCCAGAATACTGCAGACATGACCTCCTGAAAGGAGGACTCATTGAGAGAAGGGCCCAGGATGAAGCAAGGGCCCTGACCTCGTGAGACCGCGCTTTCGCTCTCGCCCGAGCCAGATCATCAAAATGCTCGTAAGCATACTAAATCACCTGGCAAACCCACCTGGAAACCGACTGGGAGGAGATATCTCGTTGCCCCTGTTTAATGGGCAAAACAGACGGGATCGAGAGCCCCGCCCCCCCTGGTTTTATCAAGATAAAACCTAAGAGCCCGACAAGGACAAAGCAACCTATCTCGCTCCTCCGAGCTAGTCACAGCCAGGATCCTGATGGGATCGTGCGAGAACCCCGGAACCTGATTCTTCGCTAAAAACAACTCTATTCATAGCAAAGCCTCTGATTAGGGCAGAAAGAGAGGAGGACTAACCGATCTCCTTCCTGCCATAACAAGCAAGAACTCTGGCAATAGCTGTACGATAGCCAGCAATAGTGCCAGGTGGCAGATAGCGGTACCTAAACAGAGAGATTAGGAATTCCGCAATCAAATGCAGAGGCTTCGAATGAATAAGCTTCCTTGCCGACACACCAATCACAGAAGATCATCCAACGTGACTGGTAGACGGCAGAAGAGGAAGCCCTGATTGATTGCTCAATGCAATCTGACACCTCTTGAGAAAAGCCTGCCTTGGCGTGGCTTCCAGAGATAGCCTCAGCGCGTGAAGGTGGAGGATCTCTGGTCAAGAGTGTGTCATTCTGGGCCAAGGCTGGCGAAGGAGATTCGGTCTGGTGGGGAGAGCCAAGGGCTCCTCCACCAGAAACGACAAGAGCTCCTGAAACCAAGCTTGCCTCGGCCACAGAGGGGCTCTCAGAAGTAAGGAGCAGTGATGCTCCCAGAACTTCTGTAGAACCCTGCCCACCAGGTTGAAGGGAGGGAATGCATATGCATACGTCCCTTCCTATTCCAGAGAAAGGGCGTCCACAGCCCACGCCTTACGGTCTGGGACCGGGGAGACGAAGGTTAGCAGCTGGTTGTTCAGGGAAGTGGCAAACAGGTCTATAATAGGTCTGTCCCACGCCTGACAATTCCCCTTGAAAATCAAGGGACACAGCTGCCATTCCGTCAACACCGGCTGGTGGCGCCTGGAGAGTGGCCACCAACACACTCAGCCTGCCAGAAAGATGCTTGACCGCTATGGTTAACTGCATGTCCTGGCAGAGAAGATGGATGTGGATGGAGAGGGCACACAGGACATGAGACCTGGTGGCCCCTGTCTCTCCAGATACGCGACAACTGTTGCCGGTAGCCACACTTTGGACTGCAGGATACCCCTAAAGGACTGCAGAGCCAAATGAACAGTCTCATCTCGAGTACACTGATGTGCTCCGAGAGTTGTTCGCCAGACCACTCCCCCAAGCGGCATTGGCCATCGAGGTAAGCTCACATTCCTGTCATGAACGCGTCCATGAACAGGATCATAGAGGGGATAGGCTTGGTCAGAGGTACCCCGTGGAAAACGTTCTCCTGAATGGTCCACCAGCAAGAGAACTCCCTGACCGACTGGGTAAGCGGGATCCAGGCCTCCTGGATGACGGAACCCAGTCAGACAGGAGGAACATATGGAGAGGTCCGATGTCAATCCTCCTTAGGGGGACCACATATGCCAAGGAGTTGAGATACCCCAGAAAACTGAGGAACCAATGTACCTGGACAAGCGACCAAGTGATGAAAGTCAGAGCCAGAGCCCTGACCTTCTCAAACTTCTCCAGAGGTGGAAGGGCTAAGCCCCGAACCATGTCAAAATGGTTCCCCAGGAAGAAGAAGTCCTAATATGAAGGAACCTCTGACTTCTCTCTGGAAGGAATGAAGCCGACTCTGAGCAAGAGTTTCAGGACCAGACGAGTGTCCTTCACTAACGATTCTCACACCAAAAGAGGCATGAGGGAGTCGTCGAAATAGATGTGGACGTCTATTCTGCAGGAGTGAAGGAAACACCAGCAGCAACTTGGTGAACACCAAAGGAGCTGTCGTGAGCACCAAGGGCATCTCTGCCTTGGCAGCATGGTCCCTACTTCCTCCTGGATCACCCGTGCCCTTTCTGAATCCCCGGGAGGAGGAAAGAAACAAAAACGGCCAGGAGGCGAGGGACGAATCCTGAAGAAGGGGAATACCTAGACCCTCCCTGACCACCGACAAAAGCCCAAGCGTCCTCTGTAATATCCTGCCACTAGGATAGGAAAGCAGAGAGACGTCCGCCCACAGGGAGTTCCGGATGGGGCAGATCGAGCCCCTGCCAGACCAGAGAATCGTCTGCCCACCCGGAGCCTGAGCCTGCAGGAGAAGGACATGAGCCCGGGAAAGGAGAACCACCGTCCACCCGGCCATACCCTTCGCCTTTCGCGGCCAAGAAGCAGAAATAGTCAGGAACCCTTCTTCTTGCCCCCAGGAGGTTTCTTACCCTTCCTACCCTTCCCCTTGTTGCCGTTGAAGTGAGGTTGGGACTTGGGCTGTGCAGAAAACTGAGCAGCCGAAGACTTCGCCTTCTTCTTAGGAGGCACTGACCCCTGCGAGGCACTGGCCTTCTCAGCCTGAAACCTCTTCACCAGAAGTGCTGAGGCGACCGAGTCCTCCTTCATATCCTTCTGAACCCAAGGAAGAGCTCCCCTGAACAGGGTAGAGCCCTAGAAGGGGGCATTCAACAAGCGGAAACGGTAGGGTTACTGGACTGGGCGGAATTTCAGAACTGAAAACTGCCTAGCCAACACGGCATTGACGAGCAGAGAACCTGCAAGGCTGCCGTGTCCTGTATGTCGGCTGTTCTGTCTCGGATAACCGACACTCAGGCAAATCGGATACCCTGTATAGACAAACTGTCAGGAAGTCTATGTATGACAGAACTTGGATGGAGAGGTGCAACATTCTCTCCATCCTGTGGTGCTCTTTGGGATCGAGCACCACCTGGTCCACTGATTTGCCGGGCCAGGCAGCCAGCTGTCTCAACTCCAGCTGTGCTGGTTGAGAGGCCAGCTGCCCATCATGTGTGGCATAGTCGGAAGCTGAAGCCTCCGACAATTCACCAACACTGAGCTGCAGACCGACAAACCCGGGAGCACGGGTAGAGAAGGAGTCCTTCTCTAAAACCGGAGCCCGGGCCGTGGCCAGAACCGAAGACATGATATTGCCTTCTGGCAGAGACCGATCTGAGCGAACGGAAGCCCGAGGAGCCACCAGGGAACCCAGAAGGATGGTGGATTCAGGCGCCGACGATGCTGAGGCGGTGGGCAAACCTCCGCCCTGAGAATCCGGGAGATGTTGGCCCGGAGGACCCGCATCCCAGAAAGCACATGCTGAGCCTCGGCTTCAGCAGTCTCAGAGCCATCTTCCCCTTGTGAACCCTCTTGGCCCAGGAGAAAGATGAATGACATCGTCTTCCTCTGCCGAGCCCGCACCCTCGATGTCCATCTCCTCCTCAATAGAGACCGAAGTCCCCTTGGGAGGAACAGGGGCCGCCAGAGGAGCCATCTCCACAGAGGGGAACTCCTCTTTATGGCATTTGGACGCAGCGCGACCAACAGCTGCAGCTGTAGGCTTGGGTCCTGGGAACAGGAGACCGACGGGTCCGCGCTGGAGGCGGAAGTCCTTAAGGTCTGGCAAACCTTTATAGGACCGGCCAACAAGGCCCCCGAAGTAGCAGAACATTGGGGGGATTCCGCACTGCTATAACATCTCCTAGAGGAGAGACCAACCCCTATGGGTTCCACGAGTGAAGACCCATGGGGTAAAAACCCAAACCCCTGAGGGAATGGGAACGGTCCAGCGGGCCGGGAGTGACCCCAGAACTGGCCAAGATGGCCTGCCTGAGTCTGGGGCTGGACATCCTGTCCAAAGGACCAGGATGAACCGCCACTCCCACCAGGTGGAAACCCAGACATGTACGGGCTAAGCCCGTAACTGCTGAGTAACTGTTGGTACCCAAAACCATCCGCAGGTTGGCCTGGGCAACCCAGGAATAAGTGCCCGCAGGCACCCCTACTCCCTGAGCCCAGGGGAAAGGGAGACCGGAAACCGGACTCCTGGCCTGAAGCCCCAAACCCTTGGAGGAAAACCCCCTGGGAAACCCTGCACTGGGAAATCTGGATTGGGACGGAAGTCCCAGAGCCAGAAGCCTGTGAGGGTGGGAAAACAGACCCCGCGCTGACACCAGGATTAGTGAACTCAAGTGTCACTAATCCCCGTAGCCACAGACAATCCTGACAAAAAGTCTGTGGCCCCTGAACCTATACCCGAAGGCACAGTTCCGGAGTCAAAGCGGCCCCCACCAACGACGCCACCTGGCGTGCCGAGGTCCCTGAAGGAATCAGAGACCTCGACCGGAAGTCCCTTTCCGACGGTAACACCGCCGCCTATCGAGAGCTACCGGCCAATTCGACCCTTGACTGCGCCGAGTCAGGGTCGGGCTGCCCCCTCCCCCTACTCCAGGACGCACCTGGACAGGGGGAGCCACCCCCTGCTGAAGGGCGGAGCTCGGTGGAACGAGAGCACCCCCAGCAGGAACGCTCTGGTTCAGAACTTCAGGAGGGAGGTCTTAAAAAGCTTACTTCCCTTACCGGAAGAAGAGGACGAATCCCTCTTCCGGCGGAAAGTTAGCTGGAAAGGCATGGGAGCCTAAACAGCAGACTCCATGTGCAAACAAAGTTCACATAGTGAGGTCTGGCTGTAATGTCGGCAAATGGGACAGGTATCATGGGGTTCCCATTATCTATAGAAATAGGAACATCCATGCGCTGACCCCCGACGTAAACCCGGCACCTTTATCCAGCATCGAAACAATAAAAAATTGTAACAATGAAAACAAGGATAAAAAGTTTTCTAACAATCAAAAAACTACGAACGAGATCATAAAACCTACCGTACGCAGCAAGATTGTACTGCGAAAAAAAAAGAAAGCGGTCGTACAAAACGGCCGACAAAGCAGCAAGAAAACAATTTCAACTTCACGAAAATCCGAGTGACGAGACAAGTAGTCACGCATTCGAACACGCGGAGGAAAAACACGGCCGGAAAACGAAGTTCTCGAACAATAAAAAAACTACGAACGAGAGCACAAAGCCTACCGTACGCAGCAAGATTGCACTGCATAAATAAAACGGCCGTACAACACGGCCGACAAAGCAGCAAGAAAACAAATTCCAACTTCACGCAAATCCGAGCAACGAGTAGTCACGCACTCGAATACGTGGAGGAAAAAACGGCCGGAAATACGGTCAAAATAAACAAATGACAATACTTAATTTCACAATATAAGTTGGGAGATGGGTTTATAGACTACTAATAGAGTAACAATATACTCAAACGACAATGGCAGTACGAAGAGAAGGAGTAAGAAAAGCACTTAGCTCAGACACCTCCGCACTCGTCGGCAGCCATAAAGGTAAGAGGAAGGGAGATCACTCTGCGTTCCTGCCGTGATGGCTCATGGATCGTAGGGAGGGCGGGATTGTTTTTCTTTTGAATCTTTTGTTGTTGGGATACAAAGATGGGTGTAGGTACTGTATTTGCATACTAAAGTTATGGTAATTATTACTGAAATGAAAATGGGTTTTCCCCGGGTACTCCGGTTTCCTCCCACAGTAAGACTCTTCACACTCTTCCATCTGGGCCAACAAGAGTGATCAATTTAAGCTGATAGTTTGTTTTGCAATTGTTTTATAATAAATAAAGTTTATATTATACCTGTTATCAGTATAATAACACTCATTACACACTGCTTGTTGTTCTAATTGTATTCACAGAAGATCTGATTTTAAGGACTCAAGCAACTAAATCAGCCGCTGGGCTATTCTTCCATACAAATACTGTCCAAGTATCTAAGGTTGTAAAATATAGTGCCCTCAGGAGTCTTAATTTCTGCAGATACTCACAAAAATGTATAGTTTTAACACATTTCAGTATTTTGAGTTTTCCCTAAGTGTGTGTTTAGTTTCACAAGTAAACTTACAGTTGTTGACTGCTGAAGGTGATGATAGATATCAACTAACGTAATACATAATGCCATACACAGGTATATGTTTCTCTGAGACAGTTGTGTTGAACATTAATGCTATTGGCTATAAATAAGTAAAAATATTATGTTTGAGCACTGAGGAGTCTGAAACCAAATAAGTGAAAAGTTGAAAAGTTGACTAACAAAGTCTGGGTACTCTATTGTGGTGTCCATTTTTGTTTTTACCCTGATTTAGACAGTAAAATTTCAGTAAACCACTTAACTACCAGGTAAGCCAGAATTCTTCTGATGTTCCTGTGATCGAAAATCAGAATTATTCCAACAATTTGGTACTTCTAGGCCTTCTTCATCAAATTGGCCTATCTGTAAGAGAAGTTTACAATATATTGGTTAAAGGCTACATACAATAGACACCCTTTGGTGTTCTTTACAGTGGCTTATAGCTATCATTGAAATTTTTTGAAATAGGTGAATATGTAGGTTAATTTACCTACTGCATATTCATTTTATTGGGGATGTTCTTAAACTTTATTTCAGAAAAGTACAACAGAGGCAATGAGAAACATGCATATGACAGAAAAAGCCAAACGAATGTCTGCACGACAGGTAGCAATATTAACTCAATGCATGCTGCATGTATCTTTCTGCTGTTAAGTGCACAATTCATGTATCTTTCTGCTGTTAAGTGCACAATTCATGTATCTTTCTGCTGTTAAGTGTACAATTCATGTATCTTTCTGCTGTTAAGTGTACAATTCATGCTTCAAAGAATTAAAAGTGCAGTACGTGCTATAATTGTGTCTTGTTATCAAACCTGATTGTTGTATGTTTACTGCTTGTCTGATGTTTTTGTTCCTTTTCATCCGAATAAAAAATTGCACAGATATTTATTTTTCAGCTATTGAAAATATATCTAAGCAACTAGAAACCAAAAAATGGGTGGTACCCTTCAACACAAACTTAAAATTATAATCAGATAAGGTAGTGCCATATGTATAAACTACACATTACTGATGTTTTGTCCTAGGACCTGTCAGTCTAAAGTGTGAAACTTATGAGGTGTCACAGGAATTTAAAAAAAAACAAAAATTAAATGATTTGAACAGTACATTTACCCCAGTAATCAATGACTTCTAATAAAATCCAGTAATAACACCAAATCACTAAAGACTGGTCTATCCTAGGAGTAGGACTAGATGGTATAGCGCTACAACTGAGATAGTCTGTAACAATGGCATGAATGTTTTAATGATACAAAAATTTCTGAATTTAATTTGATAATTGCTAATGGATTTTATAAGATGTAATGATGATTAAGAGGAGATCACATAAAGGGATTGTGGCTAGAGCTTAAAGTACAGAGAAAGCAATCTGATTGGTTGATGATGGGACTGGGTAAAGTGGTGTAATAGGGGTAGGAGCTACATCACAGAGAAAGCAATCTGATTGGTTGATGATGGGACTAGGTAAAGTGGTGTAATAGGGGTAGGAGCTACATCACAGAGAAATCAATCTGATTGGTTGATGATGGGACTGGGTAAAGTGGTGTAATAGGGGTAGGAGCTACATCACAGAGAAAGCAATCTGATTGGTTGATGATGGGACTAGGTAAAGTGGTGTAATAGGGGTAGGAGCTACATCACAGAGAAAGCAATCTGATTGGTTGATGATGGGACTGGGTAAAGTGGTGTAATAGGGGTAGGAGCTACATCACAGAGAAAGCAATCTGATTGGTTGATGATGGAACTGGGTAAAGTGGTGTAATAGGGGTAGGAGCTACATCACAGAGAAAGCAATCTGATTGGTTGATGATGGGACTGGGTAAAGTGGTGTAATAGGGGTAGGAGCTACATCACAGAGAAAGCAATCTGATTGGTTGATGATGGGACTAGGTAAAGTGGTGTAATAAGGGTAGGAGCTACATCACAGAGAAAGCAATCTGATTGGTTGATGATGGGACTGGGTAAAGTGGTGTAATAGGGGTAGGAGCTACATCACAGAGAAAGCAATCTGATTGGTTGATGATGGGACTGGGTAAAGTGGTGTAATAGGGGTAGGAGCTACATCACAGAGAAATCAATCTGATTGGTTGATGATGGGACTGGGTAAAGTGGTGTAATAGGGGTAGGAGCTACATCACAGGGAAATCAATCTGATTGGTTGATGATGGGACTGGGTAAAGTGGTGTAATAGGGGTAGGAGCTACATCACAGGGAAATCAATCTGATTGGTTGATGATGGGACTGGGTAAAGTGGTGTAATAGGGGTAGGAGCTACATCACAGGGGAATCAATCTGATTGGTTGAACATGTAATGAAGTAGTGTGGTATGATTGGGACAAGATCTTTTGATTTCGATTAATATTTCCCAGACATACATGATCTTGATTGTAATATCTATATTTTGAATATGAATCTTGATTTTACTTATTAAGAAATTGGTCTAGATATATTGGGAGTGAATGAATGCCAGTGTGATGTAGATGGTGACATGATCTAACAAATCTGTCTCCTTTGAAAGTTTTTTATATGCTGCCGGAGACGGTCGTATATTGGTGTCATCTTCTCCGTCTGTCTGTCTGTATGTCCATCCGTACGTACGTCCATTTCTTGTGAACACAACTCCTCCTAAACTAATCATCAGATTTTCATGAAACTTTTTTTTTGTAATGCATATTTTTTATTTCTTTTGATTCACACATAATCAGTTTGTTACAAATTTGAAAAAACAACATATATCCACAGATATAATATTTCTAGTTACAGATGTTTGTATAGTATAACGAAATGTAATTGATTTAATAAATTGTCCATTGGTTGCCATTTTTGAATTATTTCAGGATACTTATGTAACACCTATTATTTCAATTTCTTTGTTACGTTTTAAAAACGATAACATACCTGTTATTGAAGGAAGGGACAAATTACATCTACATATATATATGTAGCATCTTATTATCAGAAAACAACAATTAAGCAAATTATTATTATTTTTAATTTTACATCCAAACATGGCATCCATTTTGTCAATTTCATATTCAATGTTACATTTCACCTTGATTAAATCTGAAAATTTCCTACAAATAACATTTACGTGAATGCATTGCCACATTAGATGATACAAATCTTCATCTTCATGATTACAAAAGGTACAATTCCTGTTATCATTTATACTGAATTTATATAAAAGTGTATTAGTACATATTGTTCCAAGAAAAATTTTGAATTGAACATTTCTTAGATTTACATCTTGTGTACCACTCCTTGGTATCAAATATGTATATTTCCAATCTATTTCTAGGTTTTGCAGATATTGAGACCATCTTTCAATTGCTTTTTGATTTATAGAAAGAACAGAGGAACAAAATTTTGAATAGAAAATTCTAGTAGGTTTGACAAGAGATTTTATAAGTTTAATATTATTGGTTTCTCACACCGTATTATTACCATGGCGACTGATTGACCTTTTCCATGCACCCGGGATGGCGAAAATAATGCCATAAAACTGAATCCTTTGACTTTGTGGTATATTAAAGCGTTCTTGTAAATTCTGAAAAGTCATCACCTTACCATCATTTAGAATAAGATCTGCTATCTGGTTGATGCCACTATCTTGCCATGACTGGAAATATACTGTTTTGTTACCTATTTTTATATTATGATTAAACCATATTGGTTGGGACAAAAAATACTCTGCATCCTGCTGTTCCAAATTTTCTTCACTCCAAGCCAAAAATACTTCTTTCCAGAAAAGATTAAATTTGTTAGTGATTTTAAGCATATCATTTTTTACATGAGAGAATGTTTAAATTTCCATATTTACCCAATTTATCTAACAGAAGTAGTTTCCAAGGGGATGTGTTTTGAGGATCAATTAATTTCTTGACCCAGGTCATTTTCAAAGATTTAATAAAACTTTCAATTCAGTCATATTAAGACCACCATTCTCATAACTGTTTCTTAGTGTTCCTCTCCTGATTTTATCTTTTTTGTCGTTCCATATAAAGTTAAAGCATCTCTGTTCTACTTGCTGGAGCATGTGGCAGGGAGGCTTTGTTGAAACTGTAAATAATTGCACAAGTATTGGAATTTTCATGAAACTTGCTCAATGTCACTACTACAATGGGTAGATGTGCAGGAAGGGGCAATTTTTCGGTTCTTTGATTTTTGTAAAATTTATGCCATTTTCAACTTTGTATCTGTAGTTTGCTCTTAGTTGAGCTTTGTGAATGCAATTTCTCCTAAAATAATGATAAGATTTTCATAAAACTTGCTCAATGTCACTTATACAATGGTTCGATGTGCATGAAGGGGCGATTTTACGGTTCATTGATTTTTGTAAGATTTATGCCATTTTATCTTGATCTTTATATTTTGTGGCGGCGTATATTGTGTCCACGGCACTCTTGTTGAAATCTAGTCAGGCACTTCTGTTATGAACAGGAAATCTAAATAGTTTATTTCAAACAGACAATTTTTTTTGTAGAATTTACCTGCAAAACACAAAGAGTCTTTAAAAAGAAAACACTATAAGATAATGCCTTTGTATTTGGTTATATACTGAATCATGTTGATAAATATCTACATATTGTTTTAAGGTACATGTTCTTGTTTTTTTATTGATAAATAAAATCTATCGGGATAATATCTGTACTCTGACAATTTCAGGAATACACAGGTGAGATTCCTGCATCTACTTCAACAGCCAGTAAACAAAACTGGAAACCGAGGAAAGAAACTCCTGATAATCCTCATCAAGACCAGTGCTGTGGATCATTTCGTGGATGGCTTAAACAAAAGGAGACAAGCTTTTTCGATCCAGATCCTGAAGATATTGGTATGATATTTGTTATGTTGAAGATACTTGACATATTGATATCCCATTTCACTGTGATCTGTAGCATCACAACATCAACACGTGATTACATACTGATGGTGATTGTTCATAATGACCTTGGTAAGGAATAAATAGGTCACCCTTGACCAATTTAAAGAATATTGTGTATAAGATATGTACCCCTCAAAAGATGAATTTAATAGTCTCGCCATAGATATATATCCTAACAACATGCTGTACACCAGGTAAGATTTTGATGACTGTTGGTTACACCAGGTCCTAGTGTAAGGTCACAATCATAGATGTCTGTTGGTTATACACCAGTTCCTAGTGTAAGGTCACAATTGGCTCTCACTTTGTTATATTGATGCTGTTTTTTTTCATAATGAAGAGGACTTTGAAAGTACACCCTTCATCATGGACCGTTTTCACATATACAAAGGCCATGAGGATCCAAGCACATTCTTCAGACCTTCAATTAGGTCCCTATTGGTAAGGACATCACTTCAATCCTGATGTCCCTGTTACAAAGGACATCAGTTCAATCCTGATGTCCCTGTTGTTAAGGACATCAGTCAAAACCTTAAGTCCCTAATTGTTAAGTGCCAAAATCAAAAAGCCCCTATTTGTAAGTGTCTCAGTCCAAAATAATGGTCCATTATGTTTATTGTCCCAAATGTTTAGTCCTTTATTTTTAATTCAAAATAAAATATGAATTATGTTTTTTTACCTGCAATATTTGTATTTTTAAGGATATAAATTAATTTACACAGACAATAGTAAGTGACATATAAGATAGATCTTAAGTATAATGATAAATCATTGACATTTTTTCTCACAGGTAAAACATATTTTGATCAACTTAGATATTCGTGAAGACCTGGAGGCCAAAAATTTTCCCCTAAAGGACGAGAAAGGGCGTAAGTAGTCAGGAACAGCAAAGAGGAGACTGATACAGATAAGTGGTAGATTTAGAGGTGTTGGGAGACCACAGGGTAGGAGAGACCATGGGATGGGATGTTGGAAGATGACAGGGTAGGAGAGACCATGGGATGAGGTGTTGGGAGACCACAGGGTAGGAGAGACCATGGGATGGGGTGTTGGGAGATGACAGGGTAGGAGAGACCATGGGATGAGGTGTTGGGAGACGACAGGGTAGGAGAGACCATGGGATAAGGTGTTGGGAGACCACAGGGTAGGAGAGACCATGGGATGGGGTGTTGGGAGATGACAGGGTAGGAGAGACCATGGGATGGGATGTTGGGAGATGACAGGGTAGGAGAGACCATGGGATGGGGTTGTTGGGAGACCACAGGGTAGGAGAGACCATGGGATGGGGTGTTGGGAGATGACAGGGTAGGAGAGACTATGGGATGGGGTGTTAGGAGACCACAGGGTAGGAGAGACCATGGGATGGGATGTTGGGAGACGACATGTAGGAGAGACCATGGGATGGGATGTTGGGAGACGACAGGTAGGAGAGACCATGGGAGTGGGTGTTGGGAGACCACGGGGTAGGAGAGACCATGGGATGAGGTGTTGGGAGATGACAGGGTAGGAAAGACCATGGGATGAGGTGCTGGGAGATCATAGAGTAGGAGAGACCATGGGATGGGGTGTTGGGAGATGACAGGGTAGGAGAGACCATGGGATGAGGTGTTGGGAAATGACAGGGTAGGAGAGATCATGGGATGAGGTGTTGGGAGATGACAGGGTAGGAGAGACCATGGGATGAGGTGTTGGGAAATGACAGGGTAGGAGAGACTATGGGATGGGGTGTTGGGAGACGAATGGGTAGGAGAGACCATTTGATGAGGTGTTGGGGGATGACAGGGTAGGAGAGACTATGGGATGAGGTGTTGGGAAATGACAGTGTTGCCCTGTTGACTGTTAGATTGATACTTTGTTGACTGTTAGAGTGTTGCCCTGTTGACTGTTAGAGTGATACTTTGTTGACTGTTAGAGTGTTGCCCTGTTGACTGTTAGATTGATACTTTGTTGACTGTTAGAGTGTTGCCTGTTAGAGTGTTAGTTGCCCTGTTGACAGTTTAGAGTGTTACTTTGTTGACTGTTGAGTGTGACTGTTAGAGTGTTGCTGTTGACTGTTAGAGTGTTGCCCTGTTGACTGTTAGAGTGATACTTTGTTGACTGTTAGAGTGTTGTTGCCCTGTTGACTGTTAGATTGTTGACTGTTACTGTTGACTGTTAGACTGTTGACTGTTAGTGTTGCCCTGTTAGACTGTGTTAGAGTGTTGCTGTTGACTGTTGACTGTTAGAGTGTTGCCCTGTTGACTGTTAGATTGATACTTTGTTGACTGTTAGAGTGTTGCCCTGTTGACTGTTAGATTGATACTTTGTTGACTGTTAGAGTAATACTTTGTTGATTGTTAGAGTGATACTTTGTTGACTGTTAGAGTGTTGCCCTGTTGACTGTTAGAGTGTTGCTCTGTTGACTGTAAGAGTGATACTTTGTTGACTGTTAGAGTGTTGCCCTGTTGACTGTTAGATTGATACTTTGTTGACTGTTAGAGTGTTGCCCTGTTGACTGTTAGAGTGTTGCTCTGTTGACTGTTAGAGTGTTGCTCTGTTGACTGTTAGAGTGTTGCCGTGTTGACTGTTAGAGTGTTGACTGTTAGAGTGATACTTTGTTGACTGTTAGAGTGTTGCCCTGTTGACTGTTAGAGTGATACTTTGTTGACTGTTAGAGTGTTGCCCTGTTGACTGTTAGATTGATACTTTGTTGACTGTTAGAGTGTTGCCCTGTTGACTGTTAGATTGATACTTTGTTGACTGTTAGAGTGTTGCCCTGTTGACTGTTAGAGTGTTGCCCTGTTGACTGTTAGAGTGTTACTTTGTTGACTGTTAGAGTGTTGCCCTGTTGACTGTTAGAGTGTTGCCCTGTTGACTGTTAGAGTGTTGCCCTGTTGACTGTTAGATTGATACTTTGTTGACTGTTAGAGTGTTGCCCTGTTGACTGTTAGATTGATACTTTGTTGACTGTTAGAGTGTTGCCCTGTTGACTGTTAGAGTTGACTGTTAGAGTGTTGCGCTGTTGACTGTTAGAGTGTTGCCCTGTTGACTGTTAGATTGATACTTTGTTGACTGTTAGAGTGTTGCCCTGTTGACTGTTAGAGTGATACTTTGTTGACTGTTAGAGTAATGCTTTGTTGATTTTTAGAGTGATACTTTGTTGACTGTTAGAGTGTTGCCCTGTTGACTGTTAGAGTGTTGCTCTGTTGACTGTTAGAGTGTTGCCCTGTTGACTGTTAGATTGATACTTTGTTGACTGTTAGAGTGTTGCCCTGTTGACTGTTAGAGTGTTGCCCTGTTGACTGTTAGATTGATACTTTGTTGACTGTTAGAGTGATGCTCTGTTGACTGTTAGAGTGTTGCCGTGTTGACTGTTAGAGTGATTCGAGTTGACTGAGATTGACTGTTGACTGTTAGAGTGTTGCTCTGTTGACTGTTAGAGTGATTGACTGTTAGAGTGTAACCTCTGTTGACTGTAAGAGTGATACTTTGTTGACTTTTAGAGTGTTGCCCTGTTGACTGGCCTGTTGACTGTTAGAGTGTTGCCCTGTTGACTGTTAGAGTGTTGCTCTGTTGACTGTAAGAGTGATACTTTGTTGACTTTTAGAGTGTTGCCCTGTTGACTGTTAGAGTGTTGCCCTGTTGACTGTTAGAGTGATACTTTGTTGACTGTTAGAGTGTTGCCCTGTTGACTGTTAGAGTGATACTTTGTTGACCTTTAGAGTGTTGCCCTGTTGACTGTTAGATTGATAATTTGTTGACTGTTAGAGTGTTGCCCTGTTGACTGTTAGAGTGTTGCCCTGTTGACTGTTAGAGTGTTGCCCTGTTGACTGTTAGAGTGTTGCTCTGTTGACTGTAAGAGTGATACTTTGTTGACTTTTAGAGTGTTGCCCTGTTGACTGTTAGAGTGTTGCCCTGTTGACTGTTAGATTGATACTGTGATGACTGTTATATTTATACATTTATGACTGTTAGAGGGATGCACTGTTGACTGTTAGAGTGTTGCCCTGTTGACTGTTAGAGATACTTTGTTGACTGTTAGAGTGTTGTTGACTGTTGACTGTTGACTGTTAGAGTGTTGCTTTGTTGACTGTTAGAGTGTGTTAGAGTTGACTGTTGACTGTTAGAGTGTTGCTGTTAGAGTGTTGCCTGTTGACTGTTAGATTTACTGTTGACTGTTAGAGTGTTGCCCTGTTGACTGTTAGAGTGTTGCTCTGTTGACTGTTAGAGTGTTGCCCTGTTGACTGTTAGAGTGATACTTTGTTGACTGTTAGAGTGTTACCCTGTTGACTGTTAGAGTGTTGCCCTGTTGACTGTTAGATTGATACTTTGTTGACTGTTAGAGTGTTGCCCTGTTGACTGTTAGAGTGTTGCCCTGTTGGCTGTTAGAGTGTTGCCCTGTTGACTGTTAGAGTGTTGCCCTGTTGACTGTTAGAGTGATACTTTGTTGACTGTTAGAGTGTTGCCCTGTTGACTGTTAGAGTGATACTTTGTTGACTGTTAGAGTGTTGCCCTGTTGACTGTTAGAGTGATACTTTGTTGACTGTTAGAGTGTTGCCCTGTTGACTGTTAGAGTGTTGCCCTGCTGACTGTTAGATTGATATTTTGTTGACTGTTAGAGTGATACTTTGTTGACTTTTAGAGTGTTGCCCTGTTGACTGTTAGAGTGTTGCCCTGTTGACTGTTAGAGTGATACTTTGTTGACTGTTAGAGTGTTGCTTTGTTGACTGTTAGAGTGTTGACTGTAGAGTGTTGCCCTGTTGACTGTTAGAGTGTTGCTCTGTTGACTGTAAGAGTGATACTTTGTTGACTTTTAGAGTGTTGCCCTGTTGACTGTTAGAGTGTTGCCCTGTTGACTGTTAGAGTGATACTTTGTTGACTGTTAGAGTGTAACCCATGTTGACTGTTAGAGTGATACTTTGTTGACTGTTAGAGTGTTGCCCTGTTGACTGTTAGAGTGTTGCCCTGTTGACTGTTAGAGTGATACTTTGTTGACTGTTAGAGTGTTGCCCTGTTGACTGTTAGAGTGTTGATACTTTGACTGTTAGAGTGTTGCTGTTGTGTTAGAGTGATACTGTTGACTGTTAGTGTTGCTTTGTTGACTGTTAGAGTGTTGCCCTGTTGACTGTTAGATTGATACTTTGTTGACTGTTAGAGTGTTGCCCTGTTGACTGATAGATTGATACTTTGTTGACTGTTAGAGTGTTGCCCTGTTGACTGTAAGAGTGATACTTTGTTGACTGTTAGAGTGATACTTTGTTGACTGTTAGAGTGAGTGTTGCCCTGTTGACTGTTAGATTGATACTTTGTTGACTGTTAGAGTGTTGCTCTGTTGACTGTTAGAGTGTTGCCCTGTTGACTGTTAGATTGATACTTTGTTGACTGTTAGAGTAATACTTTGTTGATTGTTAGAGTGATACTTTGTTGACTGTTAGAGTGTTGCCCTGTTGACTGTTAGATTGATACTTTGTTGACTGTTAGAGTGTTGCCCTGTTGACTGTTAGAGTGTTGCCCTGTTGACTGTTAGAGTGATACTTTGTTGACTGTTAGAGTGTAACCCATGTTGACTGTTAGAGTGTTACTTTGTTGACTGTTAGAGTGTTGCCCTGTTGACTGTTAGAGTGATACTTTGTTGACTGTTAGAGTGTTGCTCTGTTGACTGTTAGAGTGTTGCCCTGTTGACTGTTAGATTGATACTTTGTTGACTGTTAGAGTGTTGCCCTGTTGACTGTTAGATTGATACTTTGTTGACTGTTAGAGTGTTGCTCTGTTGACTGTTAGAGTGTTGCCCTGTTGACTGTTAGATTGATACTTTGTTGACTGTTAGAGTGTTGCCCTGTTGACTGTTAGATTGATACTTTGTTGACTGTTAGAGTGTTGCCCTGTTGACTGTTAGATTGATACTTTGTTGACTGTTAGAGTGTTGCCCTGTTGACTGTTAGAGTGATACTTTGTTGACTGTTAGAGTGATACTTTGTTGACTGTTAGAGTAATACTTTGTTGATTGTTAGAGTGATACTTTGTTGACTGTTAGAGTGTTGCCCTGTTGACTGTTAGATTGATACTTTGTTGACTGTTAGAGTAATACTTTGTTGATTGTTAGAGTGATACTTTGTTGACTGTTAGAGTGTTGCCCTGTTGACTGTTAGAGTGATACTTTGTTGACTGTTAGAGTGATACTTTGTTGATTGTTAGAGTGATACTTTGTTGACTGTTAGATTGTTGCCCTGTTGACTGTTAGATTGATACTTTGTTGACTGTTAGAGTGTTGCCCTGTTGACTGTTAGATTGATACTTTGTTGACTGTTAGAGTGTTGCCCTGTTGACTGTTAGATTGATACTTTGTTGACTGTTAGAGTGTTGCTCTGTTGACTGTTAGATTGATACTTTGTTGACTGTTAGAGTGTTGCCCTGTTGACTGTTATAGTGTTGCCCTGTTGACTGTTAGAGTGTTGCCGTGTTGACTGTTAGAGTGTTGACTGTTAGATTGATACTTTGTTGACTGTTAGAGTGTTGCCCTGTTGACTGTTAGATTGATACTTTGTTGACTGTTAGAGTGTTGCCTTTGTTGCCTGTTGACTGTTAGAGTGTTACTTTGTTGACTGTTAGAGTGTTGCCCTGTTAGAGTGTTGTTGACTGTTAGAGTGTTGCTCTGTTGACTGTTAGAGTGTTGCTCTGTTGACTGTTAGAGTGTTGCCCTGTTGACTGTTAGATTGATACTTTGTTGACTGTTAGAGTGTTGCTCTGTTGACTGTTAGAGTGTTGCCCTGTTGACTGTTAGATTGATACTTTGTTGACTGTTAGAGTGTTGCCCTGTTGACCGTTAGAGTGTTGCTCTGTTGACTGTTAGATTGATACTTTGTTGACTGTTAGAGTGTACTTTGTTGACTGTTAGAGTGTTGCCATGTTGACTGTTAGATTGATACTTTGTTGACTGTTAGAGTGTTACCCTGTTGACTGTTAGAGTGTTGCCATGTTGACTGTTAGATTGATACTTTGTTGACTGTTAGAGTGTTGCTCTGTTGACTGTTAGAGTGTTGCCCTGTTGACTGTTAGATTGATACTTTGTTGACTGTTAGAGTTATACTGTTAGAGTGTTACTCTGTTGACTGTTAGATTGATACTTTGTTGACTGTTAGAGTGTTGCCCTGTTGACTGTTAGATTGATACTTTGTTGACTGTTAGAGTGTTGCCCTGTTGACTTTTAGAGTGTTGCCTGTTGACTGTTAGAGTGTTGCCCTGTTGACTGCCCTGTTGACTGTTAGAGTGTTGCCCTGTTGACTGTTAGATTGATACTTTGTTGACTGTTAGAGTGTTGCCCTGTTGACTGTTAGAGTGTTGCTCCGTTGACTGTAAGAGTGATACTTTGTTGACTTTTAGAGTGTTGCCCTGTTGACTGTTTGAGAGTGTTGCCCTGTTGACTGTTAGATTGATACTTTGTTGACTGTTAGAGTGTTACTTTGTTGACTGTTAGAGTGATACTTTGTTGACTGTTAGAGTGTTGCCCTGTTGACTGTTAGATTGATACTTTGTTGACTGTTAGAGTGTTGCCCTGTTGACTGTAAGAGTGATACTTTGTTGACTGTTAGAGTGATACTTTGTTGACTGTTAGAGTGTTGCCCTGTTGACTGTTAGAGTGTTGCCCTGTTGACTGTTAGAGTGTTGCCCTGTTGACTGTTAGAGTGATACTTTGTTGACTGTTAGAGTGTAACCCATGTTGACTGTTAGAGTGATACTTTGTTGACTGTTAGAGTGTTGCCCTGTTGACTGTTAGAGTGATACTTTGTTGACTGTTAGAGTGTTGCCCTGTTGACTGTTAGATGTTGCCCTGTTGACTGTTACTGTTAGTGTTTGTTGACTGTTAGAGTGATACTTTGTTGACTGTTAGCCCTGTTGACTGTTAGAGTGTTACTTTGTTGACTGTTAGAGTGTTGCTTTGTTGACTGTTAGAGTGTTACTTTGTTGACTGTTAGAGTGTTACTTTGTTGACTGTTGACTGTGTTGACTGTTAGACTGTTAGACTGTTAGAGTGTAGTTGACTGTTAGAGTGATACTTTGTGACTGTTAGAGTGTTGTGTTTACTGTTAGAGTGATACTCTGTTGACTGTTAGAGTGTTGCTCTGTTGACTGTAAGAGTGATACTTTGTTGACTTTTAGAGTGTTGCCCTGTTGACTGTTAGAGTGTTGCCCTGTTGACTGGCCTGTTGACTGTTAGAGTGTTGCCCTGTTGACTGTTAGAGTGTTGCTCTGTTGACTGTAAGAGTGATACTTTGTTGACTTTTAGAGTGTTGCCCTGTTGACTGGCCTGTTGACTGTTAGAGTGTTGCCCTGTTGACTGTTAGAGTGTTGCCTGTTAGAGTGTTTCTTTGTTGACTGTTAGAGTTATACTTTGTTGACTGTTAGAGTGATACTTTGTTGACTGTTAGAGTGTTGCCCTGTTGACTGTCAGATTGATACTTTGTTGACTGTTAGAGTGTTGCTTTGTTGACTGTTAGAGTGTTGCCCTGTTGACTGTTAGAGTGATACTTTGTTGACTGTTAGAGTGTTGCCCTGTTGACTGTTAGATTGATACTTTGTTGACTGTTAGAGTGTTGCCCTGTTGACTGTTAGATTGATACTTTGTTGACTGTTAGAGTGTTGCTCTGTTGACTGTTAGAGTGTTGCCCTGTTGACTGTTAGAGTGATACTTTGTTGACTGTTAGAGTGTTGCCCTGTTGACTGTTAGATTGATACTTTGTTGACTGTTAGAGTGTTGCCCTGTTGACTGTTAGAGTGATACTTTGTTACTGAGAGTGTTGCTGTTGACTGTTAGAGTGTTGCTGTTGACTGTTAGAGTGTTTTGTTGACTGTTAGAGTGTTGCTGTTGACTGTTAGAGTGTTGCTTTGTTGACTGTTAGAGTGTTGACTGTTAGAGTGTTGCTCTGTTGACTGTAAGAGTGATACTTTGTTGACTGTTAGAGTGTTGCCCTGTTGACTGTAAGAGTGATACTTTGTTGACTGTTAGAGTGATACTTTGTTGACTGTTAGAGTGTTGCCCTGTTGACTGTTAGAGTGTTGCCCTGTTGGCTGTTAGAGTGTTGCCCTGTTGACTGTTAGAGTGTTGCTCTGTTGACTGTTAGAGTGTTGCCCTGTTGACTGTTAGATTGATACTTTGTTGACTGTTAGAGTAATACTTTGTTGATTGTTAGAGTGATACTTTGTTGACTGTTAGAGTGTTACCCTGTTGACTGTTAGATTGATACTTTGTTGACTGTTAGAGTGTTGCCCTGTTGACTGTTAGAGTGTTGACTGTTAGATTGATACTTTGTTGACTGTTAGAGTGTTGCCCTGTTGACTGTTAGAGTGTTGCCCTGTTGACTGTTAGAGTGTTGCTCTGTTGACTGTTAGAGTGATACTTTGTTGACTGTTAGAGTGTTGCCCTGTTGACTGTTAGATTGATACTTTGTTGACTGTTAGAGTGTTGCCATGTTGACTGTTAGATTGATACTTTGTTGACTGTTAGAGTGTTACCCTGTTGACTGTTAGATTGATACTTTGTTGACTGTTAGAGTGTTGCCCTGTTGACTGTTAGAGTGTTGCCCTGTTGACTGTTAGAGTGATACTTTGTTGACTGTTAGAGTGTAACCCATGTTGACTGTTAGAGTGATACTTTGTTGACTGTTAGAGTAATACTTTGTTGATTGTTAGAGTGATACTTTGTTGACTGTTAGAGTGTTGCCCTGTTGACTGTTAGATTGATACTTTGTTCACCGTCTTAGAGGTGAGATAGGTTCATCTTAACCTGATTAAATTAGTAAACACGAGATTTGCAGAGTGTTTACAACTAAATCATAGATTCCCAAGGATTGAGATCATTCAATTGTTACTGAGACTTCATATCATTGCCCTAACAGAGGAATCCCCTGTCTCAAACCTAGGGGGAGGCAAGAAATCTCACACTATTAAAAATGTTGATTTAAATGTCAAAGGTAAGAGAACCGATTGTCTCCAAAGAGAGTGGTGAACAGCCTTTTAACTATTCCCCTTTTAAAGTGTGCCATTTTTTGTATGTCAAAACTAGTTTCCAGTGGGTTTAAGTGAAAATACTCTGTCATAACAGAACAGGCCTCACTTGTATAAAACATCTCAACTTGAGATTTCCTCAAGTCGAGATTTTCCTCAGCTGATATCTCCTTGAAAACGGCTTGTATAAAATTTTCTCAAGGAACAGGAGGAAGTCATCGGCTAGGATGTCCTGAAATTCCTTGAGGAATTTTCATACAAGATGTTTTCAAGGAGATATTAACTGAGGAAAATGTGGGCTTGAGGAAATCTAAAGTTGAGATGTTTTATACAAATGGGGCCAGAAAATACAACAGACTTGTTTGCCACTATGAAGTTCTTATATTAAGCTCACACAATTTAATTCATATTGTCATGAAATAATCAAAACCAAGTATTGTATTTCTGTATATAATCTCTGTAACAGTTAATCACTACATCATATCTCAATGTTCTGTCTTTTCTCTACAGTATCACAGGCAAGGTTACAACATCACCCTATAACTATGTTACCACGACACTGGCTCCAAACACCACAGCACCACCTGAGGAGTAAGTCCTAACATGATAATGGCATCTTTGTAATGTTTCAAGATAAAAGGTTCTGTTAAAGTCTGTTTAAATATCAATTATATCCTGATTCTTATTGGGTTTATAGGTAATATTCCACTTTGATATAGATTAAAATTCTATGCTTCATTATAAAAATTAGTTTCCCATCGCTAGATGTGATACTAGCAGCTGTATTTACATTGTGAAATATCCATAATTGTCTCCCCTTCCTGGATTGTACTTGCATGGTACATTCTGCAGAGTAGTCTCCCTTGCTGGATTGTGTATATAGTTAAGTTAATGTTATATCTAGTTCTCTCCCTTTCTGGATTATGTTTATGGTATGGATTAATTGTAGAGTAGTCACCCTTGCTTGATTGTACAGAGATTATTGTACATTTTACTTATTAATGACTATAGATACCAACTATTCTTGTTTTCAATTATTACATTATACAGAGTATCCTCCCTTGCTGCAAAGGCCTTGGAAATCATCAAGAGTTCCTTTGACAATGAAGTTACTCCCTATTTCGCCTTGATCATTTGTGTTTGGGGTAAGTTGAAAAAAAAACATTTAAGGAGCGTTTTTTTTATTTATTTTTCTGTACCTATTTTGACATTGGATAGCCATCGGTTACAACATTAAAACTAGTTCCATTAGACATATCTATAGAACAGAGGTAGGCTCAATAAACAGTCCTTTTCTACTACAATCTTTATGGTATTTCTTCTGTATTGAGAAATACACTAGTATTGGTAAACTTTATTGAGAAAGTATCCAACACAAGTTTAAATGCTAGTATTTACAAGTATTTTCAAGATTCGCTGTTGATCCACCTTTTGTGTTCAGTTTTCTGTCCTCAGAGGAAAACAATAGAAATGATTCCAACAGAAGTCACTTGGTTTTATAAATATTTAATAGGTACCTTGTTCCTGGAACTATGGAAGCAGAAGTCAGCACGCTGTGCCTACCTCTGGGATGTACAGGAGTTTGAAGCTAATGAACCGGACAGGCCTGAATTCTTCAGTACAACATTCAAAGAGGTAAACCTTGATTGGCTGTAGCATAACTGATTCAAATTACTGCTATATCATGACTAGTATGTTTGACTTTCTGTATACAAGTGGTGTTTTAATTAACTTGTTGTGTCATCAGACTAAACCATGAATAAATGGTACAGCTATTTCTATTCTCTTGTGATAACAACTGTGTTTGTTTGGGGGGTATAAGTCATTGGTACAGCTATTTCTATTAACTATGTTTAACTACTATTTCTATTCTAACTGTATTAGTTACATGAGTGTGTAAATAATTTGATAATGTACTTTAGGACCCTGTGACGAAAGCCAAAGAGATGTATTTCCCATCCAGGAAGCAGAATATCCGATACCTCATCTCCTTCTCAACACTGATGTTTATGATCCTCATCGTTCTCACTAGTGTTGTCTCCATCATCATCTATCGTGTCATCACTAGTGTGGACTATTGTCCCAATATGGATGCTACCACATGTCTCCTGTTGACCACAGTTGTGTCCTCTGTACTCAACACTATGTCAATCCTCATCCTCGGCAAGGTCAGTTCAGCAGAATACGGCTGTATTTTTGTGAAAATCTTCAAAATGTACGGTTGGAAATATTTGCAAATTGAATTTTTTGCCATTTCTGTGTTTTAGAAATTGAAACCTACAAAAAATCTGAATAATATGATACTTTTTTTTATCCACTAGTATAAAAAAGTGATTTATGCTTGTGAAAATAAACATGATGATACTTAAAGTTACAAGACAGTGTCACCTGTTAACAAGGCACCTGTTGATAATGTAACAATCTGTTTTAGGTTACTCTATTTACACATCTGTTGGATGTCAGAAATGATATGGTTTCACTTAAAATCTGACATGATTATTGATGACAGGATTAATCTTGTCTTTTACTGAGGTGTAGAAGTCATTGTGTTTGGTGGTGGAAGTTTATGTTGGTGTATAAGTATGTGGAACATGGATAGACGGCCTTTATGGATCGGAGTTCAGTTAAATTGTCTTGCTTGATTGGAAAAATGTATATAGGTCTACCCAATACTTACTCGTCATGGTAACTAATGCTAAAATATAGGTACTCGATATAGGTAGATTTTGTTTCCCCATAAGAAGTACACTGTAGAGTTATGTCCTTTAGTTTAGAATAATGCATTGTATACAATAAATTATTTATTGTAATTATTGTCAGCTTAATGTTTTTTTTTATTTTGCCAGGTGTATGATTATATGGCTGTGAAGCTTACTGACTGGGGTGAGTTACATTGTGATAAAATATTGGTAAAATAAGAAGAAATGTTCTGTGGTCTATCATTGTACAGAAAGTGGCTGCTTTGTCACTAAAGTCTGAAACCTTTTATTGACTTTTATTGAACTTATCACCCACTTCTATATATTACCACAGATCTATTTAAATGTCACCCACTTCTTTAAATAACCATAGACCTACTTAAATGTCACCCACTTGGTCAGATTACCATAGACCTACTTAAATGTCACCCACTTGGTAAGATTACCATAGACCTACTTAAATGTCACCCACTTCATAAGATTACCATTGACCTACTTAAATATCACCCACTTCATGAGATTACCACAGACTCTGTATGATGACTGTGTTGTTGTATTTTCAGAAAACCATAGAACATAGACTATATATGATGACGATAGTGTTGTTGTATTTTCAGAAAACCATAGAACATAGACTATGTATGATGATGACTGTGAGGTTGTATTTTCAGAAAACCATAGAACATAGACTATATATGATGAAGACAGTGTTGTTGTATTTTCAGAAAACCATAGAACATAGACTATGTATGATGATTGTGTTGTTGTTTTTTCAGAAAACCATAGAACACAGACGATGTATGATGATGCCTTGATCATAAAACTCTTCGCATTTCAATTTGCTAACAACTACGCATCCAGTTTTTACATTGCCTTCTTCAGAGGGGTGAGTATTACAGCCATATGTGTCTATTTCTGATAGTGTATTTCGCTTCAGTAATAATTACCATAACGTTAGTATGCAAATACAGTACCTACACCCATCTTTGTATCCCAACAACTAAAGATTAAAAGCGTCCTGCCCTCCCTACGATGCATGAGCCATCACGGCAGGAACATAGAGTGATCTCCCTTCCTCTTACCTTTATGGCTGCCGACGAGTGCGGAGGTGTCTGAGCTGAGTGCTTTCTTTATCCTTCTCTTCGTACTGCTATTATTGTCTGAGTATATTGTTACTCCCTTAGTCTGTAAACCCATATCCCAACTTATTTTCGAAGTTATGAGTATTGGCATATGTTTATTTCGGTCATTTTTCCGGCCGTGTTTTCCTCCATGTGTTCGAGTGCATGACCATGTGTCTCACTTTTTGCAGATTTTCGTAAAGTTGTAATTTGTGTTTTGCTGCTTTGTCTGTAGTTTTGTGCGACGATTTTCTTATTGCAGTCTTGCTGTGTGACGTTAGTCTTTGTGCTTTCATTCGTAGTTTTTTGTTTGTTAGAAAACTTCATTGACTTGTTTTTCCATTGTTTATAATTTTCATTGTTTCGACAATGGATAGTGATGGGTTACATTGGGGGTCAGCACATGGGTGTTCCCATTTCTACGGAGAACGGGACCCTTATGATGCCTGTCCCCTTTGCCGGCCTTGCAGTGAGACTTCGCTGTGCGAACTTTGTTTGCACATGGAGTCTATTGCCAAGGTTCCCATGCTTGTCAGGCAAATTAAGTCTTCCTGGAGAACTGTTTTGACATGGTTTGGGGCTTAGCCCTTCCACCTTTGGAGACGTTCGAGAAGGCCAGGGCTCTGGCTCTGACCTTCATCGCTTGGTCGCATGTCCAGGTGCGTTGGTTCCTCAGTTTTCTGGGGTATCTCAACTCCCTGGCAGATGTGGTCCTCCTAGGGACGCTCCACATCAGACCTTTCCAGATGTTCCTCCTGTCCAACTGGGTTCCGTCATCCAGGAAATGAGAGGCCTGGATTCCTCAGAAGAACGCTCTCCGCAGGGTGCCTCTGACCAAGCCTGTCCCCTTTATGACGCTGTTCATGGATGCATCCATGACAGTATCGGCAGCTTACCTTGACGGCCAGTACTGCTTGGGGAAGTGGTCTGGCAAACAGCTCTCGGAGCACATCAGTGTGCTCGAGGTGAGGGCTGTTCTTTTGTATCTGCAGTCCTTTTGGGGGATCCTGCAGTCTGAAGTGATTTGTGTCACTACTGAAAACACTTGTCACGTGTCTGGAGAGACAGGGGGGCACCAGGTGTTATGTCCTGTGTGCTCTCGCGATCCGCATTCATCTTCTCTGTAGAGAGATGCAGTTGACCAGTCAAGCATCTTCATGGCAGGCAGAATGTGTTTGCAGACACTCTCTTCAGGCACTGCCAGCCGGTGTTGACGGAATGGCAGCTGTGTCCCTTGATTTTCAAGGGAATTTGTCAGGTGTGGGACAGACATCTTATAGACCTGTTTGCCACCTCCCTGACGACCAGCTGCCAACCTTCGTCTCTCCGGTCCCAGATCCAAAGGCTTAGGCTGTGACGCCCTTTTTCTGGACTGGGACGAGATGTATGCATATACATTCCCTCCCTTCAATCTGGTGGGCAGGGTGCTACAGAAGTTCTGGGAGCATCACTACCGAGGCAACTTTGGTTTCTGGAGCTCTTGTCGTTTCTGGTGGAGGAGCCCCTGGCTCTCCCCACCAGACTGAATCTCCTTCGCCAGCCTCGGTACAGAACAACACACTCTCGACCAGAGATCCTCCACCTTCACGCATTGAGGCTATCTCTGGAAGCCACGACAAGGCAGGCTTTTCTCGAGAGGTGTCAGATTGCATTACGAGATCAATCAGGACTTTCCTTCTGCCGTCTACCAGTCACTTTGGAAGATCTTCTGTGATTGGTGTGTAAGCAGGAAGGTTGATCCGTTCGAAGCCTCTGTGCAGTTGATTGCGGATTTCCTACTCTCCCTCTTTAGGGACTGCAATCTGGCACCTGGCAATATTGCTGGCTATTGTACAGCTATTGCCAGTGTCCTTACGTTTTATGGCAGGAAAGAGATAGGTTCGTCCTCCTCTCTTTTTGCCCTAATCAGAGGCTTCGCTCTGGATAGATCCAGAGTTCGGCAGCTGGCCCTGACTAGGGCTACTTATGAGCCTCTGGAGTCTGCCTCGTTAAAGTTCATAATTTCAAGGCAGTCTTCCTATTGGCTTTGGCCTCTGGACGTAGGAGGAGTGAGGTCCATGCCTTGTAGTTACTCCCTTCTTGTCTACTTTGGTCCAGACACTTTGGTCACAGACAGTGACTGTGCCTCCTCATTAGCCCTGTGGCATGTCTTTCTGTACGGCGGCACACGGGTACACCTACTCTTACATGGGGAGGTCCCTTCCTACTCTTTGGCACTCTGTTCCCCCTCCCTACTACTTTGGCTGTGCTGTTTTTTTCATGTAATATACCTTATGAAAATTGGTTTTACATGGAAATACCTCAATGCTATCTGTGTTTGACTTCTGTGTTATGAACCTTGTGTATAACCTCTGACCTTTGTTTGTTACCTCCCACAAAGTCCCCCCTTTTCAACCCTGTGATTAACTCTTACCTATATCAGCGTCTTCCTCCATATATGTTTGTAGACCTCTCTGTGTTATACCTCTGTGTATCATTTGTCTCTAAATCCCCTTTTACAACCCTACATGACTTACAATGTATCTTGCTGTGTTTAAAAGTTGACCACGACATGTAATTCTTCTTTAATTTGTGTTGTAGCGATTTGACTATGCTGGTATTCTGGGACTTGGATCAGAGTATCGTGACAGCTGTGAGGGTACATGTATGTCCCAGCTTTCATTTCAGATTCTGACAAACATGCTCCTTAAACCCTTACCGAAGGTGTTCAGTGACATTGTCAAGCCGTAAGTAGCTAGCTTATGTGAAGGAAAATCAAAAGAAACATACACTGTATTAAGATGAGTTAACTTTTATACTTTAAAACATCTTCAAATTTTCAAGAATAATTCAACATATTTACACATTTTATAACTGGAAATGTTTGTCATGTTTTCCAAATACTTTGTTTAGTCTGTTTGAGCTTTATCCTTAATTAAATCATAAATAAACACTATCATCGACAAACCTTTATTTGTTGTTGTAGACTTCTCATCAGGTCATGGAGAAAACGCCCATCCTGTATGCAGGGTGAAAAGCCTGAGCTAACAGATGACCTTGACATTGACGAGCGTGCCCTTCATTATCCAGAGACATTAACGTTCATGGACAAAGAGTTCATGAAGCCTACTCTTGGTGACTTCACTGTAGGAGAGTACACAGAAAAAATCATTCAATATGGGTTCCTTATGGTAAATATATTCATGATGACTTGCAGGTGTTATAATTTATATAAAGACCGATTCATGTTGATAAATTCTGATGCTATACAGAGCTGTTTGCTGGCTCTATACCTTCTAAAATTGTTTCAATCAGGCAATTCTTCATATACCTTTAACTGTTTGTGTTTCTCTGCCCCCAGTGTCTCCCCTCATAATATTATATTTATATACTTACAACTGTTTGCATCTCTTTGCCCCCAGAACCCCCCTCATAATATTATATTTATATACCTACAGCTGTTTGCTGCCTCTTTGCCCCCAGTGTCTCCCCTCATAATATCATATTTATATACTTACAACTGTTTGCTGCCTCTTTGCCCCTGCCTCCCCTCATAATGTTATATTTATATACCTACAGCTGTTTGCTGCCTCTTTGCCCCCAGTGCCTCCCGTCATAATGTTATATTTATATACCTACAGCTGTTTGCTGCCTCTTTGCCTCTGGCTCCCCTCATAATGTTATATTTATATACCTACAACTGTTTGCTGCCTCTTTGCCCCAAGTACCCCCCTAATAATGTTATATTTATATACCTACAGCTGTTTGCTGCCTCTTTGCCCCTGGCTCCCCTCACAATGTTATATTGATATACCTACAGCTGTTTGCTGCCTCTTTGCTCCTGGCTCCCCTCAAAATGTTATATTTATATACCTACAGCTATTTGCTGCCTCTCTGCCCCTGGCTCCCCTAATAATGTTTTATTTATATACCTATAGCTGTTTGCTGCTTCTTTGCCCCCAGTGCCTCCCCTCCTAATGTTATATTTATATACCTACAGCTGTTTGCTTCCTCTTTGCCCCAGGCTCCCCTCATAATGTTATATTTATATACCTACAGCTGTTTGCTGCCTCTTTGCCCCTAGTACCCCCCTCACAATGTTATATTTATATACCTATAGCTGTTTGCTGCCTCTTTGCCCCCAGTGTTTCCCCTCATAATGTTATATTTATATACCTACAGCTGTTTGCTGCCTCTTTGCCCCCACTGCCTCCCCTCATAATGTTATATTTATATACCTACAGCTGTTTGCTGCCTCTTTGCCCCCAGTGCCTCCCCTCATAATGTTATATTTATATACCTACAGCTGTTTGGTGCCTCTTTGCCCCTGGCTCTCCTCATAATGTTATATTTATATACCTACAGTTGTTTGCTGCCTCTTTGCCCCTTGCTCCCCTCATGTTATATTTATATATCTACAGCTGTTTGCTGCCTGTTTGCCCCCAGTGTCTCCCCTCATAATGTTATATTTATATACCTACAGCTGTTTGCTGCCTCTTTGCCCCCAGTACCCCCCTCATAATGTTATATTTATATACCTACAGCCTACAGCTGTTGCATCTCTTTGTCCCCAGTACCTCCCCTCATAATGTTATATTTATATACCTACAGCTGTTTGCTGCCTCTTTGCCCCCAGTACCCCCCTCACAATGTTATATTTATATACCTACAGCTGTTTGCTGCCTCTTTGCCCCTGGCTCCCCTCACAATGTTATATTTATATACCTACAGCTGTTTGCTGCCTCTTTGCCCCCAGTGCCTCCCCTCATAATGTTATATTTATATACCTACAGCTGTTGCTGCCTCTTTGCCCCCAGTAACCCCCTCACAATGTTATATTTATATACCTACAGCTGTTTGCTGCCTCTTTGCCCCTGGCTCCCCTCATAATGTTATATTTATATACCTACAGCTGTTTGCTGCCTCTTTGCCCCTGGCTCCCCTCATAATGTTATATTTATATACCTACAGCTGTTTGCTGCCTCTTTGCCCCCAGTACCCCCCTTAGTATGTTATATTTATATACCTACAGCTGTTTGCTGCCTCTTTGCTCCTGGCTCCCCTCAAAATGTTATATTCATATACCTACAGCTGTTTGCTGCCTCTTTGCCCCTGGCTCCCCTAATAATGTTTTATTTATATACCTATAGCTGTTTGCTGCCTCTTTGCCCCCAGTACCCCCCTCATAATGTTATATTTATATAACTACAGCTGTTCGCATCTCTTTTCCCCCAGTACCCCCCTCACAATGTTATATTTATATACCTACTGCTGTTTGCTGCCTCTTTGCCCCCAGTGTCTCCCCTCATATGATTATATTTATATACCTACAGCTGTTTGCATCTCTTTGCCCCCAGTACCCCCCTCATAATGTTATATTTATATACTTACAACTGTTTGCTGCCTCTTTGCCCCCAGTGTCTCCCCTCATAATATTATATTTATATACTTACATCTGTTTGCATCTCTTTTCCCCCAGTAACCCCCTCATAATATTATATTTATATACCTACAGCTGTTTGATGCCTCTTTGCCCCCAGTGCCCCCCTAATAATGTTATATTTATATACCTACAGCTGTTTGCTGCCTCTTTGCCCCTGCCTCCCCTCATAATGTTATATTGATATACCTACAGCTGTTTGCTGCTTTTTTGCCCCTGGCTCCCCTCATCATGTTATATTTATATACCTACAGCTGTTTGCTTCCTCTTTGCCCCCACTGCCTCCCCTCATAATGTTATATTTATATACTTATAACTGTTTGCTACCTCTCTGTCCCTGGCTCCCCTCATAATGTTATATTTATATATCTACAGCTGTTTGCTGCCTCTTTGCCCCTGGCTCCCCTCATAATGTTATATTTATATACCTACAGTTGTTTGCTGCCTCTTTGCCCCTGGCTCCCTCATGTTATATTTATATACCTACAGCTCTTTGCTGCCTGTTTGCCCCCAGTGTTTCCCCTCATAATGTTATATTTATATACCTACAACTGTTTGCTGCCTCTTTGCCCCCAGTACCCCGCTCATCATGTTATATTTATATACCTACAGCTGTTCGCATCTCTTTGTCCCCAGTACCTCCCCTCATAATGTTATATTTATATATCTACAATCTGTTTGATGCCTCTTTGCCCCCATTGCCCCCCTAATAATGTTATATTTATATACCTACAGCTGTTTGCTGCCTCTTTGCCCCCACTGCCTCCCCTCATAATGTTATTTTGATATAACTACAGCTGTTTGCTGCCTCTTTGCCCCTGCCTCCCTTCACAATGTTATATTAATATACCTACATCTGTTTGCTGCCTCTTTGCTCCTGGCTCCCCTAATAATGTTATATTTATATACCTACAGCTGTTTGCTACCTCTTTGCCCCTGGCTCCCCTCATAATGTTATATTTATATACCTACAGCTGTTTGCTGCCTCTTTGCCCCTAGTACCCCCCTCACAATGTTATATTTATATACCTATAGCTGTTTGCTGCCTCTTTGCCCCCAGTACCTCCCTCACAATGTTATATTTATATTCCTACAGCTGTTTGCTGCCTCTTTGCCCCTGGCTCCCCTCACAATGTTATATTTATATACCTACAGCTGTTTGCTGCCTTTTTGCCCCTGGCTCCCCTCATAATGTTATATTTATATATCTACAGCTGTTTGCTGCCTCTTTGCCCCTGGCTCCCCTCATAATGTTATATTTATATACCTACAGCTGTTTGCTGCCTCTTTGCACCTGGCTCCCTCAAAATGTTATATTTATATACCTACAGCTGTTTGCTGCCTCTTTGCCCCTGGCTCCCTTCACAATGTTATATTGATATACCTACAGCTGTTTGCTGCCTCTTTGCTCCTGGCTCCCCTCATATTGTTATATTTATATACCTACAGCTGTTTGCTGCCTGTTTGCCCCCAGTGTTTCCCCTCATAATGTTATATTTATATACCTACAACTGTTTGCTGCCTCTTTGCCCCCAGTACCCCACTCATAATGTTATATTTATATACCTACAGCTGTTCGCATCTCTTTGTCCCCAGTGCCTCCCCTTATAATGTTATATTTATATACCTACAGCTGTTTGCTGCCTCTCTGCCCCTGGCTTCCCTCATAATGTTATATTTGTATACCTACAGCTGTTTGCTGCATCTTTGTCCCCAGTGCCTCCTTTCATAATGTTATATTTATATACCTACAGCTGTTTGATGCCTCTTTGCCCCCAGTGCCCCCCTAATAATGTGATATTTATATACCTACAGCTGTTTGCTGCCTCTTTGTCTCCAGTGCCTCCCCTCATAATGTTATATTTATATACCTACAGCTGTTTGCTGCCTCTTTGCCCCCACTGCCTCCCTTCATAATGTTATATTTATATACCTACAGCTGTTTGCTGCCTCTCTGCCCCTTTGCTCCCCTCATAATGTTATATTTATATACCTACAACTGTTTGCTGCCTCTTTGCCCCCAGTACCCCCCTCATAATGTTATATTTATATACCTACAGCTGTTTGCTGCCTCTTTGCCCCTGGCTCCCCTCATAATGTTATATTTATATACCTACAGCTGTTTGCTGCCTCTTTGCCCCTGGCTCCCCTCATAATGTTATATTTATATACCTACAGCTGTTTGCTGCCTCTTTGCCCCAGGCTCCCCTCATAATGTTATATTGATATACCTACAGCTGTTTGCTACCTCTTTGCCCCTGGCTCCCCTCATAATGTTATATTTATATACCTACAGCTGTTTGCTGCCTCTTTGCCCCCATTACCCCCCTTGCAATGTTATATTTATATACCTACAGCTGTTTGCTGCCTCTTTGCCTCTGGCTCCCCTCACAATGTTATATTTATATACCTACAGCTGTTTGCTGCCTCTTTGCCCCTGCCTCCCCTCATAATGTTATATTTATATACCTACAGCTGTTTGCTGCCTCTTTGCCCCTGGCTCCCCTCATAATGTTATATTTATATACCTACAGCTGTTTGCTGCCTCTTTGCCTCTGGCTCCCCTCACAATGTTATATTTATATACCTACAGCTGTTTGCTGCCTCTTTGCCTCTGGCTCCCCTCATAATGTTATATTTATATACTTACAACTGTTTGCTGCCTCTTTACCCCCAGTGCCTCCCCTCATAATGTTATATTTATATACCTACAGCTGTTTGCTGCCTCTTTGCCCCTGGCTCCCCTCATAATGTTATATTTATATACTTACAGCTGTTTGCTGCCTCTTTGCCCCTGGCTCCCCTCATAATGTTATATTTATATACCTACAGCTGTTTGCTGCCTCTCTGCCACTGGCTTCCCTCATAATGTTATATTTGTATACCTACAGCTGTTTGCTGCCTCTTTGCCCCTAGTACCCCCCTCACAATGTTATATTTATATACCTATAGCTGTTTGCTGCCTCTTTGCCCCTGGCTCCCCTCATAATGTTATATTTATATACCTACAGCTGTTTGATGCCTCTTTGCCCCCAGTGCCCCCCCGACATAATGTTATATTTATATACCTACAGCTGTTTGCTGCCTCTTTGCCCCTGTGCCCCCCCCCTGCTCCCCTCATAATGTTATATTTATATATCTACAGCTGTTTGCTGCCTCTTTGCCCCTGGCTCCCCTCATAATGTTATATTTATATACCTACAGCTGTTTGCTGCCTCTTTGCCCCTGGCTCCCCTCATAATGTTATATTTATATACCTACAGCTGTTTGCTGCCTCTTTGCCCCTGGCTCCCCTCATAATGTTATATTTATATACCTACAGCTGTTTGCTGCCTCTTTGCCCCTGGCTCCCCTTATAATGTTATATTTATATACCTACAGCTGTTTGATGCTTTTTTGCCCCCAGTGCCCCCCTAATAATGTTATATTTATATACCTACAGGTGTTTGCTGCCTCTTTGACCCCAGTGCCTCCCCTCATAATGTTATATTTATATACCTACAGCTGTTTGCTACCTCTTTACCCCCAGTGCCTCCCCTCATAATGTTATATTTATATACCTACAACTGTTTGCTGCCTCTTTGCCCCCAGTACCCCACTCATAATGTTATATTTATATACCTACAGCTGTTTGCTGCCTGTTTGCCCCCAGTGTTTCCCCTCATAATGTTATATTTATATACCTACAGCTGTTCGCATCTCTTTGTCCCCAGTGCCTCCCCTTATAATGTTATATTTATATACCTACAGCTGTTTGCTGCCTCTTTGCCCCTGGCTCTCCTCATAATGTTATATTTATATACCTACAGTTGTTTGCTGCCTCTTTGCCCCTGGCTCCCCTCATGTTATATTTATATACCTACAGCTGTTTGCTGCCTCTTTGCCCCCAGTGCTTCCCCTCATAATGTTATATTTATATACCTACAGCTGTTTGCTGCCTCTTTGCCCCCAGTGCCTCCCCTCATAATGTTATATTTATATACCTACAGCTGTTTGCTGCCTCTTTGTCTCCAGTGCCTCCCCTCATAATGTTGTATTTATATACCTACAGCTGTTTGCTGCCTCTTTTTCCCAGGCTCCCCTCATAATGTTATATTGATATACCTACAGCTGTTTGCTACCTCTTTGCCCCTGGCTCCCCTCATAATGTTATATTTATATATCTACAGCTGTTTGCTGCCTCTTTGCCCCTGGCTCCCCTCATAATGTTATATTTATATACCTACAACTGTTTGCTGCCTCTTTGCCCCCAGTACCCCCCTCATAATGTTATATTTATATACCTACAGCTGTTTGCTGCCTCTTTGCCCCTGGCTCCCCTCATAATGTTATATTTATATACCTACAGCTGTTTGCTGCCTCTTTGCCCCTGGCTCCCCTCATAATGTTATATTTATATACCTACAGCTGTTTGCTGCCTCTTTGCCCCTGGCTCCCCTCATAATGTTATATTTATATACCTACAGCTGTTTGCTGCCTCTTTGCCCCCAGTGCCTCCCCTCATAATGTTATATTTATATACCTACAGCTGTTTGCTGCCTCTTTGCCCCCAGTGCCTCCCCTCATAATGTTATATTTATATACCTACAGCTGTTTGCTGCCTCTTTGCCCCCAGGACCCCCCTCATAATGTTATATTTATATACCTACAGCTGTTTGCTGCCTCTTTGTCATAATGTTATATTTATATACCTACAGCTGTTTGCTGCCTCTTTGCCCCTGTGCTCCCCTCATAATGTTATATTTATATACCTACAGCTGTTTGCTGCCTCTTTGCCCCCAGTGAAAAATGTTATATTTATATACATAATGTTATATTTATGTTATATATACCTATAGCTGTTTGCTGCCTCTTTGCCCCTGGCTCTCCTCATATTGTTATATTTATATACCTACAGTTGTTTGCTGCCTCTTTGCCCCTGGCTCCCCTCATGTTATATTTATATACCTACAACTGTTTGCTGCCTCTCTGCCACTGGCTTCCCTCATAATGTTATATTTGTATACCTACAGCTGTTTGCTGCCTCTTTGCCCCTGGCTCCCCTCACAATGTTATATTTATATACCTACAGCTGTTTGCTGCCTCTTTGCCCCCAGTACCCCCCTCATAATGTTATATTTATATACCTACAGCTGTTTGCTGCCTCTTTGCCCCCAGTGCTCCCCTCATAATGTTATATTTATATACCTACAGCTGTTTGCTGCCTCTTTGCCCCTGGCCCCCAGTTATATTTATATAATACAGCTGTTTGCTGCCCTTTGCCCCTGGCTCCCCTCATAATGTTATATATATACCTATATACCTACATATTTATATACCTACAGCTGTTTGCTGCCTCTTTGCCCCTGTGCTCCCCTCATAATGTTATATTTATATACCTACAGCTGTTTGCTGCCTCTTTGCCCCCAGTGCTCCCCTCATAATGTTATATTTATATACCTACAGACTTTTATTTTTTTGTTGTTTTCATCTACAGCTGTTTGCTGCCTCTTTGCCTCTGGCTCCCCTCATAATGTTATATTTATATACCTACAGCTGTTGCTGCCTCTTTGCCCCCAGTAACCCCCTCACAATGTTATATTTATATACTTACAGTTCTTTGCTGCCTCTTTGCCCCTGCCTCCCCTCATAATGTTATATTTATATACCTACAGCTGTTTGCTGCCTCTTTGCCCCCAGTACCCCCCTCACAATGTTATATTTATATACCTACAGCTGTTTGCTGCCTCTTTGCCCCTGGCTCCCCTCATAATGTTATATTTATATATCTACAGTTGGCTGTTTGCTGCCTCCCCTCTTTGCCCCCAGTGTTATATTTATATACCCCCCTCATAATGTTATATTTATATACCTACAACTGTTTGCTGCCTCTTTGCCCCCAGTACCCCCCTCATAATGTTATATTTATATACCTATCGCTGTTTGCTGCCTCTTTGCCCCTGGCTCTCCTCATATTGTTATATTTATATACCTACAGTTGTTTGCTGCCTCTTTGCCCCTGGCTCCCCTCATAATGTTATATTTATATACCTACAGCTGTTGCTGCCTCTTTGCCCCCAGTAACCCCCTCACAATGTTATATTTATATACCTATAGCTGTTTGCTGCCTCTTTGCCCCTGGCTTCTCTCATAATGTTATATTTATATACCTACAGCTGTTTGCTGCCTTTTTGCCCCTGGCTCCCCTCATAATGTTATATTTATATATCTACAGCTGTTTGCTGCCTCTTTGCCCCTGGCTCCCCTCATAATGTTATATTTATATACCTACAGCTGTTTGCTGCCTCTTTGCCCCTGGCTCCCTCAAAATGTTATATTTATATACCTACAGCTGTTTGCTGCCTCTTTGCCCCAGGCTCCCTTCACAATGTTATATTTATATACCTACAGCTGTTTGCTGCCTCTTTGCTCCTGGCTCCCCTCATATTGTTATATTTATATACCTACAGCTCTTTGCTGCCTCTTTGCCCCCAGTGTTTCCCCTCATAATGTTATATTTATATACCTACAACTGTTTGCTGCCTCTTTGCCCCTGGATCCCCTCATAATGTTATATTTATATACCTACAGCTGTTGCTGCCTCTTTTCCCCCAGTACCCCCCTCACAATGTTATATATATATACTTACAGCTCTTTGCTGCCTCTTTGCCCCTGTCTCCCCTCATAATGTTATATTTATATACCTACAACTGTTTGCTGCCTCTTTGCCCCTGGATCCCCTCATAATGTTATATTTATATACCTACAGCTGTTGCTGCCTCTTTTCCCCCCAGTACCCCCCTCACAATGTTATATATATATACTTACAGCTCTTTGCTGCCTCTTTGCCCCTGTCTCCCCTCATAATGTTATATTTTTATACCTACAGCTGTTTGCTGCCTCTTTGCCCCTAGTACCCCCCTCACAATGTTATGTTGATATACCTGTAGCTGTTTGCTGCCTCTTTGCCCCCAGTACGCCCCTCACAATGTTATATTTATATACCTACAGCTGTTTGCTGCCTCTTTGCCCCTGGATCCCCTCACAATGTTATATTTCTATACCTACAGCTGTTTGCTGCCTTTTTGCCACTGGCTCCCCTCATAATGTTATATTTATATACCTACAGCTCTTTGCTGCCTCTTTGCCCCCAGTACCCCCCTCACAATGTTATATTTATATACCCACAACTGTTTGCTGCCTCTTTGCTCCTGGCTCCCCTCACAATGTTATATTTATATACCTACAGCTGTTTGCTGCCTCTTTGCCCCTGGCTCCCCTCATTGCTCTGTTGACTCTGGTAATCGATATTCGTGTGGATGCTAAGCGGATGTTATGGTGGTATCGTCGACCAATAGCCATGGTGGCACAAGATATCGGTACAGTATACTTATCAGTTGTTGCACTAAAGTGATGGTCAATACATTTCTTTGTCTATATTGCATTGTTTACATAGATATAAATATGTATATTTATGGTTCAGCCAATGTGTGCAATATCTGCTACAGTCTGATTGGCTATCATCCTGTCTTTTGTGGCTAGGTGACAACAGCAAAATGTTATAATATCTTAAGATAACATCTTCTGAATTTTGAAATGCCATGAATCATGATTAACATCTTCTGAATTTTGAAATGCCATGAATCATGATTTAATACTTGACCATTAAGGGGCTGGGATAAAGGGTAATGACATTGTTCAGATGAAACATATATATATATGACATTAACATATGTTTTATTCTTCTATTCATTAGCTGTAGAATAGGTGAGAGACCAAGGCCATTAGATTGTACACTTGAAAAAAACAAGTTAATAAGGATAATATCACAAGATTCTGGTGTCTGATGTTATTCATGAAATGTTTGAATTTGTTTTCATTGTGATACAGATATCACAGTCCATGTGCTTCTTTGATCTTTAGACCAGGAAATCTCAAACAGTTCTTGATCATTACTGGAATTTTCTGTCCTAGATTCTCACTCCAGTGGTACCTTTATATATGATTTTTCTTTCAAGTGACATTGTAATTAAAATATCAAGATGCATTTCTGATTCTTAGCTTACATGGGAAATGTATGTAATTGAATCGAATAAAAGAATTGGAATTCCAACTTCTTTAGTGAAGAGATTGTACCAATCAATGAAGTACAGGCAATGGTAATTATGTCAGGGTCATAACTAATGTTTGGTTTATCTTGTAGGAACCTGGTTTACCATTCTCCAAGTTGTGAATGTATGTGGTGTGGTATCTAATGGGTTCATAATCGCTTTCACCTCAAGTTGGGGACAGCAGTACGACATTGTTACACAACTCTGGATTGCCATTGGCTTTGAGGTAATGTTTACCGAGCGTAAATTAGCTTTGCATATACTACATAGCACTAACAACGTAATACACATTTATGTGGAGACTTATTAATCTGTTTGTGACATCAAGTGTAGTTTATGATACAAGTGTAAGGTGTGACACAGGTGTAATAATAGAATACAGTGAAGTTGTGACACAGGTGTAACAATAGAATACAGTAAAGGTGTGACACAGGTGTAACAATATAATACAGTAAAGGTGTAACACAGGTGTAACAATAGAATACAGTAAAGGTGTGACACAGGTGTAACAATATAATACAGTAAAGGTGTGAAACAGGTGTAACACAGGTGTAACAATAGAATACAGTAAAGGTGTGACATAGGTGTAACAATATAATACAGTAAAGGTGTGACACAGGTGTAACAATAGAATACAGTAAAGGTGTGACACAGGTGTAACAATATAATACAGTAAAGGTGTGAAACAGGTGTGACACAGGTGTAACAATAGAATACAGTAAAGGTGTGACACAGGTGTAACAATATAATACAGTAAAGGTGTGAAACAGGTGTAACACAGGTGTAACAATAGAATACAGTAAAGGTGTGACATAGGTGTAACAATAGAATACAGAAAAGGTGTGACACAGGTGTAATAATAGAATACAGTAAAAGATGTGACACAGGTGTAACAATATAATACAGTAAAGGTGTGAAACAGGTGTGACACAGGTGTAACAATAGAAAACAGTAAAGGTGTGACACAGGTGTAACAATATTATACAGTAAAGGTGTGAAACAGGTGTAACACAGGTGTAACAATAGAATACAGTAAAGGTGTGACATAGGTGTAACAATAGAATACAGTAAAGGTGTGACACAGGTGTAATAATAGAATACAGTAAAAGGTGTGACATAGGTGTAACAATAGAATACAGTAAAGGTGTGACACAGGTGTAACAATAGAATACAGCAAAGGTGTGACACAGGTGTAACAATAGAATACAGTAAAGGTGTGAAACAGGTGTAACACAGGTGTAACAATAGAATACAGTAAAAGGTGTGACATAGGTGTAACAATAGAATACAGTAAAAGGTGTGACATAGGTGTAACAATAGAATGCAGTAAAGGTGTGACACAGGTGTAACAATAGAATACAGTAAAGGTGTGACACAGGTGTAACAATAGAATACAGTAAAAGGTGTGACATAGGTGTTACAATAGAATACAGTAAAGGTGTGACACAGGTGTAACAATATAATACAGTAAAGGTGTGACATAGGTGTAACAATAGAATACAGTAAAGGTGTGACACAGGTGTAACAATAGAATACAGTAAAGGTGTGACACAGGTGTAACAATATAATACAGTAAAGGTGTGAAACAGGTGTGACACAGGTGTAACAATATTATACAGTAAAGGTGTGAAACAGGTGTAACACAGGTGTAACAATAGAATACAGTAAAAGGTGTGACATAGGTGTAACAATAGAATACAGTAAAGGTGTGACACAGGTGTAACAATAGAATACAGTAAAGGTGTGACACAGGTGTAACAATATAATACAGTAAAGGTGTGAAACAGGTGTGACACAGGTGTAACAATATTATACAGTAAAGGTGTGAAACAGGTGTAACACAGGTGTAACAATAGAATACAGTAAAGGTGTGACATAGGTGTAACAATAGAATACAGTAAAGGTGTGACACAGATGTAACAATAGAATACAGTAAAAGGTGTGACATAGGTGTAACAATAGAATACAGTAAAGGTGTGACACAGGTGTAACAATAGAATACAGTAAAAGATGTGACATAGGTGTAACAATAGAATACAGTAAAATGTGTGACATAGGTGTAACAATAGAATACAGTAAAGGTGTGACACAGGTGTAACAATAGAATACAGTAAAAGGTGTGACATAGGTGTAACAATAGAATACAGCAAAGGTGTGACACAGGTGTAACAATAGAATACAGTAAAGGTGTGAAACAGGTGTAACACAGGTGTAACAATAGAATACAGTAAAAGGTGTGACATAGGTGTAACAATAGAATACAGTAAAAGGTGTGACATAGGTGTAAAGATAGAATACAGTAAAGGTGTGACACAGGTGTAACAATAGAATACAGTAAAGGTGTGACACAGGTGTAACAATAGAATACAGTAAAAGGTGTGACATAGGTGTTACAATAGAATACAGTAAAGGTGTGACACAGGTGTAACAATATAATACAGTAAAGGTGTGACATAGGTGTAACAATAGAATACAGTAAAGGTGTGACACAGGTGTAACAATAGAATACAGTAAAGGTGTGACACAGGTGTAACAATATAATACAGTAAAGGTGTGAAACAGGTGTGACACAGGTGTAACAATATTATACAGTTAAGGTGTGAAACAGGTGTAACACAGGTGTAACAATAGAATACAGTAAAGGTGTGACATAGGTGTAACAATAGAATACAGTAAAGGTGTGACACAGGTGTAACAATAGAATACAGTAAAAGGTGTGACATAGGTGTAACAATAGAATACAGTAAAGGTGTGACACAGGTGTAACAATAGAATACAGTAAAAGGTGTGACATAGGTGTAACAATAGAATACAGTAAAAGGTGTGACATAGGTGTAACAATAGAATACAGTAAAGGTGTGACACAGGTGTAACAATAGAATACAGTAAAAGGTGTGACATAGGTGTAACAATAGAATACAGTAAAAGGTGTGACATAGGTGTAACAATAGAATACAGTAAAGGTGTGACATAGGTGTAACAATAGAATACAGTAAAGGTATGACACAGGTGTAACAATAGAATACAGTAAAAGGTGTGACATAGGTGTAACAATAGAATACAGTAAAGGTGTGACACAGGTGTAACAATAGAATACAGTAAAGGTGTGACACAGGTGTAACAATATAATACAGTAAAGGTGTGAAACAGGTGTGACACAGGTGTAACAATATTATACAGTTAAGGTGTGAAACAGGTGTAACACAGGTGTAACAATAGAATACAGTAAAGGTGTGACATAGGTGTAACAATAGAATACAGTAAAGGTGTGACACAGGTGTAACAATAGAATACAGTAAAAGGTGTGACATAGGTGTAACAATAGAATACAGTAAAGGTGTGACACAGGTGTAACAATAGAATACAGTAAAAGGTGTGACATAGGTGTAACAATAGAATACAGTAAAAGGTGTGACATAGGTGTAACAATAGAATACAGTAAAGGTGTGACACAGGTGTAACAATAGAATACAGTAAAAGGTGTGACATAGGTGTAACAATAGAATACAGTAAAAGGTGTGACATAGGTGTAACAATAGAATACAGTAAAGGTGTGACATAGGTGTAACAATAGAATACAGTAAAGGTATGACACAGGTGTAACAATAGAATACAGTAAAAGGTGTGACATAGGTGTAACAATAGAATACAGTAAAGGTGTGACACAGGTGTAACAATAGAATACAGTAAAGGTGTGACACAGGTGTAACAATAGAATACAGTAAAAGGTGTGACATAGGTGTAACAATAGAATACAGTAAAGGTGTGACATAGGTGTAACAATATAATACAGTAAAGGTGTGACATAGGTGTAACAATAGAATACAGTAAAAGGTGTGACATAGGTGTAACAATAGAATACAGTAAAGGTGTGACTTAGGTGTAACAATAGAATACAGTAAAAGGTGTGACACAGGTGTAACAATAGAATACAGTAAAATGTGTGACATAGGTGTAACAATAGAATACAGTAAAAGGTGTGACATAGGTGTAACAATAGAATACAGTAAAGGTGTGACATAGGTGTAACAGTAGAATACAGTAAAGGTATGACACAGGTGTAACAATAGAATACAGTAAAAGGTGTGACATAGGTGTAACAATAGAATACAGTAAAGGTGTGACACAGGTGTAACAATAGAATACAGTAAAAGGTGTGACACAGGTGTAACAATAGAATACAGTAAAGGTGTGACACAGGTGTAAGAATAGAATACAGTAAAAGGTGTGACATAGGTGTATAAATAGAATACAGTAAAGGTGTGACACAGGTGTAACAATAGAATACAGTAAAGGTGTGACACAGGTGTAACAATAGAATACAGTAAAGTTGTGACACAAGTGTAACAATAGAATACAGTAAAGGTGTGACACAGGTGTAACAATATAATACAGTAATCATGTTATCAAAATCCATACTCAGTTATCTCTCAATGGTGTTGTAATATGATAGATAAATGTTTCTGTCTGATTTCAGCATATAGTATTTGCCATCAAATTTTTGTTGGCGTATTTCATTCCTGATGTTCCTGATGATGTGGCCCTCATGATGAGAAAGGTAAGTGATGAATCCTTCAGTGTTCCCAGCCAGTCAATATATTGTACAGTAAGCCCCCTGTATCTGATATATTAGGCATGTTTGTTCATAGTAAAAGCAGGTAGACAAGCTATTTATTGTAAGCATTAGAAAACTCAATCAGTATTAATAGTGGTAAGATATCAGCAAGCATTTGTTGTAGTGGCTTTACAAGTTAACCCAGATCATCATTAAATGGCAAGCTTGTAGATAAAACTAATACAAAAAAATTTCTTCACTTCTAGAAAAAAAATGGCTGATTGCTGAGTTGATTTACTGTCTCTAAATCTACATCAAATTTATCAGTGAAATATCATAAAATTTACTTTTGTAGATAGATGTTGTCGTTGACCATTAAGATTTGATTGTCAGCTTTGTTCTTTTTTATTGCCTTAAATTGTTGTTGTAATTGGATGTCAAATGAAAGTGCATCATCTCCATTAAATAGAACTTAGATGTTGTTAGATTGTGAAATTGGTATAATTTGTATCAAAATGTTCATGGACTCTGCTCTATGTCTTAGATTTAAGTACTTGTATTTTGTGTAAATGTCACTGTATTTATATGATTGTGTTTACCTGTCACCTGTACACATGCTCTGTATCCTACCACAAGTATCAGGAGTGAGCCACTTGTACAACTTGGGTGAACAGTTTCCTGATTACTTACGGAATTTTCCAGCGTTTTTCTGTGTAACTATTCCATAAGCTTTCCCATTGTTATAAACATTAAGTTTTTAAACAAATATGATATTGAAGTAGAAATATACAAGTCCTATCAAGTCTTTGTGGTTTAAATATGAATTGGATCAAAGAATGACATGGTCTCCGAATTTGGTTGGCTTTGGTAAATTGAACAGCCCATATTGTCTTTGGATACAGAGATGGTACAGAGAGATAATTTACTGGTAAATTGAACAGCCCGTATTGTCTTTGGATACAGAGAGATAATTTACTGGTAAATTGAACAGCCCGTATTGTCTTTGGATACAGAGATGGTACAGAGAGATAATTTACTGGTAAATTGAACAGCCCGTATTGTCTTTGGATACAGAGATGGTACAGAGAGATAATTTACTGGTAAATTGTACAACCCATATTGTCTTTAGATACAGAGATGGTACAGAGAGATAATTTACTGGTAAATTGTACAACCCATATTGTCTTTGGATACAGAGATGGTACAGAGAGATAATTTACTGGTAAATTGAACAGCCCGTATTGTCTTTGGATACAGAGATGGTACAGAGAGATAATTTACTGGTAAATTGAACAGCCCGTATTGTCTTTGGATACAGAGATGGTACAGAGAGATAATTTACTGGTAAATTGTACAACCCATATTGTCTTTAGATACAGAGATGGTACAGAGAGATAATTTACTGGTAAATTGTACACCCCGTATTGTCTTTGGATACAGAGATGGTACAGAGAGATAATTTACTGTTAGAAATTTTATGTTGTTGCTTATCTTGTTTTTTATTGTTTTTCTTTTTTTTTTTTTTTTCGTTGTTTGTGATAATTTATTTCTTTGCCTAAAAAACAGCACCAACACTGGGTAAGATTGATTGGCTTTTTATGTGGTGGTTTCTTCACACTTACAATCCTCAGACATGTGGATGTTCCATTACAATCTCCATCCATCTGTCTGTCCATTTGTCAGAATCCACATATTTGTCCATTTGTCTGTCTATCTATCTTTCCAAACTCTAGTGTCTGAAGATTATCTTATAATCTGAATTCTAAAAAAAAATCACTTATGAACAGTCAATGCTATTTTTAAATGGGATTCCCTGGTAGTAGCTGGTGGCTATTTCAATGAACATGATATGAGAGGTACTTTATATGATACTTTTTTAATTGATGATTCTATACAGGTAAGGGTGGGCTTATTGGTGATTACTGTAATGACATATTTTCTAGGTGTCAAACAGTAGTTGTAGGTCCATATCCCTAGTATTATCTCAGTTAAAATTATTTAAACATACTGTTATGGATAGGTAAATAGATGATAAAAAGACAATAATGGTTCCTGTCCATTTCTTCCAGATTCTAATTTGATCTTAGACAGTTTGAGTTGGTCGAGTATTTTGGAATGATAGCAAAGGTAGCTGTCAATTGATCTGTAGCATAACACAATATTAGTCCCTGAAATTGCCATGGTTTCTGTGAAGTTTTTATCAAATTTATTAATTACTTAATTAATTAAATATATACTTTTGCTGTTTTTCTTTGTGCTTTGTACCTGACTGGGGTGTCTCTCTCACACCAACTGGTGACACTGGACCTGTGCAGTAGTAACATTTGGCTACTTACTGGTCAAATCAAACATATAATCCAATTGAATAATTCTTCAAAATCTCTATCAATTAAAAGTCTTCATTAATGATAATTGATGTTAAAGTAAAACGAATATAAATGTTGATGAAATATTTAATCTCAAACATTTAACTAGAACATGTATTCTCCCAATGTAGGAATTGGTTAATTAAATATGAATGAATTGATTATATATCAAGTTATGTAATTACCACATTCTAATTTAAGTCTATTCCCTACATGTCATTGAGTTTTGAGTTTAAAAAGTCACATTAAACCTTTTTTTTGGTACGAAGTACTTACTGTTTCTAACACTTTGTTGTGGCTTGGTTGAATGCTTACTGTGATAACTTTTTATTGCTTTATCATATATTGTCATGAATTTATTGATGCCTGCTTATTCTTACTCATGATAAGGGGAGATAAGTCATTTAGATAGTCATAACACCGGTATTTATTTTTGTGATATTTTACCGATCTTGCATTAGGACTAATTGTGTTTGTTTATATGCATCCATTCAATGAAATATATAAATGTTTGATAATGAGGGTCAACAAAACTATATAGACAGTTGTTATTCTATGATAATTGATTATAGCCTAGTACGGATATTTTAGGTGTATACACAGTATAATTGGTCTTTAAGAATAGTTCTGTGTTCATTTATACAGAAAACACACAAGCTGCCCAAGATACTGGAGGGAGTACTGTATTGTTGTCATATACACATTCAAATTTTTTACTTTTTTCTTGTTTTGGATATTGAGTTCAACAATTAATTAATATCATTTTTTTTTTCTCACAAATCCTGTCCAGCTTTGACTTACATGTTAGAGTATTTAATGAAAACACAGCAACATCAAATATAATGATCTATTATATTCCCCTCACATCCAGTAAGGAACCCCAGGATCTATGTATTTTACGGTAAATCATGATAGGTAGATCATTTCTGTTATAATCAAAATTCATAAAGTTGACAAAAATTTTGATGATATTGTGTAATATTCATTGTTAGCATTTATGATACTTTGTTTGTCTTTTACTAAACATGACTTCGGGTACGAGAGTTCCTAACAGGTTACTGTATTAACCTGAAATATGGTATTTTTGAAGATAATCCTTATTATCTATCTTCCAGGCTTTGCAATTCACTGTAACACTTGACCTTTCTATCTTTAGTTAGTTTTAGATTTAACACTCAATACACAAATCTATCAAAAATCATATTTCTGTATAATATTGTCCCTCAGTTTATCAACAGTTCAATATTTGTTCATTATTATCATACGTACATATCATAAATATATAACATCCATCAGATATATGTTTCTTATAAAGGAAGTGATGCCATTTTTGTAATGATTCTACATGCCACTTAAGGTTTCCAGCTTAATTGGTTCACTTGTATAAAGAAAAGTTTATAGATGATAGTTTCTAACTTGTAACACGACAACTACTAGGACTTGTTATTAATCATATTCTGATTTACATCTTTAGATTTAACTTCAGTTTGTCACTAACTCTTGAAACTCCCTTGATTACATATGAGAAACTCTTATATCAAAGGAGGACCACATTAAGCACATAGCACTGTATATATAATAATTATATAGCAAGGGGAGATAAACACATAGTACTGTATATATAATAATTATATAGCAAGGGGAGATAAACACATAGTACTGTTTATATAATAATTATATAGCAAGGAGAGATAAACACATAGTACTGTATATATAATAATTATATAGCAAGGGAAGATAAACACATAGTAGTGTATATATAATAATTATATAGCAAGGGGAGATAAGCACATAGTACTGTATATATAATAATTGTATAGGAAGGAGAGATAAACACATAGTACTGTATATGTAATACTTATATAGCCAGGGGAGATAAACACATAGTACTGTATATAAAATAATTATATAGCAAGGAGAGATAAACACATACTACTGTATATACAATACTTCCATAGCAAGGGGAGATGAGCACATATTACTGTTTACATAATAATTGTATAGGAAGGGGAGATAAACGCATTGTACTGTATATATAATTATCACATAACAAGGGGAGATAAACACATAGTACGATATATATATTAATAATCATATAGCAAGGGGAGATAACCAATGAAATAAATGAGGCTATGAAAATATATAGCATGAAATCTTTTAACAAGTACAGATAATTTCAATTTAATGTCTTGTAAATGATGGTCTGTATGATAGATGATTAATATCTAAATTGATTCATTACAGAGGACACACCAGCTGGCAGAGATATTAGAGAATGATAGAAATAATGAGAAGGAAACTTTGAAAGAGGCTCTGCTTCAGAACATCATCAAAAGGTGTGTATTTAGAAAATCTAATTTTGAATTGGCCAAGGGTATTTCCATTAACTTTGTTGAACTGAGCTAGTTTATCTTTAATGTAATGTTGATAATAAAAGAAGAGATGTTATGAAACTTACATTATGATTGAAGATCCTGCATATTATAACTTTAGTGTGATTGAGATCCGAGGGTTTCTCTTTAGCATGGAACTATTCAAGGACACTTTTTTCATGATACCAAAAGTATTTTATCGGTAATCAAAATGATAACTATATGATATTTCTAACTATCTGTGTGTGTAACAGATCAGAGTTGTCTGAATGCATTGGATTGGCGATTTACAGGTATACTAGGTGGAGTGCTGTTATGGTTTATTTCTACAATTAAGACATAACTCCTACAAGAATTTTAGTCTGTTTAAAGCTGTGGAATGTGTTGGTATTAACTGAGTAATGGAGTGTAAATTTTCAAGAAAACTAGACTCATCGTTGAATAATGTGTGTAGCTGGTAGTGTGTGCTTTATCTTACAACCTATGGTTTGTTGTTCTGGTGTTTATAGAAATATCATACATTATTTCACCTGGATATCATTACTCTAGAAGTACCTATCAACACTTATATATCAGGCGTATCATTAAGTTACCATTGTATAAGTAGTTTATATCAATCAACTCAATTATATACAAATATATCAGTTACATATATATATTGTAAGTGTATTACCAACATCTCTTGATATACTTACAAATACTGTAGTATTGTCCTGAAATAATCCTGTTTTCCTACTTTGAAAATAAGATTATAAGAAGCTCCTCGGTTTCCTATGGTGTAGATTCAGTAGCCTTTATAAACATGACTGGTGTTGTGTGTGCCCTATATAAACATGACTGTTGTTATGTGTGCCCTATATAAACATGACTGGTGTTATGTCTGTCCTATATAAACATGACTGGTGTTATGTCTGTCCTATATAAACATGACTGGTGCCATGTGTGTGTGTCCTATATCAACATGACTGGTGATATGTGTGTCCTATATCAACATGACTGGTGTTATGTGTGACCTATATAAACATCACTGTTGTTATGTGTGTCCTACATAAACATGACTGTTGTTATGTGTGTCCTACATAAACATGACTGGTGTTGTGTGTGTCCTATATAAACATGACTGTTGTTATGTGTGTCCTATATAAACATGACTGTTGTTATGTGTGTCCTATATAAACATGACTGGTGTTATGTGTGTGTCCTATATAACCATGACTGGTGTTATGTGTGTCCTACATAAACATGACTGTTGTTATGTGTGCCCTATATAAACATGACTGGTGTTATGTGTGTCCTATATAAACATGACTGTTGTTATGTGTGTCCTATATAAATATGACTTGTGTTATGTGTGTTCTATATAAATGTGACTGGTGTTATGTGTGTTCTATATAAACATGACTGGTGTTGTGTGTGCCCTATATAAACAAGTCAAATTTATGACATTATGAATTCATTTTTTTGGATAGAATCAGTTATGAAATCTTTTGATGAATACTTGTTTATATGTATGGTTAGTGAGGAAGAGTACCGACGTCGTCAAAGTCATGGTGATGGAGGTGATGGTGGACCTACAGAACTTTCAGAACCCACCTACAGGTAGTGTTTCTGTTTTTAGTCCATGATATGACTACCTTGTAAACATATGTATGAGAAAGTGGTTTTTAAGATCCAAGATCATGAAATAGATCAACCTACAGATTAATGTAAAACCAGGTATTACTTCCCATAACTTTGGTATATGGAGCACCCCACATAGGTGCAGCCAGGCAGATAAGGAAGAGGGGAGGATAGGGTGGGACTCCATAAAGTTATGGTAAGTATCACCTCATGAAAATTGGTTTTACATGAAAAAACCTCAATTTCATTTCAGTAATAATTACCATAACTTTAGTATGCAAATTCGTCTTACTGTAGTGGTGACTAGAACAACCAAAGTAGTAGGAAGGGAGAACAGAGTGCCAAAGAGTAGGAAGGGACCTCCCCGTGTAGGAGCAGGTGTACCCACATGCCACCGTACGGAAAGACATTCCCCGGGCCTAACAAGGAGGCACAGCCACTGACTGTGCCACCACCAGAGGTCCCAACAAATACAGGCCTTCTGAGTGGGAACTAGGGATCACAGATAAAAATCTGTGAAGGTATCCCCCCCGCCCCGCCAGAATGCTGCAGACATGATCTCCTGAAAGGAGGATCCATTGAGAAGGGCCCAGGACGCAGCGAGGGCCCTGACCTCATGAGCCCGCACTTTCACTCTCACCCGAGCCTGATCATCAGAATGCTCGTAAGCATGCTTAATCACCTGGCAAACCCACCTAGAAACTGACTGGGAGGAGATATCTCGTTGTCCCTGTTTGATGGGAGCGACGACAAGGCGTGGACCTCTCTCCTATGTCCAGAGGCCAAAGCGAAAAGGAAGACTGCCTTGAAAATAACAAACTTTAACGAGGCCGACTTCAGAGGCTCATAAGGAGCCCTAGTCAGGGAATCTAGCACCAAGGCCAGATTCCACTGTGGGGCCAGCTGCCGCACTCTTGGTCTATCCAGAGCGAAGCCTCTGATGAGGGTAGAAAGAGAGGAGGACGAACCTATCTCTTCCCTGCCATGAAAAAGCAAGGACACCGGCAATAGCTGTATGATAGCCAGCGATAGTGCCAGGTGCCAGATTGTGGTTCCTAAACAGAGAGAGTAGGAAATCCGCAATCAACTGCACAGACACTTCGAACAGATCAACCTCCCTGCCGACACACCAATCATAGAAGATCTTTCAACGTGACTGGTGGATGGCAGAAGAGGAAGCCCTGATTGATCGCACAATGCGATCTGACACCTCTGGAGAAAAGCCTTGGCGAGGCTTCCAGAGATAGCCTCCATGCGTGAAGGTGGAGGATCTCTGGTCGAGAGTGTGTCATTCTGGACTGAGGCTGGCGAAGGAGATTCAGTCTGGTGGGAAGAGCCAAGGGCTCCTCTACCAGAAAAGACAAGAGCTCCGGAAACCAAGGTTGCCTCGGCCACAGAGGGGCTATCAGAAGTAAGGAGCAGTGATGCTCTCGAAACTTCTGTAACACCCTGCCCATCAGATTGAAGGGAGGGAATGTATATGCATACATCCTGTCCCAGTCCAGAGATAGGGTGTCCAGAGCCCAAGCCTTTATACCCAATACTGAAAACTGTCTGGCCAACACAACGTTGGAGAGCAAGGAGACCTGCAAGGCCGCCGATGCTCTCAAAGCCATATTCAGGCCTGTTTTGCCTCAGATAACCAACCCTCAGGCAAGTTGGACACCCTTTATAGACAAACTGTCAGGTAGTCTATATACGACAGAATCTGGATGGACAGACACAACATTCTCTCCATCTTGTGGTGTTCCTTAGCACCGAACACCACCTGGTCCACTCTCGATTCCAGCCTAGCTGGTTGAGAGGCTAGTTGCCCATCATGTGTGGCATAGTCGTTTGCAGAAACCTCGGACAGATCACCAACACCAAGTTGCAGTCCAGCAAACCCAGGAACATGGGTAGAGGAAGAAATCTTCTCCATAACCCAAGCCCGGGCAGTGGCCAGAGCTGAAGACATGATATTGCTTTCAATCAGAGACCAATCTGACTGACCAGATGCCCGAGAGGCCACCAAAGAACCTAAAAGGGTGATGGACTTGGGAATCAACAACGGAGAAGGTGGTGGGCAAACCTCTGCCTCAAGAATACGAGAGACATCGGCCCGAGGGCAAGCATCCCAGACAGAGCATGCTGAGTCTCAGCTTCAGCAGCCTCGGGGCCATCTTTCCCATGGGAACCCTCCTAACCAGTAGGGTCGTCATCAGACGACTCTGATGGGTCAATATCCGAGCACCCAGGAGAAAGATGAACAACATTGTCTACCTCTGCCATGTCCGCGCCCTCAAAATCCATCTCCTCCTCGATAGGGACCAAAATCTCTGTGGGAGGAACAGGGGCCATCAGAGGAGCCAACTCCAGGGAGTGAGGCTCTTCCATACAGTGTTAAGATGCAGAGCGCCTAACCGCCGTGGCTGTAGGTTTAGGTCTAAGACCCCAAGCCGACCCCTGAAACTTGGAGATCAACGGGTCCGTGCGGGAGGCGGAAGTCCTAAGGTCTGGCAAACCTTCTTAGGACTAGCAGACAAGGCCCCTGAAGTAGTAAAATGTTGGGGGGATTCTGAACTGCTTAACCATCTCCTAGAGGGAGAGACCAACCCCTTGGGATTCCAAGAGGGAAAACCCATAGGGTTAAACCCAAACCCCTGAGGAAATGGGAATGGTCCCACGGGCTGGGAGTGACCCCAGAACTGGCCAACATGGCCCGCCTAAGTCTGGGGCTGGCCACCCTGTCCGAAAAACATGGATGGGCCGCCACTCCCACCAGGTGGACGCCCAGACGTGTACGGGCTAAGTCTGTAACGACTGGGATACTGCTGGTACCCAGAACCATCTGTGGCCCAGGATTGAATGCCCGCGGGCACGCGTATACCCAGAGCTCGGAGGAAAAGGTGACTGGAAACCAGACGCCTGGCCTGAAAACCTAACCTCTTGGGGGAAACCCCCTGGGTACCCCTCCACAGGGAACTCTGGACTGGACCGGTACTGACCAGAATCCAGCAACCTGTGAGCGCTAGATAAACAGGCCCCACGCTGATGCAAGGATTAGTGAACTGTGCATCACTAATCCCCGTAGCCACAGACAACCCTGACAAGAAATCTGTGGCCCCAGAACCTGCACATGAAAGTACAGGTCTGGAGTCAAGGCGGCCCCCACCAACAACACCACCTGGCGCGTCGGGATCACTGAACGAATCAGTGACCGGCAGTCGGAAGTCCCTACCCGATGGTGACACCGTCGACACACGGGAGCTACCGGCCAATTCGACCCTCGACTGTGCAGTCAGGGTCAGGCTCAAAAAACTACGAATGAGAGTACAAAGCCTAATGTACGCAGCAAGACTGCACTGCCAAAAAAGAAATGGTCATACAAAACGGCCAACGAAGCAGCAAGAAAACAAATTTCAACTTCACGAAAATCCAAACGACGGGACACGTGGTCACGCACTCAAAGATGTGGAGGAAAACACGGCCGGAAAAACGGTCAAAATAAACATATGCCAATACTTGTTGGGAGATGGGTTTACAGACTCAGGAAGTAACAATATACTCAAACAACAATAGCAGTACAAAGAGAAGGAGTAATGGAAAGCACTCAGACACCTCCACACTCGTCGGCAGCCATAAAGGTCAGAGAAAGGGAGATCACTCTATGTTCCTGCTGTGATGGCTAATGGATCGTAGGGAGGGTGGGATTGTTTGAATCTTTTGTTGTAGGGATACAAAGATGGGTGTAGGTACTGTATTTGCATACTAAAATTATGGTGATTATTACTGAAATGAAATGTGTGATTTTGTGATGAAGTAGAAATGACTCTTGGCTTAATTCCAATGTTGATTCAAAGAATCATTGTGAAATTTCTTTCCCACTTTTGTAAATACACAGAGACGAGGAACCAAATACAGAAAATAGTCGAAAAGAGTCACAACAGCCTGTACCGTTACCTACCCGTAACGGTCAGCCGCCAGTGGAGAATCCAGAACCATTCCGAGGGGGCCCTGATCCGTTGACCCCTCCTGTGTGTGAGGTCAGGAATAGATATCCTGTTGATCACATCTCAGTTGAGGAAGGTGATGATGACACACATGTAAGGAAGATGAAAAAGAAGAAAAAGAAAAAGGACAAAAGAAGAAAGCGATATGGCAAGTTTGAAGAAGTTTATAAATATTGAAGACTGTTATTGTATTGTAATCAATGTTGCAGGATAGTTGGAATACATGGCCAATGTCTTGAAATATAAGCTGCATTGTGGTTCGGAACAGCTAGAGCTTTTATTTCTTCATCCACACCAAAATACAGCTTATTTCATAAGGCACTGACCATGTCTTCACTATGTGTTCCCACCAGGTGACGACCACCAGGTGACTACCAGTTGATCATTGACTGTGATGATTATAAACTGTTCTATATTCCCACCTTGTGATGACCACCAGGTGACAACCAGTTGATCATTGACTGTGATGATTATGAACTGTTCTATATTCCCACCAGGTGACGACCACCAGGTGACGACCAGTTGATCATTGACTGTGATGATTATAAACTGTTCAATATTCCCACCTTGTGATGACCCCCAGGTGACAACCAGTTGATAATTGACTGTGATGATTATGAACTGTTCTATATTCCCACCAGGTGACGACCACCAGGTGACGACCACCAGGTGACGACCAGTTGATCATTGACTGTGATGATTATGAACTGTTCTATATTCCCACCAGGTGACGACCACCAGGTGACGACCACCAGGTGATGACCAGTTGATCATTGACTGTGATGATTATGAACTGTTCAAAATTCCCACCTTGTGACAACCACCAGGTGATGACCAGTTGATCATTGACTGTGATGATTATGAAGTTTTCAATATTCCCACCAGGTGACAACCACCAGGTGATGACCAGTTGATCATTGACTGTGATGATTATGAACTGTTCTATATTCCCACCAGGTGACGACCACCAGGTGACGACCAGTTGATCATTGACTGTGATGATTATGAACTGTTCTATATTCCCACCTTGTGACGACGACCAGGTGACAACCAGTTGATCATTGACTGTGATGATTATGAACTGTTCAATATTCCCACCAGGTGACGACCACCAGGTGACGACCAGTTGATCATTGACTGTGATGATTATGAACTGTTCAATATTCCCACCTTGTGACGACCACCAGGTGACGACCAGTTGATCATTGACTGTGATGATTATGAACTGTTCTATATTCCCACCAGGTGACGACCACCAGGTGACGACCACCAGGTGACAACCAATTGATCATTTACTGTGATGGTTATGAACTGTTGATTACTGTGATGATTATGAACTGTTCTATTCCCACCTTCCCACCAGGTGACGACCATCATTGACTGTGATGATTATGAACTGTTCTATATTCCCACCTTGTGACGACCACCCAGGTGACGACCACTAGGTGACAACCAGTTGATCATTGACTGTGATGATTATGAACTGTTCTATATTCCCACCAGGTGACGACCACCAGGTGATGACCAGTTGATCATTGACTGTGATGATTATGAACTGTTCAATATTCCCACCAGGTGACGACCACCAGGTGACGACCAGTTGATCATTGACTGTGATGATTATGAACTGTTCTATATTCCCACCAGGTGACGACCACCAGGTGACGACCAGTTGATCATTGACTGTGATGATTATGAACTGTTCAATATTCCCACCTTGTGACAACCACCAGGTGATGACCAGTTGATCATTGACTGTGATGATTATGACGGGTTCTATATTCCCACCAGGTGACGACCACCAGGTGACGACCAGTTGATCATTGACTGTGATGATTATGAACTGTTCAATATTCCCACCAGGTGACGACCACCAGGTGATGACCAGTTGGTCATTGACTGTGATGATTATGACAGGTTCTATATTCCCACCTTGTGACGACCACCCAGGTGACGACCACCAGGTGACGACCAGTTGATCATTGACTGTGATGATTATGAAGTGTTCGATATTCCCACCAGGTGACGACCACCAGGTGATGACCAGTTGATCATTGACTGTGATGATTATGAACTGTTCTATATTCCCACCAGGTGACGACCACCCAGGTGACGACCACCAGGTGACAACCAGTTGATCATTGACTGTGATGATTATGAAGTGTTCATTCACCAGGTACGACCACCAGGTGAAACTTTGTGTGATTATGAAGTGTTCATTGGTGACGACCACCAGAAGACAGTTGATCATTGACTGTGATGATTATGAATTTGTTAAAATTCCCACCTTGTGACGACCACCCAGGTGTCTGAAATTAAACTATGATCATTGACTGTGATGATATACAGTGTTCATACAAGAGGAAGGTGCAGTTAGACAGAGCCAGTGATTAAAGAATTATTGACCTTTGACAAAATTTTGTGACTGTGATGATTATGAATTTTGCTTCCCACCAACGAACCCAGGATCATGGTGAACTTGATCATTGTTGTGATGATTATGAACTGTTCAGTATTCCAACCTTGTGACGACCACCCAGGTGACAACCACTTAGGTGACAGAGTTGATCATTGACTGTTGATTAAAATTTTGTGTCCACCAAAGTGACGTTTTACCAGGTGACAACCATTGATCATTTGACTGTGATGATTATGATAGTTCATTTCTTAGCAAAAAGAGAAGTGATTTTTTTAACTGTGATGATTATGACTTGTGTAGTTGGTGATAATCACATTGCAGCTATGCTAAATGTTGTCATTGACTGTGATAATCACACTGTTGCTATGGTGACTGTTGTAGTAGGTGATAATCACACTGGTGCTATGGTGATGTTGTACTGTGAGGTGATAATCACACTGTTGCTATGGTGATCATTGACTGTGATGTTATGAAGGTGATATTCACACCAGGTGCTATGGTGACTGTTGATCATTGACTGTGATGATTATGAACTGTTGCTATATTCCCACTGTTGTAGTAGGTGATAATCACACTGTTGTTATGGTGACTGTTGTACCTAGGTGACAACCACACAGTTGTTATGGTTATCATTGACTGTGATGATTATGAACTGTTCTTTTGGTGACTGCTGTAGTAGGTGATAATAACACTGTTGCTATTGACTGTTGTAGAAGGTGATATTCACACTGTTGCTATGGTGATTATGTTGTAGTAGGTGATAATCACACTGTTGCTATGGTGACTGTTGATCATTGACTGTGATAATAACACTGTTGTTATGGTGACTGTTGTAGTAGGTGATAATCACACTGTTGTTATGGTTACTGCTGTAGTAGGTGATAATAACACCACCATGGTGACTGCTGTTGATCATTGACTGTGATAATAAACTGTTGCTATGGTGACCAGTTGACGACCACCATATTCACCAGGTGATCATTGACTGTGATGATTATAAACTGTTCAATATTCCCACCTTGTGACAACCACCAGGTGATGACCAGTTGATCATTGACTGTGATGATTATGAACTGTTCAATATTCCCACCAGGTGACGACCACCAGGTGACGATCAGTTGATCATTGACTGTGATGATTATGAACTGTTCTATATTCCCACCTTGTGACGACCACCCAGGTGACAACCACTAGGTGACAACCAGTTGATCATTGACTGTGATGATTATGAACTGTTGTAGTAAGTGATAATCACACCAGTTGCTTGATGTGATGACTGTTGTATATTCCCACCAGTGATACCACCAGGTGACGACCAGCATGGTGACGTGTTATCATTGACTGTGATGATTATGAACTGTTCTATATTCCCACCAGGTGACGACCAGTTGATCATTGACTGTGATGATTATGAATTGGAAGATCAGGGTGTGAGATCAAGGAGGCGTATCACTCCACTGACTCCACCCCTATCTGATACAACAACATCCATTCAGAGACTTCCTGGGTATGTATAAAAAAATGAAAAAACATGATATGAGGACTTCTATATCTCAAATCATTAAAGTCTAATTCGTTTGGTTATTTCTGTTTCACATGATCGTTTTTATTCTCCCAAAGTTTCGTGGGGAGCATTTAGAGGCCACCTTGTCTTTTCCTTTTCATTTATGGAGCATGACTTTGTCCATGGTCAAGCAAATATTATGAAACTTGGTGTATACATTGTACATTGTTAGGACCAACAACCTCTTAACTACAGAGTTATTGCCCTTTGTTTAAAAAATTATTGTTCTGAGCATAACTTGCATTCAAGGTAGGATAATGAAACTTTGTGTATACATTGGTGGTATGAAGACAAAGTGCTGTGTACAAGTATTCTCGCCATTTGTTAAAATTACTTGTCTGGAGCATTATTTTGTCTGAAATTAAACTATGATATTGAAACTTGATATATACATCTGTCATACAAGAGGAAGGTGCAGTGTAGACAGAGCCAGTGATTAAAGAATTATTGACCTTTGTCAAAATTTTGTTTCATGAGTTTAATTTTGCTTCCATTAAAACTAGGATCATGGAACTTGATGGATACGTTGGTCATACTAAATGCAGTATACCAATGTCGGGGCCTGCAACCCCTTAATTACAGAGTTATGACACTTTGTTAAAATTTTGTGTCCAATAAAGTCGTTTTAGGGGAACATTCGTCAGTTTTAATGATAGTCTCATTTCTTAGCAAAAAGAGAAGTGATTTTTTTAACTGTAGATTGACTTGTGTAGTTGGTGATAATCACATTGCAGCTATGCTAAATGTTGTAGTAGGTGATAATCACACTGTTGCTATGGTGACTGTTGTAGTAGGTGATAATCACACTGGTGCTATGGTGACTGTTGTAGTAGGTGATAATCACACTGTTGCTATGGTGACTGTTGTAGAAGGTGATATTCACACTTTTGCTATGGTGACTGTTGTAGTAGGTGATAATCACACTGTTGCTATGGTGACTGTTGTAGTAGGTGATAATCACACTGTTGTTATGGTGACTGTTGTAGTAGGTGATAATCACACTGTTGTTATGGTTACTGCTGTAGTAGGTGATAATAACACTGTTGTTTTGGTGACTGCTGTAGTAGGTGATAATAACACTGTTGCTATGGTGACTGTTGTAGAAGGTGATATTCACACTGTTGCTATGGTGACTGTTGTAGTAGGTGATAATCACACTGTTGCTATGGTGACTGTTGTAGTAGGTGATAATAACACTGTTGTTATGGTGACTGTTGTAGTAGGTGATAATCACACTGTTGTTATGGTTACTGCTGTAGTAGGTGATAATAACACTGTTGTTATGGTGACTGCTGTAGTAGGTGATAATAACACTGTTGCTATGGTGACTGTTGCAGAACGTGATATTCACACTGTTGCTATGGTGACTGATGTAATTGGTGATAATCACACTACAGCTATGGTGACTGTTGTAGTAGGTGATAATCACACTGTTGCTATGGTGACTGTTGTAGTAAGTGATAATCACACTGTTGCTATGGTGACTGATGTAATTGGTGATAATCACACTACAGCTATGGTGACTGTTGTAGTAAGTGATAATCACACTGTTGCTATGGTGACTGTTGTAGTAAGTGATAATCACACTACAGCTATGGTGAGTGTTATAACTGATTATGATACACATTTGATATCGCTGTGCACGATTTTTTTCAGGGAACTTGCCCCTGAAGAAATAATAAGAATGATGCGAGCAAAGGGAGCTATACATGATTAGTTTACTTATAAACACTACATGTAAGATATGTGCTCCTATCTGTATTTTATCATTTCTTCAGCTTTAGTTTTAGTGTATTTGAATTAATTAATGAATTTTATAAACTTTTGCTGAAATTCATTCAAAGCAGTGTTTGTCTCCAGTTTGATCTTAACTGTGATTTTACCCAACTTGTACTAAAATCTTATTTTACACTTCAATACATTCAGTTCAAATTCAGTCAATTTCAGCCTACAAGGAGCTCCACTCTTGCCAATCTCAGTCTTCCTAAATTCAAAGCATAGTTCTCCATATAAACATGACACAAAACTGAAGCCTGGAGTTCAAAGTTGGTTCAATATGTCCATGATAAACCTGATACAAAACTCCTGTATCTAGCACAATTACAGACCAGACTCATATTCCACACCATTACAGACAAGACTCATATTCCACAGCATTACAGACTAGACTCATATTCCACATCATTACAGACTAGACTCATATTCCACACCATCACAGACCAGACTCATATTCCACAGCATTACAGACTAGACTCATATTCCACACCATTACAGACCAGACTCATATTCTACACCAGTACAGACTAGACTCATATCCCATGCCATTACAGATTAGACTCATATCTCACACCATTACAGACAAGACTCATATTCCACAGCGTTACAGACCAGACTCATATTCCACAGCATTACAGACCAGACACATATTCCACACCATTACAGACCAGACACATATTCCACACCATTACAGACTAGACTCATATTCTACACCAGTACAGACTAGATTCATATTCACACCATATACACCATTACAGACTCAGATTATTCCACACCATTACAGACTAGACTCATATTCTACACCATTACAGACCAGACTCATATTCCACACCATTACAGACTAGACTCATATTCTACACCAGTACAGACTAGATTAATATTTACACCATTACAGACCAGACTCATATTCCACATCATTACAGACTAGACTCATATTCCACACCATCACAGACCAGACTCATATTCTACACCAGTACAGACTAGACTCATATCCCATGCCATTACAGACAAGACTCATATTCCACAGCGTTACAGACCAGACTCATATTCCACAGCATTACAGACCAGACACATATTCCACACCATTACAGACTCACACAGACCAGACACATATTCCACACCATTACAGACAAGACACATATTCGACACCATTACAGACTAGACTCATATTCCACACCATTACAGACCAGACTCATATTCCACACCATTACAGACTAGACTCATATTCTACACCATTACAGACCAGACTCATATTCCACACCATTACAGACTAGACTCATATTCTACACCAGTACAGACTAGATTAATATTTACACCATTACAGACCAGACTCATATTCCACACCATTACAGACTAGACTCATATTCTACACCATTACAGACCAGACTCATATTCCACACCATTACAGACTAGACTCATATTCTACACCATTACAGACCAGACTCGTATTCCACACCATTACAGACCAGACACATATTCCACACCATTACAGACTAGACTCATATTCCACACCATCACAGACCAGACTCATATTCCACAGCATTACAGACTAGACTCATATTCCACACCATTACAGACCAGACTCATATTCTACACCATTACAGACTAGACTCATACTCCACACCATTACAGACTCATATTCTACACCAGTACAGACATATTCCACACCATTACAGACCAGACTCATATTCCACGCCATTACAGACTAGACTCATATTCCACACCATTACAGACTAGACTCATATTCTACACCAGTACACACACCAGTTACAGAATCATATTCACACCATTACAGACCAGACTCATATTCCACACCATTACAGACTAGACTCATATTCTACACCATTACAGACCAGACTCATATTCCACACCATTACAGACTAGACTCATATTCTACACCACAGACTATTACAGATTTAAAGATGTGACTGTTTTTCAGAAGCTTTACATTCTTTTCTCATATTCTACACCATTACAGACCAGACTCATATTCCACACCATTACAGACCAGACACATATTCCACACCATTACAGACTAGACTCATATTCTACACCAGTACAGACTAGATTCATATTCACACCATTACAGACCAGACTCATATTCCACACCATTACAGACTAGACTCATATTCTACACCATTACAGACCAGACTCATATTCCACACCATTACAGACCAGACTCATATTCCACACCATTACAGACTAGACTCATATTCTACACCATTACAGACCAGACTCATATTCCACACCATTACAGACTAGACTCATATTCTACACCAGTACAGACTAGATTAATATTTACACCATTACAGACCAGACTCATATTCCACACCATTACAGACTAGACTCATATTCTACACCATTACAGACCAGACTCATATTCCACACCATTACAGACTAGACTCATATTCTACACCATTACAGACCAGACTCGTATTCCACACCATTACAGACCAGACACATATTCCACACCATTACAGACTAGACTCATATTCTACACCAGTACAGACTAGATTCATATTCACACCATTACAGACCAGACTCATATTCCACACCATTACAGACTAGACTCATATTCTACACCATTACAGACCAGACTCATATTCCACACCATTACAGACTAGACTCATATTCTACACCAGTACAGACTAGATTAATATTTACACCATTACAGACCAGACTCATATTCCACACCATTACAGACTAGACTCATATTCTACACCATTACAGACCAGACTCATATTCCACACCATTACAGACTAGACTCATATTCTACACCATTACAGACCAGACTCGTATTCCACAGCATTACAGACCATACATAATAGGTTGTTTGATGTGTCCCTTGCAAGAACTCGTCAATATAGCACTAGTTTCTTTCCAAAACTTTGACTGAATGGAACGACCCATCCTGTCTGTTTCCCTCATTGACATCCATTTATGCAATAAAAAAAGCATTTTTGTCACAGCCTGTTATCAATCCTCTTTCACAATGCACTGATACTTTTAAATATTACGGTAACAGAAAGGCAAACATAATCTTGTGTCAACTAAGAAACTCTGCAAGTAACTTATTTAATTCCCACCTTAAAGACAACCTTGCCTGTACTTGTGGCCACCCAGTTGAAGATCCTACTCACTTCTTTTTACATTGTCCCTTCTTTACTATCCAAAGACAACTCCTCCTTAATTCTCTTTCTACTCTTAGTGATTCTATACCTCTTACCACTGATAAATGTCTTAAAGGATACACTTAATATTAATATTAATAAATCTATTCTTGATTTAATTCAGAGATTCATAACTGATACCGGTCGCCTGTTTTAGCCTTAGTATTCTTATATATACATTTTTTTTTTCTATTTTTAATTTAAATTTGTTATCTAAGTTTGGTCTGCCTGTCAATTTTTACGGACTCGGCTCAGGATTGTGGGTATATGGACTGTTTGAACCTGCAGCCTGTGCCGTGATCAATTGACAAACTTTGACTCCATCTTGTTATATATAATTATATTACCTATCTAATCTTACTATTCTTTAACACTATAATTTAAATGATGGTAATGCTTGCCTAACATTTCTGTTAGATAATTATTCAACTGAATCTATATTCTAAATTCTTATTCCTGGCCCCACTTATAAAACATCTCAACTTGAGATTTCCTCAAGTCGAGATTTTCCTCAGCTGATATCTCCTCAAAAACGGCTTGTATAAAATTTTCTCAAGGAACAGGAGGAAGGCATCGGCAAGGATGTCCTGAAATTCCTTGAGGAATTTTCATACAAGATATTTTCAAGGAGATATTAGCTGAGGAAAATCTGGGCTTGAGGAAATCTGAAATTGAGATATGTTATACAAGTGGGGCCTGGGATGCTATCATTATTATTTAATATCTTAAATTTTGATTGATGTGTCTGTGTACTTGTTTAAGTTGTATGGAGAGGGCTTTCATAGGCTCTGCCTGTTGCCCAATTCCATTTGTCACCAACATCAAGACAATAAAATATTCTAAAAAAAAAAAAGAAAATTAGTTTCCATCGTGTCCTGAGGTTTTACTGGTGTGTATTGTATTTATTTTTGTTAAATGCTTTCAACTGATATTTTGTTTCTCTCTTGTCAGTTTTTATGTTCAATTCGTGTTTTGATATGCCTGTCGATGATGGGTCATATTATGGTATAACTTACACTGTCTATATTCACACTTTAATGACACTTGCTACAAATATTTCATATCGAAAGGTTTACAACAAGATTGCACTTGAAAAGTCTGGAAATATCATGCTCCCATGGGGGAAACATATAGCCACCTTTCATGTCAATTTACCTACAGTTAAGCAAGGATCTGGAAACTACATGTGAACATTAATAATACTAAGAGGATGTCCCTTGTACCAAATTAAGGGACCTTGACCCCTCCATTACATAATTATTGCCCTTTGTAAAATTTTGTGTCTGGAGCACAACTTTGCTTGCATTTAAACTTGGATAATCAGTGGCAATATGGGAGATTTTTAGGTCATCTGGACCCGAAGGGTCCGATGACCTATAGTCATCATGCTTCGTCCGTCGTCGTCCGCCGTGCGCCGTCCGCCGTGCGCCGTCCGTAAACTTTTCATTCAAACGACTTCTTCTCAAATACTAGAAGGTCTAGGGGGCTAATACTTGGCACAGAGGATACTGGCATGGAGCTCTACCAAGTTTGTTCAAATGAATGACCTTGACCCACTTTAAAGGTCACAGGGGTCAAATATGTTAAAATCTTTAAACAACTTCTTCTCATTAACCAAAAGGCTCAGAGTGTAGATATTGGGCCTGTGACATGCTGGGATGAAGGACTACCAAGTTTGTTCAAATGAATGACCTTGACCCACTTTAAAGGTCACAGGGGTCAAATATGTTAAAATCTTTAAACAACTTCTTCTCAATAACCAAAAGGCTCAGATTGCTGATATTGTGCCTGTGGCATGCTGGGATGAAGGGCTATCAAGTTTGTTTAAATGAATGACCTTGAACAACTTTCAAGGTCACAGGGGTCAAATATGTCAAAATCTTTAAATAACTTCTTCTCAAATACTAGAAGGCCTAGGGGGCTAATACTTGGCCCATAGCATGCTGGCATGGAGCCCTACAAAGTTTGTTCAAATGAATGACCTTGGCCCACTTTCAAGGTCACAGGGGTCAAATATGTTAAAATATACAAAGGACTTCATCTCTATAAGCAAAAGTCTATGAGTGCCGATATTGGGTCTGTAGCATGCTGGGAGGAAAGGCTACCAAGTTTATTTAAATGAATGACCTTGAACAACTTTCAAGGTCGCAGGGGTCAAATATGTCAAAATATTTAAATAACTTCTTCTCAAATACTAGAAGGCCTAGGGGGCTAATACTTGGCCCATAGCATGCTGGCATGGAGCCCTACAAAGTTTGTTCAAATGAATGACCTTGGCCCACTTTCAAGGTCACAGGGGTCAAATATGTTAAAATATACAAAGGACTTCATCTCAATAAGCAAAAGTCTATGAGTGCCGATATTGGGTCTGTAGCATGCTGGGAGGAAAGGCTACCAAGTTTATTCAAATGAATGACCTCAACCCACTTTCAAGGTCACAGGGGTCAAATATGTTAAAATCTTTAAACAACTTCTTCTCATTAACCAAAAGGCTCAGAGTGTAGATATTGGGCCTGTGACATGCTGGGATGAAGGACTACCAAGTTTGTTCAAATGAATGACCTTGACCCACTTTAAAGGTCACAGTGGTCAAATATGTTAAAATCTTTAAACAACTTCTTCTCAATAACCAAAAGGCTCAGATTGCTGATATTGTGCCTGTGGCATGCTGGGATGAACGGCTATCAAGTTTGTTTAAATGAATGACCTTGAACAACTTTCAAGGTCGCAGGGGTCAAATATGTCAAAATCTTTAAATAACTTCTCAAATACTAGAAGGCCTAGGGGGCTAATACTTGGCCCATAGCATGCTGGCATGGAGCCCTACAAAGTTTGTTCAAATGAATGACCTTGGCCCACTTTCAAGGTCACAGGGGTCAAATATGTTAAACTATACAAAGGACTTCATCTCAATAAGCAAAAGTCTATGAGTGCCGATATTGGGTCTGTAGCATGCTGGGAGGAAAGGTTACCAAGTTTATTTAAATGAATGACCTTGAACAACTTTCAAGGTCGCAGGGGTCAAATATGTCAAAATCTTTAAATAACTTCTTCTCAAATACTAGAAGGCCTAGGGGGCTAATACTTGGCCCATAGCATGCTGGCATGGAGCCCTACAAAGTTTGTTCAAATGAATGACCTTGGCCCACTTTCAAGGTCACAGGGGTCAAATATGTTAAAATATACAAAGGACTTCATCTCAATAAGCAAAAGTCTATGAGTGCCGATATTGGGTCTGTAGCATGCTGGGAGGAAAGGCTACCAAGTTTATTCAAATGAATGACCTCAACCCACTTTCAAGGTCACAGGGGTCAAATATGTTAAAATATACAAACGACTTCTTCTCAACAAGCAAAAGTCCATGAGTGCTGATATTGGGCCTGTAAGATGCTTGGAGGAGAGGCTACCAAGTTTGTTCAAATGAATGACCTCAACCCACTTTCTAGGTTTGGCTTGCTTTTTGTCAGATGACCGTTAAGGCCCATGGGCCTCTTGTTATAAGCTGTATCTATATATTCCTCTCATGGCTATGTGTAATTGATTGTTGTCAGTTTTACAAGTCTGTACTAAATATGCTTTTCCTGCCTGTACGTAAACTTTGTTATTTTTTTGTCTGTTTGTTTCGTTTTCATTTTTCCTTTAGGTTTTTTTTCTTGTACTGTTTTGCTCTTTGTCCATTTTTTTTTTCTATTTTCATCCTTTTGAGCTTTCTTTTCAGTATTACTAATACTGAACTATCACACATCATATTTTGTAGGATTGTATATGATTTCACTTGATTTTGTCTTCAGTTTATTTATAAGCATAGAAAAAGGATAATTATTGTATTCAATTAATAAAGTCCTTCTTCGAAACTAAACTTCATGATTTTATAAAAGTGTTTGTCACAGTAATAAAATTCTTTTTATAAGAAAAATATTTAAATTATTTAACATACAAAAACTTACCCTGAAGTTGACAATTAATAACTTAACTGCGGGCATTTTACAACTGTTTTATTACATTTGCAGTCAGCTGTCATTTCGAGTAAAGGGACCCAGAGGAGAGGATCTGGGAGGGCAATACAGATATTACCATGAAGATTCTGTTGCTTAGATACACAGCACCAGCAGTGTCTAGACATTCAAACTGAGACAGCCATGACAAGATTTGTATATGTAACTAAGGTCACTATTTGATGCTGGAGCCTATGGCCATTCGCATTGGAGTATCAGGCAGACTCAACTAGGCAGCTGTACATGCAGCCTTGAGCCACATGTTCTATTTTATCTCAGAGTTGGATCTCCTTGAGTGGGGGGGAGGATCTTTAGTATCACTCATTACAGTCAGGATTAGAGAGCTGTGATGACTTTATGTTGATAAAATGTTATTTGTTTATTATACATTGTATATATATATATATATCTTAATATTTTATTACCTAGGGGTAAGAATGTGGAATATTTAAAGTGCTGGTTTAGAAACACATGTTGATAGCTTTGATTTAAATAGAAGTTTTACATATCTTTTGTAGGTTTTTGTCAATTGTTTGTATTCTGCAACTTTAGGAAGGGTAATCCCTTCAGAGTAGAGTTTTGAGGGCATAGTTCTGTCAATAGGTCAAGATAATTCCACCGCCTTGTGTCAGATTTTTAAGGATTAATGTTACAAGGCTCGCACGACAGACATGATAACTTATAACTATCACAAAATCACAGATCAGTGGTGACATTGTGTAGGTAATATCTTGATAAAAAAAAACTGGAATATTATTATTAGTTTAAGTTGTTTTCTTCAATTTTCTCAGATGCAGTTTATATTGATTTTAATCTGAAAAACTTCAAAGATGACATTCCAACAATATTAGTTTTGAATTCCAATTACATGCGGTAAATGTTCTGAAAGTTATCAAATAATGAGAAAAGATCAAAACTATAGTAAAACAGTCATTAGCCACAAGCTGTTCTTTATAGATAAACATGTAGTATCTGTTTTTTGTAAAATGTGTAAAAATTACGAAGAATTCCACATAATGTTAGATATACCATAGTGCCATGTTAACCTTACTGTGTACCATCACATAGCTCTAGTCCTGTTAAATGTCTTCATTATAATATACCACTAATATAAACTTATTTAATTACACTACTAGCTCACAACTTCTGTGTTAACATTATATAGCCTTCCACTTTAATGTGCTGTGAAAGCATTATTTGTGAAAATTTCATGAATTGTAATTCATTATTAGTGGTATTTACCGTAAATTTGCGGGTATAATGCGCACTCGGGTATAATGTGCAGGTAATTTTTTGGGGTCAGATTAAAAATATAAAAACCCACAGAATTTCTACAGAAAGATTAATTAATTACTGGTTACCGCGATGACACAGTTGATGTGGTTTGATCCATTGATAATTAGGAACCACAATCATAGTGACCCTAACATATTTAATTACCTTATGTAAACAAATTCACTCAGGTGACTGACTAACAAGCATGAAAGGCTTGGCTAATTGGATAATTTACAGTTCTCAACAGGTAACACATTGAATATGAGGAGATTGATGTCACCGGGTTGGGCTGAACGCGTTCTATTGGTCAGAAAACGAAGTTGTTTTAACTGTAAATTTTCAATCCTACCTTGTCCCCTTATCTGTACCTACTGCGGTATCCGAAGGTACTTAATTATAGATTGTTTACACCAACTTCAACATGTGGAAACAGCAAAGATCGTTTACAGCGAAAGAAAAACTGGATCGCCGAGATGCCGGCATCGCTGTCAGTACAACAGAACTGCGTGTGCGGGCCATGCAGATCAATAGAGTAAGAAATAACATTTTGTGGAATCTAACTTAATTTGAAATCTTGGTTTCACTTGATCAAATATCTTGTTTGTTTTAAGTATAAAGGCAAAGAACTAAATTTGGGTCATGGGGTCCTATAGTTCCGTAAGTGACCTTTTGGTGGAGGGATGTATCCAGATGTAAAACCTTTAAAATCTGTTGAAGTGATAGTTCTTAGTCAGTAATATTTTCTCTTTTCTTTGTAAATCCATTATTGACAGTGTTAAAAGACTTGGTAGGATATCACTGGGGCAGACTGTAGGAGACTTGGTAGGATATCACTGGGGCAGACTATTGGAGACTTGGTAGGATATCACTGGGGCAGACTGTTGGAGACTTAGTAGGATATCACTGGGGCAGACTGTTGAAGACGTAGGAGGATATCACTGGGGCTGACTATTGGAGACTTGGTAGGATATCACTGGGGCAGACTGTAGGAGACTTGGTAGGATATCACTGGGGCAGACTATTGGAGACTTGGTAGGATATCACTGTGGCAGACTATTGGAGACTTGGTAGGGTATCACTGGGGCAGACTGTTGGAGACTTGGGAGGGTATCACTAGGACAGACTGTTGGAGACTTGGGAGGATATCAATGGAAGAGACTGTTGGAGACTTGGGAGAATATCAATGGGAGAGACTGATGGAGACTTGGGAGGATATCAATGGGAAAGACTGTTGGAGACTTGGGAGGATATCACTGGGACAGACTGTTGGAGACTTGGTAGGATATCACTGGGGCAGACTGTTGGAGACTTGGTAGGATATTACTGGGGCAGGCTATTGGAGACTTGGTAGGATATCAATGGGACAGACTGTTGGAGACTTGGTAGGATATCACTGGGACAGACTGTTGGAGAGACTATTGGAGACTTGGTAGGATATCACTGGGGCAAACTGTTGCAGACTTGGTAGGATATCACTGGGACAGACTGTTGGAGACTTGGTAGGATATCACTGGGGCAGACTATTGGAGACTTGGTAGGATATCACTGGGGCAGACTGTTGGAGACTTGGGAGGGTATCACTAGGACAGACTGTTGCAGACTTGGTAGGATATCACTGGGGCAGACTATTGGAGACTTGGTAGGATATCACTGGGCAGACTATTGGAGACTTGGTAGGATATCACTGGGGCAAACTGTTGCAGACTTGGTAGGATATCACTGGGACAGACTGTTGGAGACTTGGTAGGATATCACTGGGGCAGACTGTTGGAGACTTGGGAGGATATAAATGGGAGAGACTGATGGAGACTTGGGAGGATATCACTGGGACAGACTGTTGGAGACTTGGGAGGATATCAATGGGAAAGACTGTTGGAGACTTGGGAGGATATCAATGGGACAGACTGTTGGAGACCGAGGAGGATATCACTGGGGCAGACTACTGGAGACTTGGTAGGATATCACTGTGGCAGACTATTGGAGACTTGGTAGGGTATCACTGGGGCAGACTATTGGAGATATCACTGGGGCAGACTATCGGAGACTTAGGAGGATATCACTGGAGCAGACTATTGGAGACTTAGGAGGATATCACTGGGACAGACTGATGGAGACTTGGGAGGATATCAATGGGAAAGACTGTTGGAGACTTGGGAGGATATCAGTGGGACCGACTGTTGGAGACTTGGGAGGATATCAATGGGAGAGACTGTTGGAGATTTGGGAGGGTATCAATGGGAGAGACTGTTGGAGACTTGGGAGGATATAAATGGGAGAGACTGATGGAGACTTGGGAGGATATCACTGGGACAGACTGATGGAGACTTGGGAGAATATAAATGGGAGAGACTGATGGGGACTTTGGAAGATATCAATGGGACAGACTGTTGGAGACTTGGGAGGATATCAATGGGACAGACTAATGGAGACTTGGGAGGATATCACTGGGACAGACTGTTGGAGACTTGGGAGGATATCACTGGGACAGACTGTTGGAGACTTGGGAGGATATCAATGGGACAGACTGATGGGGACTTGGGAGGCTTTCAATGGGAGAGACTGTTGGAGACTTTGGAGGATATCAATGGGACAGACTGTTGGAGACTTAGTAGGATTTCACTGGGGCAGACTGTTGCAGACTTGGTAGGATATCACTGGGGCAGACTATTGGAGACTTGGTAGGATATCACTGGGGCAGACTATTGGAGACCTGGGAGGATATCACTGGGGCAGACTATTGGAGACTTGGTAGGATATCACTGGGGCAGACTGTTGGAGACTTGGGAGGATATAAATGGGAGAGACTGATGGGGACTTTGGAGGATATCAATGGGAGAGACTGTTGGAGACTTGGGAGGATATCAATGGGAGAGACTGTAGGAAACTTGGGAGGATATCAATGGGACAGACTGTTGGGGACTTGGTAAATATCACTGGGACAGACTGTTGGAGATTTGGGAGGATATCAATGGGAGAGACTGTTGGAGACTTGGGAGGATATCAATGGGAAAGACTGTTGGAGACTTGGGAGGATATAAATGGGAGAGACTGATGGGGACTTTGGAGGCTTTCAATGGGAGAGACTGTTGGAGACTTGGGAGGATATCACTGGGACAGACTGTTGGAGACTTGGTAAATATCACTGGGACAGACTGTTGGAGATTTGGGAGGATATCAATGGGACAGACTGTTGCAGACTTGGTAGGATATCACTGGGCAGACTATCGGAGACTTGGTAGGATATCGCTGCGGCAGGCTGTTGGAGACTTGGGAGGATATCAATGGGAGAGACTTTTGGAGACTTGGGAGGATATCAATGATAGAGACTGTTGGAGACTTGGGAGGATATAAATGGGAGAGACTGATGGAGACTTGGGAGGGTATCAATGGGAGAGACTATAGGAGACTTTGGAGGATATAAATGGGAGAGACTGATGGAGATTTGGGAGGGTATCAATGGGAGAGACTGTTGGAGACTTGGGAGGATATAAATGGGAGAGACTGTTGGAGACTTGGGAGGATATCAATGGGAGAGACTGTTGGAGACTTGGGAGGATATCAATGGGAGAGACTGTTGGAGACTTGGGAGGATATCAATGGGAGAGACTGTTGGAGACTTGGGAGGATATCACTGGGAGAGACTATTAGAGACTTGGGAGGATATCAATGGGAGAGACTGTTGGAGACTTGGGAGGATATCAATGGGACAGACTGTTGGAGACTTGGGAGGATATAAATGGGAGACTGTTGGAGACTTGGGAGGATATAAATGGGAGAGACTGTTGGAGACTTGGGAGGATATCAATGGGAGAGACTGTTGGAGAC